TAGACCAGCCACGACAGGCTACATCTGATCTAGACCAGCCACCATCTGATCTAGACCAGCCGCGACAGGCTACATCTGATCTAGACCAGCCACGACAGGCAACATCTGATCTAGACCAGCCATGACAGGCTACATCTGATCTAGACCAGCCACGACAGGCTACATCTGATCTTGACCAGCCACAACAGGCTACACCTCATCTGGACCAGCCACGACAGGCTACACCTCATCTGGACCAGCCACGACAGGCAACAAATGATCTAGACCAGCCACGACAGGCTAAATCTGATCTAGAAAACAACAACTGAGAGCACACTTACATCAAACTTGTTCTCCAGTACCATCCTTCCATTAGGACTCTTGCCTACAGCCATCTCGCCCAGGAACCTCTGGTAGGCCATCTCCAGGACCATGCCATCCTTCATCTTGATGGCCTTGTAACGCTTCCGCTTCTCCTCCCAGATGATCCCAGAACTGGAACAGTGGAATAAACATCAATACTCCATAGCAGAGCCTGGTGTATCAAAGTATATTGCCTGGTGATAGTTGGCCTGTATACAGCTGGTGATACTTTAACTGTGTTGACACATTTGATGATTCTTGGTCAGAGAGTACACATGCTGTTATGATCTTGGCTATTATCTCATACTAACATTTGTAAAGCGCCAATATCAAGCTCAGCTGCTCAAAGGTGCTTTGATTATCCCTCGATCATTGGATGTTAAACTTAAACGGCACATTGCATTATCAATCTCAACTCCCTGGGGATCATACAAATAGTGCAGCAACTAGGCACACAGAGTTAATGTGGCTTTCCCATCCTTACGAGGTACCCATTCACAGCTCGGTGTACTGTGCCACATTGCCAGAGTACTGTGTCCAAGTTTTACTGCAAGTTGCTGTACCCACAACATCTGGTCATTTATCGTGGGTTGTGTACTGTTAACTAGGGGTTGTGACAACACTGAAAGAGTCTGCACACTCCAAGGTTTTTACACCCGGTCACAGGTGGGCTCGATCCCTGCACCTCAAGCTCGCTGGATCTCTAGCCTGGAGCCTTAGACAGCTCGCCCACCACGCCCCACCTGCCCTCTGTGTATACATACCTGGTGTTTTTCAGAGAGATCGCCCTTGGGGTACATATTATGCATTTTCCGCTGAAAATGTCCTGTGACAGTTGTATCAATGTTTTTGAATAAAAGATTGTACAATAAATAAACTCTTTATTTATTATAATGACCCCTACCTCACGGAGTTACCTCCCTTAGCGCATGCGCACTAACTGGGTAGGCTCCTAGACCCGTATCATCATTCCTTCTGCTGTCACCGCCGCGGAACAGACGCGGTTTATAAACGCACTTCATGAGCCGGACAGCTGAAAGCTACTAAGAAAGCTGTCTCTGAGACACCACCTGTATGTATGGTCTTTATTTGCCTAAAACAAGGAACAGTAAAGCTTTACAGTTGGTTGTTTCATAATTGTGACTTTGTATTAATACAAAATACGCCAACTTTCCCCGTGGTTACGACGCGTTGCTCTGCCATGGCGGGAAGTTTAGCGCGCCATGTGGTCGTATTATTGCGATTAAAACCAACTATTACTTTCCGCGGTAACCTTCACGAAGTTTTTCAATGTTTTCACGGTTTATATGCTGCTGGCCGCTAACTAACATGTTTTGCGCGGTTTGTTTCAGGCCTTTTCATGCTGTTCGGTCTGTGAGGGAGTATCCCCGGCCGACAGTCATACCAGTTGCGCGGCCTCGTCTGGAGAAGACAGGCCATGAGGCTGACTCCTGCACTATTTGTCTGGCCTTTTCCCCGGCCCAGAAGAGGCGGGCTGCCGACACCTTGTTCTATCGCTAAATGCGGAGGCGGAGGGGACCTGACGCAGGTTCCCCGCCTAAGTCCAAACGCAGGTCAAAAAGGGAAAAAAATCCCGCGGCCCTTCCCCTCTCCTGCCACTTCGAAAGGGTTTTGACATGTCACTGATGGAGTCTATGTTTCAGCAGCAGATGGACTCGATGAAGTCCTTCGCTCGTGGAGTCGGTTGGAGGTCTCCGCAGGAGTTCTCACCCACTCCGGACGGGGCGGAGAGTCCGGGTGGGATCGCTGGCTCGCTCGATCCTCGCCCTTGAGGCGCCTGTAGATCCGCTGCCTCTGGCTTCGATCCGACGCCTCGCTGCTCCGGAGAGGGAGGTGCTCCCAGTCCCCTCTCGAGCTCGCGCAGGGGGCCGCTGAGTATTCCTGGTATTCCGGGTCTCATGCGCACACACCCGCCCCATGAGAGCCGAGGCACCAGTTCTGCCTGGCCTGCCTCCAGCGCCTCGGGACCGGGTCCACGCACGCCGCTGGCTGGCGCTGACGCGGAGCAGTCTGTCTGTTCTTCCCTTCCTGTGGTTCCTAGCGCTAGGCAGTCCACCGGGTCGGGTTAGGGTCCTCTTACGGAGGAGACCCAGCCTCTGACTCGGCTCGGACGCCGAGGCAATGGAGCTTGGGGAGGTCGAGGAGCATGACGGCGGCTTCCGCTTTGCTTCGCCTTGGCGGGAGGTCCGCAGAGAATTGCCGAGGGCCTACCCCAGGCCGCCGTGCCCTGCTGGTTGCGCGGACTCGACTGAGTTCCGCTTTGCCTGGCGAGGCGCTTTGCCCCTAGGGCAACCCTCACAGACGCAGCCCGCGATTCTGCCATCGCTGGTCTCGGACGGGGTCGATCCCTTCTGTCTGGTGCCCGGTAAGGTTTGACTTACCTGAACTCGCGGGCGCTACCAGCTTGGGGAGGATTCCCTGTTCGTTGTACCAATTGTTGACGATGTGTTTTCACTTCCGCCGCCTCTGGGGAGGCTCGGCCTCCTCCGAGCAGCCCGCGCTGCTCGGCAAGGGCTTCTAACTCCACCTTTTGCCTCGCTGGCGCTTCTCGCACGCTGCACCGACCTACGAGGAGGTCTACCGAACGCCGATGCAGCAGGTGCGGTGGTGGTCCATGAGGCCTACCTCTCCTCGGTTCAGAGGTCGGCCCTGGAGGCGAGGGGCATGCTGGCGACGTGTCGCCGCGATGTCGCGGCTGCCCGGCCAGCTGGAAGTGCAGGCTCACCTCGCTGACTCTTTGCGCGGTCTGCTGCGCCGACGGTGATGTGCGCAGTCATGGGGATGCGCAGGCTGTGGCTGTCGACGCCTAGGTACTCGGCAGCAACACAGCAGACCTTGCTGGCCCTCCCTTCCGCCTGGGAGCCACCCTCTTCCAGGGCCCAGCAGGTCATACGGGAGGCTGCCGCTGCAGCTACCTCCTTCAAGGACTCTAAGGCCTTGTTGGAGCACCCGCTGGTGTCTCGCCGCCTCGGCCTCGCGCCACCTTCCTCCGCCGGGTGCAGCCTACACCCGAAGTTCCGCCGGGCTGGCTTCGCCGCTGGTAGGGTAGGCGGAGGAACAGGTCCGCCAAGGGTAGGGGCAAGGAGCAGTCCTCGACTAGCTCCCAGCCTTTTCGCTGGCGCTGGAGGTCTGCCCCGACCTCCCGCTAACCCATCAGGGTTGCCGCTTCGCCGCGGTGTCACGCCCAGTCAGCTCCGCCACTGGGTCTACACGCGCCTACCCCATATCCCAGTGGGAGGTCGCTTCTCTATTCCTGCCGGAATGGGAGAAGGCTACCAACAACGCTTTGGGTGCTGGCCACGGTCAGCATAGGCCATCTCCCACTGTGGAAGCGAGGTCCGCCCGACTTCACCGCATACGCCGCGACTCGTGCCGCCATGTCAAGCCAGGGCGACATATTGCGCGACGGTTCAGGCTCTGCTGGACAAGTCCGCAATCGAAGCATTCCACCGGGAGAGGAACAGGCGGATTTTATTCCACGCATTTCCTCGCCCCGAAGAAAGACGGCGGGTTCCGGCCCGATTCTCAACCTCAAGGGGTTGAATCGCGATGCTCGGTACCATCCTTCAAGATGGAGACACTGCGCCGGGTGATCTCATCTGTTCAGCCCGGCGATTGGCTCACGCCAATCGACCTAAAGGATGCGATTCAGATGTACCCATACATCCATCGCTCAAGCAGTACCTTCGGCTTCTCTTTACGACGGGATGTATTACCAATTCAGGGTGCTCCCCTTCGCATATCGACTGCCCCAAGGGTGTTCACCAAGCTCATGTTAGTCCCAGCTACCCTAGCTCGCCGCAAGGAAGGCGCTTGTTACCCTTACCTAGACGACTGGTTGCTCGGAGCACTAACACAGCCAGCGAAGTCAAGATGCTACTCACACAGTGATAGACATTCTAACTCGACTGGGGTGGATCATCAACCTCAAGAAATCCGACCTGGTACCCACCCAGGACTTGGTTTTTCTTGGAGCGCGATTCCAAACGAACAAGGATCTCGCTTCCTTGTCGCCCGACCGGGTCACCAGAGTTCGAGATGGTCTCTTCATTCCTCTCCCAGCCCCAGGCACCAGCACGGACTTGGCTCCGCCTACTGGGCCATATGGCGGCGAATTTATCTCTGTAGTGTGGCGGGCGCTGTTGAGGATGCGCCCCATACAGCAAGCTTTGGCTCGGCTGTGGACTCACACGGAGGATCTGGAGCGCAGTCTCACAGTCCCCGAAAGTGGTTGACACCTCACCTTCAGTGGTGGACAAATGTCGGAATCTCACCAGGGGTTCCCTTTGGAAATCCCGACGCCAGCTCTCACAGTTCAGACAGATGCGCCCCTCACGGGCTGGGGCGTTTGGCAGTTCGTCGGCTTCCGACTCTGGTCCGGGTCGGCTCACCTTCACATCAACGTTTGGAACTGAGAGCTGTGCGTTGGTATTCGAAGCTTCAGAGAGCATGTCCGCGGCCAGGTAGTCCGCCTTCAGTTAGACAACCAGACGGCCATGTCGCACATCCTGAAGCAGGGAGGCACGGTGTCCCCAGCGCCCGGGAAGCGTGGACTTTCTCCTCTGGAGCCACCAGTACGCATTGTCAGGTACTCCCTGTTTATCTCCCCGGGCTGGAGAACGGCGCGAGCAGATGCGCCTTCTCTCGCCGATCCTGGCCCCGCGACGAAAGTGGATGCTCGACAGGCAGATATTCACAGTAATCTCCCAGTTGTACGGGTCGCTCGAGGTGGATCTGTTTGCGCCCGGGCGGACGATCAGACACCCGCGTTCTGCTCTCGGATACCGGACCCAGGGCGCTGGCTGCCGACGCCTTCCTGCTGGATTGACGGGCAAAGTGCTCTGGGCGCTCCCGCCATTACCACTCATTCCCCGTGTCCTTTCACAGCTGTCCACCCAGCCAGCTCGCTACTTGTGCTACTGGCACCGCTTTGGTCACCACAGAGCTGGTTTCCGTAATTCTCAGGTTTCTGGCTCAGCCTCCTGTTCTATTACCTTTGGCGACCGACATTCTCACTCAGAACGGAGCTTCCACCCAAATCCACGGATTCAGTGGGTGGCTTGGCCTCTGTCAGGTCTAACCTCGAGGCACGCTGAATTCCTGCAGCAGTTGCAGACACAATTCTGGCTTCGAGGCGGATTCGGCAAACGCTCAGTACGAGGATAGGTGGTCCCGCTTATGCGCTGGTGTTCAGATAAGGGATTGCAGATCCCTTTCTGCGGATTTAGTCCGAAGTATTGGAGTTTTTGCAAGCTCGCTTGAAGAAGGCCTGGCGGCTTCGACCATTCATGGCTACTCCACCGCTATTTCCACTTTTCACACCCCTGTCGATGGTGCTCTTCTGGGGCAGCACCTCTCGCATAGCGCCGCTGGCGCTGAACGGATTCGACCTGCTCTCAGGCTTAACCAGTCCACCTTTGGGATTTGTCGATCGTGCTCGATTGGCTGTCCGTCCCACTTTCTCACACCTATCGGCTATTTCCATTCAGTTGTTGACCTGGAAAGCTGTTTTTCTGGTGGCGGTAACATCTGGTCGGCGGGTCGGCGATTTACATGCTATGTCGTCCGACCCGGGCGCTGACTGTGTTTCACACGGATCGTGGTCAGTATTCGCCCCCAGATACTTTACCGAATCGGCACGATCACGCTTCCATGTGACAGCTCCTATCGAACTTCCTACTCTTACCCAGCCTTCCACATCGGGACCACTCCTACGAAGCACTCACCCGCTGGATGTCCGTGAAGACGCCAAAGTCTATCTCAAACTAACGCAGGGGATCCGTGACGGGTACCCAGCTGTTCTGTTGTTACGGTGGCGGAAGGCTGGTTCGCCAGCGCAGCAAGCAGACTTTGTCTCGCTGGCTAGTATCGTATTTGTGCCGCTTATCAGGCTAAGGGCAAGCCTCCCCTGAGGGGTTGAAGGCTCACTCGGTCAGGGCAGTAGCCGCGATCAAAAGCTTTTGCATCGCACTCCCCATTGAAGAGATCTGCTCCGCCGCTATTTGGAGCCGCCAAGCACGCTTATACGCCATTATCAGCTCGACACGCATTCCCGTAATCGCAAACTTTGGTCGCATTGTTCTCTCCAGTGGACAGTGTCCTGCCACCCTGACCGAAAGTGAGTCTTGGTTTATTGGTTTGTTTTGACGCTACTGTACAATAAGATTCCATTATTGACATGTCTGCTAATGTGAGCTCACTCAGAGAACCTGTACCCCTTCGATTCTTCACGGAGTTACTGTATCGCTAGTGAGTGGTATTTTGTTTTCCCCACGGTGCTCTCATGAAAGAAGCCACTTAGTGGGTCGGATTTCGTTGATATTCGCACTACGCGCAATGTCTCATTATGCTAGAGGTCGCCTTTGAGCACAAATCCTCCCTGTCAGTTCCCTCCCATAATGCCTCTCGCTGAAGCTAAACTGGGTCGAAAGTGACAGGTGAGTGTTATGGCGCCTGTTCAATTTTTTTCCATGATACGATCGCTATATTTTGAGTGTGCTTGACAGAATTCCTCCTCCCTGGCCTCCGGCTTTGGGAGTCTGTGTTTATGCATAATATGTACCCCAAGGACGATCTCTCTCTGAAAAGAATTAACCAAACCTGCAGAGGTTTTCAATTCTTTGAAGAGAGTCGCCCTTGGGGTAGGGCCTCCCACCTCCCCGCAATTCTGTTCACTGATAAGAATTCAGCAGAAGGAATGATGATACGGGTCTAGGAGCCTACCCAGTTGGTGCGCATGCTTAAGGGAGGTAACTCCGCGGAGGTAGGGTCCGTGATAATAAATAAAAGAGTTTATTTATTGTACAATCTTTTATTCAAAAACATTGATACAACTGTCACAGGACATTTTTCAGCCGAAAATGCATAATATGTACCCCAAGGACGACTCTCTTCAAAGAATTGAAAACCTCTGCAGGTTTGGTTATATTCATCAAAGCTTCAGTAATATTTTCAGTGTACACAAGGACATACCTGAGTAAGATCATTCTTGACGTCCTTCTTGTTTCCACAAGTGTAGACCAGCTCCCTCTTGCCCAGAGCATTTTCCCAGGTATACAGCTGGGTCTGGTTGGGGCCCAGTTCATGTACACTGTTCTTCACACCGCTGAAACACAAACACCCTGCATTACACCAGCACCACATCTAGGTCATTCATATAATGTCCCTCCACAAGAGAACCTAATGCACTGCATCATGCAAGAGTGACCTAGGCCAGGCGTGTCAAACCAGGCTGGAGGCAACACTGTCTGGTAGGCATGTGTGGCAACATGTGAGTCTAAGTTTAACTGGTGGTGGTGAGTTTAGTTTTACATCGTTTTTAGCAATATTCCAGCAATATCACGGAGGGTACACCAGAAATGGGCTTCATGCATTGTACCCATGTGGGGAATCGAACCCTTGTCTTTGGCGTGACGAACGGACGCTTTAACCACTAGGCTACCCCACCGCCTGCTAAGTTTAACTGGGATTAAGTGGCTCAGGCAGATATTTGAGAATGATTGTTCTCTGGCAGGTCACGGTGTACTTGTCTGAGTTTGATCTGTTCAAGGGCAAGCTACACTTGTCTGTGTGATATACCTACCTCTGGAAGAAGGTGAGTGAACACTTGTCTGTGAAGTTGACAATCTGTACAGAGGCCATGCCCGACTTGTAGGCCTTGAAGGTGGTCACCATGGCACTCTCAGTCACCTGGCATTCTGTGTTGATACCGCCATACTAGACAGGAACAGATATACACTGTAGCATGGCACCCAACTACATATTCAATCCAAGGTTATTGTTGTCACAAAGATCACATTCAGATAGCATATGTCATCCTTCAGTTAAAAAAAATTGATCATAAATGGGTTTTGAACTCCCAACGGTCTAGGTAATTCCCTAATGCCCTCAGCTGTAAAATGGGGACCCGTGAGGATATGCTGGCAATGTGAGTGTTCATTCATTGCGCTAACAGGCAATATGACTGTATGCTCCCGAGGGAGTTGAAAAGGTATCAGAAAATATGACAGTGTCCTATGACCGGGGATAGTAATGTACGTAGGGACGTGAGCAGGCAATGTGCCTGGATGTGAGCACCATATAAGCAGACTATTATTATTACTACTATTCCCTAAGACCACCCACCTCATTGTTGAGTCGCATGAGTGAGGTATGAGCCTTGTTGATGAGGAACATGTCTGTGCTTTCGTTACTGTCCTTCACCTTGGCTTTCATGGTCATCTCCTTCCCCGACTGCTCCGGCCAGAATGGAAGACACTGCAACACATGACGTCACACAGTATCTGAATAACTGCTTGTCTGGGGCCTCAACAACCTCCACCCAGTAAACCGGTTAGATAGACCCGTCTGTCTGTGTCTGTACCACCCCCACCCAATACTATTAGTCAGACAGACAACCCTGCCTGCGTGCCCTCACCTTGACAGGAACGACCTCCACCCAATACTATTAGTCAGACTGACACCCCTGCCTGCGTGCCCTCACCTTGACAGGAACGACCTCCACCCAATACTATTAGTCAGACAGACACCCCTGCCTGCGTGCACCCTGCTCACGCGTTGCCAGGAACGCACCTCACCTTGACAGACAGACAACCCTGCCTGCATGCCCTCACCTTGACAGGAACTTAATTCTCCACCCAATACTATTAGTCCAACCTCCACCCAATACTATAAGTCAGACAGACACCCCTGCCTGCGTGCCCTCACCTTGACAGGAACAACTTCCACCCAATACTATAAGTCAGACAGACACCCCTGCCTGCGTGCCCTCACCTTGACAGGAACGACCTCCACCCAATACTATAAGTCAGACTGACACCCCTGCCTGTGTGCCCTCACCTTGCCAGGAACGACCTCCACCCAGGACTCTGTGTCTGTACACTCGGTACACATGATGGAATACTGAAACATAACAGGGAAGGCACTGAGTCATGTGCGAAAGCGAGGTCAGAAACCATAGCAAGGACACTCGTTTCATATAATTCGTATGTAATGAGACTGAGTGTTGTATTTTATTTATTACCCACTTCTTACATGCATTAAATTGACAAAAGAGCATATTTTGGTTATTGTTATGTTTCAAACCGAAACCGGTTTCATAAGGAGGTTGCGGAAGAATTTTGTTCTGTAGTCACTTTTGCATGACGTCACACTGTATCGACGTCACTAAGCCATTCTCGTCTGTCCCCTTGGTAACCGACGTCATGATGCATGTCAGTTGTCATCGCCTCGGACAGTAAACTACTCCATAGCACCCCTTTTCTTGGTTTGCGGTTGCTTCACATGACTGATGGAAACACTGCATTTATGTTTTTCGACGGATATATTGTCTCAGTTCAACTCACAATTAAACAGCAATACGGCAATGTTCGCAATGTTTACATTCCCACAATGCATATAAGTTATAGAATGAATGAATTCACGTGTTTGTCATGAATGAACAAGTAGTTCCGTGACAACGTGACCTAACTGAAAGGTCATCGGTTATCCAATCAAATCGTTAGAATCTCAGGTCAAGTCGTTACAACACAGGTCAACGCGATACCACAGTCGTGTGACGTACGAGGTTAGTATGTAACTACCCATATGTTGACCACGTGGGTAATAAAGGTGGGAGCCTTGTCTCCACTTGGCAACAATGATTCAATACATCTAGATCTATGAACAGAGAACGATGAGTATTGAGCACTCAGTACTTTCAGAGAACATGTGCTGTACACCAGCTTTCCTTCCTTCAAGGAGTCTGTACTTACCTCGGCAGTGTTGAGCAACATGTAGAACGGTGTGAACGTGACGATCTTGGTGAGACCAGAAGATGTGAGGCTGATCTTCACACCCATCTGTAGCACATAAACATACAACATACAAAACCACTATAATCTGACAATATGTCCAAGGAAAAGAAAGATGAAATTCTTATCAAGAAAAGGTGGACCAATACAGCAATGTTGGATAATGTGAAACTGTGACCCAGTCAAAATAGCAAGATGACCATCACAAATTGTAAGAGAAATGATTTCGATTAATTTACAATCAGAGTGAGTGAGTGAGGTAAGATTTACAGTCACATCGGCAATATTTCAGCCATATCGGGACTAAATCAAGTTTAGAATTCACCATAAGTACATGTACATTATAAAAACCTGTCATCGAAGGACAGTAAAACCAACTAGAATATCACAGTATCAAGACATAAAACTAGCATCTCCCTCTAAAACTGGATTTCAAATGAGGACAATATAATATAAAAATTGGCTAAAGGTCGCCAACAACTGAAGGTAGATCACCATACTAGGGACCATGGGAACTTATTTACATTTAGAAATTATACCTTTATAACATAAATGTCTACTAAACTAGGACTAGTGGAAGACATTTATATTTGACGTTGAAGGTCAGGAGATCACAGTCCTACTGACACACAAGTCAGGGTTTATCTTTTGTCCTCTTTTTGTATTAAATGTGCCCAATACATATCAAATGAAGGCAATGATATGCAAAAAATAATACACTAGTGTTGGGATTTGGTTAAAATCTCATAATTGATGATTGGTTCATTACAACCGATCAATCATCAAAAATAATTGGTTAGCGTCATTTATGAAATTTTCCTGATTATTTTGTTAATGGACAAAAAAATAAAGAAAGAAACATGTAGTTCTTTTGGGTTTTTGCAAATTGCACAAAATGCATTGGCAAATTTCACATCTTTAAAGGCTGACTAGTATGTTAGGAACATAAATTTCTTGGAGTCTTTAAGACAAATTCAATCATGACTTGGAACGAGCTTGTAGTACTTATGAAATGTAACAGACAAAACTAACCTTGTGAAAAATATTGTTAACGCAAACAAGTGTACCGGAATTGTTTTTGTTTCGATTATGAGAAAACATGATCGATTGCTTGGTCGTTTAGTCACTGAGACCAATCTTTGATTATTTCAATTAATCGGACCACCACTAATCTACACCCTCTCCCCTGAAATAACACTAACACCACTTTAAATGTAATATAAACTGATTCCATTATTTCATGAAACAAATGGTATAAAGTTAACAGGCAAATGTAAAATCAACATCTCAATAATTTCAAATGAATTTAACGACAAAATGTCAACAAAAATACCAATGAAGTATTGGTCAGTTGAGGAATTACTAACTGTTGTTGTGCTACAGGGCGTACAGGCAGTGCCATGGCAAGTAACCTAGGAACCAAAACAACTACTGATGTTATATCTCTCAGATCATGACTACAGGTGGCTAAACGTGGATGATGAAGAGATACAATATTTGTGCATTGAAAGAGTGAGTGAGTGAGTTTAGTTTTACGCCGCTTTTAGCAATATTCCAGCAATATCAGGGCTTCACACATTGTACCCATGTGGGGAATCAAACCCGGGTCTTCGTCGTGACAAGCGAACGCTTAACCACTAGGCTCCCCCACTGCCCCTGTATTGAAAGAGGTAAGACATCCTTTGTAAACACCTGTAGAAAATGAACAATATTGGAAGAAAGTATTTGTGTTCTGTTTGTAAGGAACAGAGCCTGTGTGCCAGCTGTATGAAGGGCTCACCTCAAACACTCTCTTGTTGCTCTTACACTGCACAGTGCCGGAGCTGCCCACTGTGTCCAGGGAGAACTTGTCTGACCACTCCGTGTCACCGATCTTCAGCTGGGCCTACACAGCATCACAAACAACACCTGCATCACTGCATCAACACAGTGTCGACACAAAACACAGTGTCGACACAAAACACAGCATCCAGACACCACACTTCATCAACACAAGTACAGATAACATTGAGCTACACACTACACATTAGACACTGAACATTGGAGTGACTGATATACTTCAGGATAATTATGGTTTTCTACAGATGCTGGTAACATAACAGTTCATTGAGACAAGATACTGCATCCACACAAGACTGCATCCAGATGCAACACAACATCAACTCAGATCACTTCATCGAGACAAGACACTGCATCCACAGATAACATTACTTATTACTAAACAGATACTGTACACATTGTACACTGGACTTTCACATGACTGATTTACTTCAGGATAATTATGAGATAGTTTGTACCAAATGTGTCCCCCCTGTCACACCTTATATCACCATAACAGTGAGGCTAACAGAGGGCAGCACACGTACAGGTATGCTGCACACATCATTCAATGCTCCGCACCTGAAACGGTTCGACAACCAATGACGAAATACAAAATATAAAAATGAAGAAAAACATGCAAGAGAAATCATTGTCAATGATGTCAAACCTCACGTCCTGCCTCGTAGGCAAATGACTAAACAATTAAAGCACCACAAACATACATGCAGAACAAAATAAACAGCTACTTCAGTAAATCAGGCAATTTCTGTTCATGCAGAGCAAAATCTATTGGTCATTGGTGAAATTGTTGTCGAACATGAAAGTAGATATTGAATGAGGAAATATTGAACCCAAAGTTGGAGACAAGAATCAAACCTGAAGATAGAAAAGTGAAAATGGAATCCGGGAAGAAACCTAAGTTGCTGTGATTCCTCTGACAAAAGTCCCTCTTCCTCTACCTCCTCCACCAGATGTAAACACGTCTACCCTCACCACCTACAGGAACGTTACCTGTCTGGCCTCAGGACACTTAGACTTCTCCTCCTTGTTGTCCTGGTCAGCAGGAGTTAGACAATCAGTAGGGTAAGATCAGACATATACAACAGTTCATAGGTCAAGGAGATAGATGAAGCAAGGAAACAAGGCCTCAGATACAAGCATGGCATTCACTGGACACCCAAGTTACTGTGACACCTCTCTCTACTACTGGACACCCAAGTTACTGTGACACCTCTCTCTACGACTGGACACCTCTCTCTCATCCTTGACACCCAAGTTACTGTGACACCTCTCTCTACGACTGGACACCTCTCTCTACTACTGGACACCCAAGTTACTGTGACACCTCTCTCTACTACTGGACACCTCTCCCTACTACTGGACACCCAAGTTACTGTGACACCTCTCTCTAATCCTTGACACCCAAGTTACTGTGACACCTCTCTCTAATCCTTGACACCCAAGTTACTGTGACACCTCTCTCTTATCCTTGACACCCAAGTTACTGTGACACCTCTCTCTACTACTGGACACCCAAGTTACTGTGACACCTCTTTCTACTACTGGACACCTATCTCTACTACTGGACACCCAAGTTACTGTGACACCTCTCTCTACTACTGGACACCTATCTCTACTACTGGACACCCAAGTTACTGTGACACCTCTCTCTACTACTGGACACCCAAGTTACTGTGACACCTCTCTCTACTACTGGACACCCAAGTTGCTGTGACACCTCTCTCTACGACTGGACACCTCTCTCTGCTACTGGACACCAAAGTTACTGTGACACCTCTCTCTACTACTGGACACCTCTCTACTACTGGACACCCAAGTTACTGTGACACCTCTCTCTAATCCTTGACACCCAAGTTACTGTGACACCTCTCCCTACTACTGGACACCCAAGTTACTGTGACACCTCTCTCTACTACTGGACACCCAAGTTACTGTGACACCTCTTTCTACTACTGGACACCTATCTCTACTACTGGACACCCAAGTTACTGTGACACCTCTCTCTACTACTGGACATCTATCTCTACTACTGGACACCCAAGTTACTGTGACACCTCTCTCTACTACTGGACACCTCTCCCTACTGACTGGACACCCAAGTTACCGTGACACCTCTCCCTACTACTGGACACCTCTCCCTACTACTGGACACCTCTCCCTACTACTGGAGACCCAAGTTACTGTGACACCTCTCTCTACTACTGGACACACCTCTTGGTACCATATTCATTCATTAACAACTCCCCACTTACGTCCACCTGTGAGGGTGCCATATCTAAAAATATGCCTCACTTAGATCTAGATTGTAGAGGTTGTATATCTAAGACTGTTTCCAGTCTGGAACCAGATTATTGGGGTGAGATGTCGAACAATGTGCCCCATCTCGAAGCAACTTACTGTGGTGGCAGACCTAACCCAGTGCTACCTAGTCACATTTATTCACCACCACAGACAACAACATCATGACATGATCACAAGTAATTCTGAAAGAGTAAAAATAATTAGAGAAATGATAAGATGTTTGATAGGTAACAAGCAAGTATTTGCATGACACATGCTTGTTTTGGCAGCTACCTAAAGATACTATCTTGTGCATGCACACAACAGTGATGGGCATACACTGGGATAGTGGTTGCATCAGACAAGCAAACACAAAAGTAGCCCCGTCACCACCTTATGTTTAATCAAATCAACAGATACCTCTCACATACTTTATCAGTGTTTGTGGTAGATTCATTGCTGTTGCGTGCCAAACATGACTTAGAAACTGACAAGTTATGGGTGCACTGTTGTTATTTTTATGCTGAGTCCAAGGGGAGTCTTAGCTCAGTCCAACCCTAATTAGGTTAAAGTGTACCAGGTACTTCCGCCCACTAGGCACTGTGCAATGACCTTCATAAGGCTTGCTTGCATGAAAGAATACTTGTATCACTTGAAATCAATAACATGGACTACAACAACTGGACTGTCATGCTATGAGTTTGTATGACAACTGTGGCAATAAGCTTACTTTGTTTCTTGTCCATTTGTAATTTACTGACATTAGACAAAATATCTCATGCCTCTACCTTACTTAATGTCCATATCTCATGGCTCTACCTTACTTACTGTCAATATGTCATGGCTCTACCTTACTAAAGTCAATATCTCCTGACTCTACCTTACTTAATGTCAATATCTCCTGGCTCTACCTTACTTAATGTCCATATCTCCTGGCTCTACCTTACTTAATGTCAGTATCTCCTGGCTCTACCTTACTTAATGTCAATATCTCCTGGCTCTACCTTACTTAATGTCAATATCTCCTGGCTCTACCTTACTAAAGTCAATATCTCCTGACTCTACCTTACTTAATGTCCATATCTCCTGACACTACACCTTACTTAATGTCCATATCTCCTGACACTACCTTACTTAATGTCCATTATCTAATGGCTCTACCATTACTTTTAAACACTGACAATTTGGTACAGCTAGTTGATAGTGAAGTTTAATATGCATTGTTCTCACTTTTCCATTAGTAATCTTATCAGACTTCACACATAGTTATCTGGCTTCTATTTAATAAATTCTGTTTTCTAAAATTAATCTTGACATGTGCTTTATCCTTTAAGCTACAATTGCAGCCACTAGCCAATGTACCATGCCTTGTAACACGAAGCTATGTATACACGTCTTAAAGCATCCGACTACAGATAGGATGATAACTGTGTCGGATTAATGAAAGATAAAGATGGTGGCGGAAATCAGTACTAAACCACTATAAGACTGGTGGTGTCGAGGGGCTGCTTGTTATTGGATACCGCAAGATGAGATGGAATTAAATGTGCTGAAGAACATAACACAGAACAAATTTCACAACAGAGTGAAACTAAACCTGAAACTGGAACAGATGCTGAAATAAGACATCCATGCGAAACAGCAGCTATTCTACACACTGACGAGGTGTGAGTGCGCTGGTTGTAAACGTGGTCTACAACAGCTGACAGCTACAATAGTCTCCTACTATGCTGGCCAGTGTATGGTGTTAGTGAAACAAGCTGTCAGACATGCTACAGGCTGCTGCAACTGGGCTGAGCTTGTTGCTAGGCATGCCTGCCCCGCCCAGATACGTACTTTACCACTCTGCTTCATCTCTTTCACCTTGCCCTTCCTCTCCAGCGTGCCGTCCTTCTCCTTCTCCTTCAACAACACGGGCATTCAGTCACATCTTCCCTCATCAGGATAAACCCACCCCGGCACCCCGACACCCAGACAGATTACATACCTTTGTGGAACAACGACAATGAGTTGATATGCCTGCCTTTTTTCATTTAGGCCCCGTTTCAGAAAGCTATCGTACCACTACAATTGCTGTACCTCCAATACAGACTTACGACAGTCGTAGCACCATGATAGCTTTCTGAAACAGGGCCCAGGTCTTTCCATAATTGTACTTTCCAAGCTGGAGGAACAAGCTTCGACAACCCACCCATCCTTGTTGTTAAAGTGCACCTACAACACACCTCCAGTGGACCACCATTGTGTTTAAAGTGCTGCTTCCCCAAAATAATCCAAGTATTAGTATCTATATGCTAAATATGTAAAAAAAGCATATTAGAATCACACGTGTAGAAGGAAAAAGATAAAAAAAGCTGCCTTAACAAAGACTTCTTCTCAGACTAACCACTAGTACAGGTGTTGAATGTGACCTAAGCACCATGTACATGTGAACTGTACAACCAGTACATTTGTTAAAGGTGACTTTTGTCACGTGACAAATGTGACGCAGCACCTGGTATATGTACTGAAAGTTCAAGGTGTGTTGAATGTTATTTCAGTACCTAGTGTGTGTTGAATGTGATGTGCGTACCTAGTGTGTGTGTTGTATATTATTTCAGTACCTAGTGTGTGTTGAATGTGACGTCAGTACCTAGTGTGTGTGTTGAATGTTATTTCAGTACCTAGTGTGTGTGTTGAATGCTATTTCAGTACCTAGTGTGTGTTGAATGTGCTGTCAGTACCTAGTGTGTATGTTGAATGTTATTTCAGTACCTAGTGTGTGTTGCATGTGCCGTCAGTACCTAGTGTGTATGTTGAATGTTATTTCAGTACCTAGTGTGTGTTGAATGTGCCGTCAGTACCTAGTGTGTGTTGCATGTGCCGTCAGTACCTAGTGTGTATGTTGAATGTTATTTCAGTACCTAGTGTGTGTTGAATGTGCCGTCAGTACCTAGTGTGTGTTGCATGTGCCGTCAGTACCTAGTGTGTATGTTGAATGTTATTTCAGTACCTAGTGTGTGTTGAATGTGCCGTCAGTACCTAGTGTGTGTGTTGAATGTGCTGTCAGTATGTAGTGTGTGTTGAATATGCCGTCAGTACCTAGTGTGTATGTTGAATGTTATTTCAGTACCTAGTGTGTGTTGAATGTGCTGTCAGTACCTAGTGTGTGTGTTGAATGTTTTTTTCAGTACCTAGTGTGTGTTGAATGTGCCATTAGTACCTAGTGTGTGTGTTGAATGTTATTTCAGTACCTAGTGTGTTGAATGTGCCATTAGTACCTAGTGTGTGTGTTGAATGTTATGTCAGTACCTAGTGTTTGTGTTGAATGTTATTTCAGTACCTAGTGTGTCTGTTGAATGTGACCTTACTCCCCCATACATTTGATGAACGTGACCTCAGTACACAGTTCTTGAGCTCACTTTGACATGAGGCCCACTAAGTGTGTTGAATGTGACCTCAATGTTCAGTACCTGGGCTGAATGTGACATTAGTCCCCACTACATGTGTTGAATGTGACATTCGTCCCCACTACATGTGTTGAATGTGACATTAGTCCCCACTACTTGTGTTGAATGTGACACAAGTCTCAAATACATGTGTTGAATGTGACACAAGTCCCCACTACGTGTGTTGAATGTGACACAAGTCCCCCCATGTGTGTTGAATGTGGCATTAGTCCCCGCTACGTGTGTTGAATGTGACATCAGTCCCCACTACGTGTGTTGAATGTGACATCAGTCCCCGCTATGTGTGTTGAATGTGACATTAGTCCCCGTGTGTTGAATGCAGTGTTGAATGTGACACAAGTCTCAAATACATATGTTGAATGCGACACAAGTCCCCACTACATGTTGAATGTGACATTAGTCCCCACTACGTGTGTTGAATGTGACACAAGTCCCCCAATGTGTGTTGAATGTGGCATTACCCCCCGCTACATGTGTTGAATGTGACACAAGTCCCCACTACATGTTGAATGTGACATTAGTCCCCACTACCTGTGTTGAATGTGACACAAGTCCCCCCATGTGTGTTGAATGTTGCATTACCCCCCGCTACATGTGTTGAATGTGACATCAGTCCCACTACGTGTGTTGAATGTGACACAAGTCCCCCCACCTGTGTTGAATATGACATTAGTCCCCACTACCTGTGTTGAATGTGACATCAGTCCCCACTATGTGTGTTGAATGTGACACAAGTCCCACTACCTGTGCGGAATGTGACATCAGTCCCCACTACGTGTGTTGAATGTGACATTAGTCCCCCTTACGTGTGTTGAATGTGACACAAGTCCCCCCATGTGTGTTGAATGTGACATTAGTCCCCGCTACATGTGTTGAATGTGACATCAGTCCCCACTACGTGTGTAGAATGTGACACAAGTCCCCACTAAGCGTGTTGAATGTGACACAAGTCTCAAATACATGTGTTGAATGTGACACAAGTCCCCACTACATGTTGAATGTGACATTAGTCCCCACTACGTGTGTTGAATGTGACACAAGTCCCCCCATGTGTGTTGAATGTGGCATTACCCCCCGCTACATGTGTTGAATGTGACATCAGTCCCCACTACGTGTGTTGAATGTGACACAAGTCCCCCCACCTGTGTTGAATATGACATTAGTCCCCACTACCTGTGTTGAATGTGACATCAGTCCCCACTACTTGTGTTGAATGTGACACAAGTCTCAAATACATGTGTTGAATGTGACACAAGTCCCCACTACGTGTGTTGAATGTGACACAAGTCCCCCCATGTGTGTTGAATGTGGCATTAGTCCCCGCTACGTGTGTTGAATGTGACATCAGTCCCCACTACGTGTGTTGAATGTGACATCAGTCCCCGCTATGTGTGTTGAATGTGACATTAGTCCCCCTTACGTGTGTTGAATGTGACACAAGTCTCAAATACATATGTTGAATGTGACACAAGTCCCCACTACATGTTGAATGTGACATTAGTCCCCACTACCTGTGTTGAATGTGACACAAGTCCCCCATGTGTGTTGAATGTGGCATTACCCCACGCTACATGTGTTGAATGTGACATCAGTCCCCACTACGTGTGTTGAATGTGACACAAGTCCCCCCACCTGTGTTGAATATGACATTAGTCCCCACTACCTGTGTTGAATGTGACATCAGTCCCCACTATGTGTGTTGAATGTGACACAAGTCCCACTACCTGTGGGAATGTGACATCAGTCCCCACTACGTGTGTTGAATGTGACATTAGTCCCCCCTACGTGTGTTGAATGTGACACAAGTCCCCCCATGTGTGTTGAATGTGACATTAGTCCCCGCTACATGTGTTGAATGTGACATCAGTCCCCACTACGTGTGTAGAATGTGACACAAGTCCCCACTAAGCGTGTTGAATGTGACACAAGTCTCAAATACATGTGTTGAATGTGACACAAGTCCCCACTACATGTTGAATGTGACATTAGTCCCCACTACATGTGTTGAATGTGACACAAGTCCCCCCATGTGTGTTGAATGTGGCATTACCCCGCTACATGTGTTGAATGTGACATCAGTCCCCACTACGTGTGTTGAATGTGACACAAGTCCCCCCACCTGTGTTGAATATGACATTAGTCCCCACTACCTGTGTTGAATGTGACATCAGTCCCCACTATGTGTGTTGAATGTGACACAAGTTCCACTACCTGTGCGGAATGTGACATCAGTCCCCACTACGTGTGTTGAATGTGACATTAGTCCCCACTACATGTGTTGAATGTGACACAAGTCCCCCCATGTGTGTTGAATGTGACATTAGTCCCCGCTACATGTGTTGAATGTGACATCAGTCCCCACTACGTGTGTAGAATGTGACACAAGTCCCCACTAAGTGTGTTGAATGTGACACAAGTCTCAAATACATGTGTTGAATGTGACACAAGTCCCCACTACATGTTGAATGTGACATTAGTCCCCACTACCTGTGTTGAATGTGACACAAGTCCCCCCATGTGTGTTGAATGTGGCATTACCCCGCTACATGTGTTGAATGTGACATCAGTCCCCACTACGTGTGTTGAATGTGACACAAGTCCCCCCACCTGTGTTGAATATGACATTAGTCCCCACTACCTGTGTTGAATGTGACATCAGTCCCCACTATGTGTGTTGAATGTGACACAAGTCCCACTACCTGTGTGGAATGTGACATCAGTCCCCACTACGTGTGTTGAATGTGACACAAGTCCCCCCACGTGAGTTGAATGTGACACAAGTCCCCCCATGTGTGTTGAATGTGACATTAGTCCCCGCTACCTGTGTTGAATGTGACATCAGTCCCCACTACGTGTGTTGAATGTGACACAAGTCCCCCCATGTGTGTTGAATGTGACAATAGTCCCAACTACCTGTGTTGAATGTGACACAAGTCCCCCCGTGTGTGTTGAATGTGACAATAGTCCCAACTACCTGTGTTGAATGTGACACAAGTACCCCCGTGTGTGTTGAATGTGGCATTAGTCCCTGCTACATGTGTTGAATGTGACATTAGTCCCCCCCCCATGTGTGTTGAATGTGACATTAGTCTCCGCTACATCAGTTGAATGTGACAATAGTCCCCGCTACATGTGTTGAATGTGACATCAGTCCCCACTACGTGTGTTGAATGTGACACAAGTCCCCCCACGTGTGTTGAATGTGACAATAGTCCCCACTACATGTGTTGAATGTGACATCAGTCCCCACTACATGTGTTGAATGTGACACAAGTCCCCCCATGTGTGTTGAATGTGACAATAGTCCCCGCTACATGTGTTGAATGTGACATCAGTCCCCACTACGTGTGTTGAATGTGACACAAGTCCCCCCACGTGTGTTGAATGTGAGAGAACACACCTGCATTCACCCCCACCATCAACTGACACCTGCAAGTGTTAGTTCTCATGAGCTACTACCACTGTGCTTTGTGGAAAGAAATCACTCCTTTATTACCGGTTCTTTGCCTGTATTCAGCTGCAAGATAAAGTCTGTGCTTAACCTTCACAGATACCGGCACATCCATCAAGACATTAGGCAACACATGTTGAGATCATCATAAGATGGCTCTGATGGTGCAACAAGGCAGCAACAATATCCTAGCAGCATTTATTATTATTATTTATTTATTATTATTGGATATTTATATAGCGCACATATCCACGCACTAGTGCATGCTCAAGACGCTGGTAGTTTTTCCCTCAATCATTGGATGTCAATCTCAACTCCCTGGGGTTCATACAACTCTTGCAGCCACTAGGCGCACAGAGTTATTGCGGCTTTCCCATCCGTCGTACGAGGTACCCATTCACAGCTGGGTGGACTGGGACACATAGTCACAGTATTTTGTCCAAGTTTTACTGCACGTTGCTGTACCCGCAACTAGGTGTTTGCACGTGTTCATGTGGCCACCATCTGGTCATATACCAAAGGATTCGTGGGTTCTTTTAAGTGCACAGGGTTGTGTACTGTACACTAGGGGTTGTGACAACACTGAAAGAGTCTGCACACAAAGTTGACTCCAAGGTTTTTACACCCGGTCACAGGTGGGCTCGATCCCGGCACCTCATACTCGTTGGATCACTAGCCTGGCGCTAGTATATCACAGATATCTTGTGATACATACCTTCTTCTTGGTACCGAAGAGAGTCTTGGCCTTGAAGGAGAACAGGACAACATCCTCGAGGTCGGCCGGGTGGTCTAGAACAACATCAGCATCGGAACCCTGGAATCAACACACAGAATCAGACATGAAGGCAAACTGGGGTAATACAGAATAGCAAACAAATGTTCAGAACTCTTATGAAGACATCCCTCCAACACTTGATTCTCGAATTCAACATGAGGCCTGGTGGCCCAGACAACACAACACTGGGAAGGAAGACAAATGTAAACAACTGACTGAATGTTAACTGATAAGATAACTGGACCCGCGTTTGGTTATTTGTTACAACATTTGAGAATCCAACATTTCCAATTAACGATACTTCTAACGACATCCTGATGAAGTCATTTTGTGTCTCTGGTGTTTAGTGTACAGTACACGGCCTGTTGGCAGCAGATGGTCAACCTATGGGTAGAGATGGCGTTGTTGCACAGTGAAACCAACACCATCATAAAAAAAATTTTTTATTTGTGTTAACACATAATGTTGACAACCAGAGGTGTACCTCCAAAAAGGAGTAGCAGTTCCCAACACAAGACAACAATCTGTCCATCATGTAGAGCACCAGCTTACCTTGTAGCAGTGGGACTATCCAGCTTACCAGCTTAGTAGCAGAGGGACTGTCCAGTCTTGTTCAGCATCCAGTACGGGCTGTACAGCGTGACGTCGAAGCTGCCCTCGTTCACCTTGCAGTGCAGACCTAGATCCTGAAACATCAAGTACACAAAGTCAGTCTCATCTCCAGGTTAACGATGTCCTTCCCCTTACAGCAGCTCCCGCATCAAGTCCTTCCCCTTACAGCAGCTCCTGCATCAAGTCCTTCCCCTTACAGCAGCACCTGCATCAAGTCCTTCCCCTTACAGCAGCTCCTGCATCAAGCCCTTCCCCTTACAGCAGCTCCTGTATCAAGTCCTTCCCCTTACAGCAGCTCCTGCATCAAGTCCTTCCCCTTACAGCAGCTCCCGCATCAAGTCCTTCCCCTTACAGCAGCTCCTGCATCAAGTCCTTCCCCTTACAGCAGCTCCTGTATCAAGTCCTTCCCCTTACAGCAGCAGCCCTGCATCAAGTCCTTCCCCCCTTACAGCAGCTCCTGCATCAAGTCCTTCCCCTTACAGCAGCTCCTGCATCAAGTCCCTTCCCCTTACAGCAGCTCCTGCATCAAGTCCTTCCCCTTACAGCAGCTCCTGCATCAAGTCCTTCCCCTTACAGCAGCTCCTGCATCAAGTCCTTCCCCTTACAGCAGCTCCCGCATCAAGTCCTTCCCCTTACAGCAGCTCCTGTATCAAGTCCTTCCCCTTACAGCAGCTCCTGCATCAAGTCCTTCCCCTTACAGCAGCTCCTGCATTCAAGTCCTTCCCCTTACAGCAGCTCCTGCATCAAGTCCTTCCCCTACAGCAGCTCCTGCATCAAGTCCTTCCCCTTACAGCAGCTCCTGCATCAAGTCCTTCCCCTTACAGCAGCTCCTGCATCAAGTCCTTCCCCTTACAGCAGCTCCTGCATCAAGTCCTTCCCCTTACAGCAGCTCCTGCATCAAGTCCTTCCCCCCTACAGCAGCTCCTGCATCAAGTCCTTCCCCTTACAGCAGCTCCCGCATCAAGTCCTTCCCCTTACAGCAGCTCCTGCATCAAGTCCTTCCCCTTACAGCAGCTCCTGCATCAAGTCCTTCCCCTTACAGCAGCTCCTGCATCAAGTCCTTCCCCTTACAGCAGCTCCTGTGATCAAGTCCTTCCCCTTACAGCAGCTCCTGTATCAAGTCCTTCCCCTTACAGCAGCTCCTGCATCAAGTCCTTCCCCTTACAGCAGCTCCTGCATCAAGTCCTTCCCCTTACAGCAGCTCCTGCATCAAGCCCTTCCCTTACAGCAGCTCCTGCATCAAGTCCCTTCCCTTACAGCAGCTCCTGTATCAGTCCTTCCCCTTACAGCAGCTCCCGTGATCAAGTCCTTCCCCTTACAGCAGCTCCTGTATCAAGTCCTTCCCCTTACAGCAGCTCCTGCATCAAGTCCTTCCCCTTACAGCAGCTCCCGCAGATCAAGTCCTTCCCCTTACAGCAGCTCCTGCATCAAGTCCTTCCCCTTACAGCAGCTCCTGCATCAAGTCCTTCCCTTACAGCAGCTCCCTCCTGATCAAGTCCTTCCCCCACAGCAGTTCCTGCATCAAGTCCTTCCCCTACAGCAGCTCCTGCATCAAGTCCTTCCCCTTACAGCAGCTCCTGCATCAAGTCCTTCCCCTTACAGCAGCTCCTGCATCAAGTCCCTTCCCCTTACAGCAGCTCCTGCATCAAGTCCTTCCCCTTACAGCAGCTCCTGAATCAAGTCCTTCCCCTTACAGCAGCTCCCGCGTCAAGTCCTTCCCCTTACAGCAGCTCCTGTATCAAGTCCTTCCCCTTACAGCAGCTCCTGTATCAAGCCCTCCCCCCTTACAGCAGCTCTCGCATCAAGTCCTTCCCCTTACAGCAGCTCCTGCATCAAGTCCTTCCCCCTTACAGCAGCTCCTGTATCAAGTCCTTCCCCTTACAGCAGCTCCTGCATCAAGTCCTTCCCCTTACAGCAGCTCCCGCATCAAGTCCTTCCCCTTACAGCAGCTCCTGTATCAAGTCCTTCCCCTTACAGCAGCTCCCATCAAGTATCAAGTCCTTCCCCTTACAGCAGCTCCCTCATCAAGTCCTTCCCCTTACAGCAGCTCCCCGTCATCAAGTCCTTCCCCTTACAGCAGCTCCCCTTGCAGCTCCTGCATCAAGTCCTTCCCCTTACAGCAGCTCCTGCATCAAGTCCTTCCCCTTACAGCAGCTCCTGCATCAAGTCCTTCCCCCTTACAGCAGCTCCTGCATCAAGTCCTTCCCCTTACAGCAGCTCCTGCATCAAGTCCTTCCCCTTACAGCAGCTCCTGCATCAAGTCCTTCCCCTTACAGCAGCTCCTGTATCAAGTCCTTCCCCTTACAGCAGCTCCTGCATCAAGTCCTTCCCCTTACAGCAGCTCCTGCATCAAGTCCTTCCCCTTACAGCAGCTCCTGCATCAAGTCCTTCCCCTTACAGCAGCTCCTGCATCAAGTCCTTCCCCTTACAGCAGCTCCTGCATCAAGTCCTTCCCCTTACAGCAGCTCCTGCATCAAGTCCTTCCCCTTACAGCAGCTTCTGCATCAAGTCCTTCCTATCACTCATTACACTTACCATGGCAGTTTTCGTGGTTCCATCATGGCTCTCGGAGTTCCATACAGACAGCTCGGGGACATTCTTTTGGAGGGTCCTGCGGCCGATCCACTCCTTGCCCTGATAGTCCGGGATCTGTAACACAGACATAGTGTCATCCCAGCCAGCACCCAGCATAGTCTCTGTACAGGAAACCAGCATAGTCTCTGTACAGGAAACCAGCATAGTCTCTGTACAGGAAACCAGCATAGTCTCTGTACAGGAAACCAGCATAGTCACTGTACAGGAAACCAGCATAGCAGCCTTGGACAGTAATACAGCAAGGCTTTACAGATGCCCTAGGCCAGAAAACTGGCATACAGCCTCATGTTATGGGTTGTAGGATGCTTAAGATAATCCCCTGTTTTCTCAATTACCATATGAACTATTGTAAAACATGGCACTAAGTTAATAATGACAACTTCATCTTAAACACAAACAATGGGATGGAGAGAATGAGCGGATATATTACTTACTGATGCTGCAATAATAAACTATGTGAAGATGAACACAATGGAATATGATATTGAAGAAGCAGAATTAGAAGTTCCATACCACCTTGCTTGTATGAAGACACGACCTGATGGAGTGTTATCCCAGCAGGTATGACAGGTATGTTATGTACATACACCTGTCCTGGGTACCTACTGAAAGGTGGCACAGTAAAATACATGTGTGCATCTCCTCGTGACAGGCCTGTGCATGTTAACCAGGATGATACTGTATCAACTATCACCAACTTGTGGTATGTGTATTATTAGTAATATGATTTAGATCAACATTCAGCTGTGTTACGTGTAATACTGTTTAAGCTCATTTTAGTAATTCCTTGAAACATTATACATTGTTGTCATGGTAACAATGTGTTCCAAGATACACATTCTTAGAGCATGGCATCATGCTTTAGCACATTATCAGAGCATATGTGATTGCTGTACTGGTGTCAACAACTGAACAAGGTGCTTATATTCCATGCCTGTAGAGGACAATGCTGCAAGCATGTGGTTCCATGCCTGTAGAATACATCGTTGCAAGCATGTGGCTCACTGCCTGTAGAGTACAATGATGCAAGCATGTGGCTCCATGCCTGTAGAGTACAATGATGCAAGCATGTGGCTCACTGTCTGTAGAGTACAATGCTGCAAGCATGTGGCTCCATGCCTGTAGAGTACAATGCTGCAAGCATGTGGTTCACTGCCTGTAGAGTACAATGCTGCAAGCATGTGGCTCACTGCCTGTAGAGTACAATGCTGCAAGCATGTGGCTCCATGCCTGTAGAGTACAATGCTGCAAGCATGTGGCTCACTGCCTGTAGAGTACAATGCTGCAAGCATGTGGCTCACTGCCTGTAGAGTACAAAGCTGCAAGCATGTGGCTCACTGCCTGTAGAGTACAATGCTGCAAGCATGTGGCTCACTGCCTGTAGAGTACAATGCTGCAAGCATGTGGCTCACTGCCTGTAGAGTACAATGCTGCAAGCATGTGGCTCACTGGCTGTAGAGTACAATGCTGCAAGCATGTGGCTCCATGCCTGTAGAGTACAATGCTGCAAGCATGTGGATCCATGCCTGTAGAGTACAATGCTGCAAGCATGTGGATCCATGCCCCTGGAGGTACAATGATGCAAGCATGTGGCTCACTGCCTGTAGAGTACAATGCTGCAAGCATGTGGCTCCATGCCTGTAGAGTACAATGCAAGCATGTGGCTCCACTGCCTGTAGAGTACAATGCTGCAAGCATGTGGCTCCATGCCTGTAGAGTACAATGATGCAAGCATGTGGCTCACTGCCTGTAGAGTACAATGCTGCAAGCATGTGGCTCCATGCCTGTAGAGTACAATGATGCAAGCATGTGGCTCACTGCCTGTAGAGTACAATGCTGCAAGCATGTGGCTCCATGCCTCTGGGTACAATGATGCAAGCATGTGGCTCACTGCCTGTAGAGTACAATGCTGCCTGTAAGAGCACAATGATGCAAGCATGTGGCTCACGCCCGGGCCCACGTCTGTGGCTCAGCCTGTAGAGTACAATGATGCAAGCATGTGGCTCACTGCCTGTAGAGTACAATGCTGCAAGCATGTGGCTCACTGCCTGTAGAGTACAATGATGCAAGCATGTGGCTCACTGCCTGTAGAGTACAATGCTGCAAGCATGTGGCTCACTGCCTGTAGAGTACAATGATGCAAGCATGTGGCTCACTGCCTGTAGAGTACAATGCTGCAAGCATGTGGCTCCATGCCTGTAGAGTACAATGCTGCAAGCATGTGGCTCACTGCCTGTAGAGTACAATGATGCAAGCATGTGGCTCACTGCCTGTAGAGTACAATGCTGCAAGCATGTGGCTCCACTGCCTGTAGAGTACAATGCTGCAAGCATGTGGCTCACTGCCTGTAGAGTACAATGCTGCAAGCATGTGGCTCCATGCCTGTAGAGTACAATGCTGCAAGCATGTGGCTCACTGCCTGTAGAGTACAATGCTGCAAGCATGTGGCTCCATGCCTGTAGAGTACTATGCTGCAAACATGTGGCTCCATGCCTAGTGAGTACAATGTGGCACGACAATGTGAGTCTCCTCTCATGACTTGATGACACAAAGATGCAGTTTCTGTAATACTGCCACTATCATACAATCACAAGCTAAGATATACAGACAATACACCGCATGGTAAGCATTATATAAGAAGCACTAGTTTGATGGCGACATAAATCTCTAAAACGGAATACATCCAGGTTAAAACAAATCATGCTCTTGAAATCAAAAAGTGGAGAAACAAATAGGCTTGACGATGACAGCAGGGTGTTTGAGATATGAAAGGTGTTGGTGCAGTGACACATGTATCTAGCATACTGTTCCACGTCTACAGTCTCTACCAGCTATACACTGGCTTGGTGCAGTGACACATGTATCTAGCATACTGTTCCACGTCTACAGTCTCTACCAGCTACACACCAGCTATACATTGGCTTGGTGCAAGTGTATGATGTGTGAGTAGAGCGAGTCACCTGACATCCATATACTCAGAACACATAGCTGACATCTGCTGTCATCTGTGCTCAACTGGGTATACATAAACCTATCTGTGGGTAATAGAATTCGTTTTACTGTGCTGTCTTCCAGAACCCAAACAGCTTGTGATGTGTTGCCCTTGTCCTACAGGTGTGTCCAAGTGATCGGACATAGGGACATGGTCAGCCTTCACATGTGTTGACCTACGTGTGGACCTCACCTCTTTCTTACATATAGGAAGTGTTCAAAGCCTCTCTTCTATTAAGGATATTGAAGAAAAAAAAGAAGCAATATTTTCTGTCAAATTTTATCAATTTTCCGACCACCTTGTTAATAATGAATTATGAATGTCCTCATGAGCAAAGCCTTTCGTCTGGGAACCCATTGAGGTGAGTAGAGTCAAATATGCACTTATATTCACTACATTTTCCAAACAACTATCCTAAACTTAAATCAACAGTACAGCGTGCAGTCAAATGTCAGACGGCAGACATTAGTGGGACTATCTGCCTGGGGCAGTCAGTACACATGTACTAGGATGGTGAGACTTGGGGACAACTGGATCAACAAGCAGATTATTGACCTACTCAGTAACCTCAAGGACACAGCACTTTTCTCTATTCACATACTTCAGAATTTACTCATATAAAACAATTTTAAAAAGATATTTTCCCAAACAGTTCATAAAAACACTTCTGTGGAGGACCAAAACACCAACAGCTTATTAGTAATGAGTTACCATGTAAACAAATTATACACAAGTCCTTTGAGATGTAACTTTCAAATATTTCACTCCAAAAACATCAACCAAATGGCTTCATGCCCCGCTGACTATCCAGTCAGCCAGTGTTTTATATCTCCATACCATGACACATTATGATATGACCCATTCCCTTGGATAACTCTGTATCTTCATTTCTCTGTCTGCACCTTCCCACCAAACCTCTCACCCCTGATGAGTCTGTAACAGTTGCCATGTCAGTGTTGTGTCATTATGGTAGCTACTTGGTCCAGGCATGTTTCAGGAGATACCAGACACTGGCTACTGTAGGATGGCTTTACTACAGAACATGTGGATGTACTGTCCATGAGGCTGCCAAGCTCCCCAGTCTCACCATCGGCTACAGACAGCCCAGACTGTCAACTACACAGACACACGACAACAGACACATGACAACAGACACATGACAACAGACACATGACAACAGACACATGATGCATATGTGAGCTAGGCTACAATCATACCACAATGTCCAGGCGTGGCTGTCAGGGGGGAAAGTCAAGTGTTAAGAGTTATCACAGACATGTTACACCAAGCTGGCGTTAGTCCCTCAACGTGCTGGCAGATCCACAAAATCCCAGCCCCATACAGTCCCTTACACCACACACATCACCACAATACCTCATCCCAGCTGGACACGCATCCCATGTACCAGAACATTTCACATGTTAGAAAATACATCATTTAGCAGGTCAATAGATATTAGTAATTTATTATTAAATCATTTAAGTAATAACTTTCACTTGTACGGGAAAGGTTTTTAGTTAGCGCCAGAGACAGAGGGACGGACTTACTGATATTTCCAGGTTTGACTCGTTGACACTGGCATGGAGGAGGGGGATGTTCTCCCCCTTCTGTAGGGTCTGCTGCTCCGACATCCCCTGAAACACACAGTGCATCGTGTAGACACTCGGCCAGATGATGGTGGAGAGGCCTCACACACTACATACAACCTACATAGAGGTGATGGGACACAACCTACATAGAGGTGATGGGAAACACCCTACATAGAGGTGATGGCACACGACTTACATAGAGGTGATGGGACACGACCTACATAGAGGTGATGGGACACGACCTACATAGAGGTGATGGGACACGACCTACATAGAGGTGATGGGACACGACCTACATAGAGGTGATGGGACACGACCTACATAGAGGTGATGGGACACAACCTACATAGAGGTGATGGGACACAACCTACATAGAGGTGATGAGACACAACCTACCTCCAGCATAGAGGTGATGGGACACAACCTACCTCTAGCATAGAGGTGATGGGACACAACCTACCTCCAGCATATAAGTGATGGGACACAATCTACCTCCAGCATAGAGGTGATGGGACACAACCTACCTCTAGCATAGAGGTGATGGGACACAACCTACCTCCAGCATAGAGGTGATGGGACACAACCTACCTCCAGCATAGAGGTGATGGGACACAACCTACCTCCAGCATATAAGTGATGGGACACAACCTACCTCCAGCATAGAGGTGATGGGACACAACCTACCTCCAGCATATAAGTGATGGGACACAACCTACCTCCAGCATATAAGTGATGGGACACAACCTACCTCCAGCATATAAGTGATGGGACACAACCTACCTCCAGCATATAAGTGATGGGACACAACCTTCCTCCAGCATATAAGTGATGGGACACAACCTACCTCCAGCATATAAGTGATGGGACACAACCTACCTCCAGCATATAAGTGATGGGACACCACCTACCTCCAGCATATAAGTGATGGGACACAACCTACCTCCAGCATATAAGTGATGGGGAAGGGCAGCAGGTTGTGAAGAATGACTGTAGGGTACAGGTGTAGGACGTAGCTCTTGGCTGAAGGCTCCTCGCCTGCCTCAAAGAAGATGTTCTCCACCTCAGTGCTCACCTGGAACACCACAGTTACCACTTCATAACAACACTCCAATCAGTTAAAAACCATTGAAAGTAGTGGTCAGATATATGCCTGAGTATTTGTTTTAACAGTACAATACCTTTAAGAAATCTGTACCAAAAATGAATTAGCTTGTTAAACGAGTATGCAGATGATATCATACAGTAGACCCATTACAGGCCTTCCCCTCAGTTACAACCTCTCCAACCAAGGAAGTCAGGATACTGGCCATTACGTCATGACATAATATATATGTTGACCAGGAAAGAGTTAAACTGAAACATTCGTGTAAGTTCAGAACATGTTTGACCTCCAGCTGAGGTCAACCATCCACAGGATGATGTCAGACTCACATTGAAGTAGAAGGCTGAGTATCCACTCTGTCGACTCGGGCACGCACACTGCTTGATTCCGCCATTCTCTGCAGCCCGCCACCGGAACGCTTCCTTACACATGTCGTATCTGCAATGACAGAGAGATCACTACAAGCTGTCTCCCATATCACACACCATCTGAACAGCATCTCATCTTCCAAATATATCTGATTAGGGAGCTGACTTGAGTTCCTTTATTGCATTTACTGAGTCTCAATCCGCGGTAGATACTGTGTTATGAATCCACATAGAAATAAATATGCATGAATTAAAACTGTCAGTGAATCACACACACAAACATGAGAGATTCTAGTTCTCCTGCGTGTGTACACAGGCAACACCCGACCCAAATCAACCTTTAGTTTGATCATCTGTTGTATTTCTGTAAATAATGGTCTCACCCTTCCACAGGTCGGAAGAAGAGTTCACTGGATGAGGAGTAGACAGCATGCAGCGGGATGTTGAAGATGCCACCAGGAGGGGTCACTCCACAGCTGTCAGTTCGTGTATCCCCCCGGTAGTACACCTCCACTGCTTGGTCCAAGTGATTCTTTACCTAAACAAGAGTGAGTCAGTGAGTAGGTGAAACTGTTGTCAGGAATGTTCATGACTGACTGAGTTTGGTTTTACGCCGCTTTTAGCAATATTCCAGCAACATCACGGCAGGGGACACCAGAAATGGGCTTCACACATTGTACCCATGTGGGGATTCGAACCCGGGTCTTCGGCGTGACGAGCCAACGCTTTAACCACTAGGCTACCCCACCACCCCCAGGAATGTTCATGAGCTATCATGGTGCAATATAGACAAACTTTATGGATAACGTCTTTATTTTGTGAGTCTATTATTCGGAAATGAAGAAGTTGTTATCTATATATTTTGTCTATATTGTACTTCCCAGCTTCTGAATGCCAGTGATCACAGTGGTCTGAACCTGGGAAACCCATAGCAGGAAACATACCACTCCATCATCACCACGTCAAACAGTCTGACCACCAGATGCTATCACAGTCACCTCTTATAACAGCAATTTGGTTCATGGGACCTGGTGAAGTCGGGGTTCCACTAACAGCTAAAACATGGAAGTGTCAGCTTTTTGGTTGATGTCCCCGAAGTCATACAATGATGTGTATTGACATAACAGATAGCTGTTAAGTGTACGAAAGACAAAATTGCAGAAAACTACCTGTATGAGTGACTGCAGGGCCACTATCTTCTGCCCGACATGCGCCTGTGTGTTGGCGACGATGGCCCACTTGTCTCCACTGTGAGACACCTTGTTGATCTGGAACATGCGTTTCTCGGCCCTCTTGATGGTCACTTCTCGAGTAGCTCCAAACTCCTCCACCTACACAACACACACAGATAGTTTACTGTCTGAATCTGGCAGATTTCATGTTCTACATCCATTGGTTATAGCAGTATACTGCAGCAATGCCACTGATGTTAAGTACTGAACATACCAGGAAGATGATCTTTCTCTCCACACCCTCCTGCGTCGCCTTGATGACAGATGCCTTCGTGGATGCCTGGGCAACGATCTTCTCTGACAGGGGCAGCTTCTTCAAAGACTGGAGCTTGACACGCCCACTGACTGCATGGGTCGGAGTCTACACATGGAGAATATACACACGTCAGTGACAGACAAGTTATACCTAGACACACCCACTGACTGCATGAGTCGGAGTCTACACATGGAGAATATACACACGTCAGTGACAGACAAGTTATACCTAGACACACCCACTGACTGCATGGGTCGGAGTCTACACATGGAGAATATACACACGTCAGTGACAGACAAGTTATACCTAGACACACCCACTGACTGCATGGAGAATTACGGACAAACAAGTCTACACATGGAGGGTCGAATATACACACGTCAGTGACAGACAAGTTATACCTAGACACACCCACTGACTGCAGGATTATACCTGAAGCAGCCCACTGAGTCTCTACACACATGGAGAATATACACACGACTGCAGGATTCGAGTCAGTGACACCACTGACAAGTGACAGACAAGTTATACCTAGAACCATTATCTACCTACACGCGTCAGTGAGACACACCCACTGACTGCATGATTCTGGTGGAGTCTACACATGGAGAATATACACACGTCAGTGACAGACAAGTTATACCTAGACACACCCACTGACTGCAGGATTCGGAGTCTACACATGGAGAATATACACACACGTCCAGTGACAGACAAGTTATACCTAGACACTTTGACACTGACTGCATGATTATACGAGTCTAACACATGGAGAATATGACCGCAGTCAGTGACAGACAAGTTATACCTAGACACGCCCACTGACTGACTGCATGGATTACACACGAGTCCTAGACAACACATGGAGAATATACACCGCGTCAGTGACCAGTGACAGACAAGTTATACCTAGACAGACACCCACTGACTGCAGGATTCGAGTCTCACACATGGAGAATATACACCGCACGTCAGTGACAGACAAGTTATACCTAGACACGCCCACTGACTGCATGATTCGAGTCTACACACTGGAGGAGAGAATATACACACGTCAGTGACAGACAAGTTATACCTAGACACACCCACTGACTGCAGGATTCGGAGTCTACACATGGAGAATATACACACGTCAGTGACAGACAAGTTATACCTAGACACACCCACTGACTGCATGGGTTGGAGTCTACACATGGAGAATATACACACGTCAGTGACAGACAAGTTATACCTAGACACGCCCACTGACTGCATGGGTCGGAGTCTACACATGGAGAATATACACACCTCAGTGACAGACAAGTTATACCTAGACACACCCACTGACTGCATGGGTTGGAGTCTACACATGGAGAATATACACACGTCAGTGACAGACAAGTTATACCTAGACACGCCCACTGACTGCATGGGTCAGAGTCTACACATGGGTGTGTCACGTGGGTCTCTATGTATGACCTGTTTGTCACAAGGACAACACAAGGACAACACAAGGTCAACACAATGGACAACACACTGGACAACACACTGGTCACAGATAAGTCCTATCTAGAAGTGTCAGAGAGCATAGTGACGTGCACATACCTCAAAGGACGTGTCCAGCTTGAGTACAATGTCCATGCCGGTGTAGTTCTCTATGACGTAGGGAGTGAGGACTTCCCCAATTGCAGTTGATGGCTCCACCAAGTTGTAAGCATCATTGAAGGCCTGCATCACAAAAAACATAGATTAACAACATTCTTAACATGTTTTTGTCAATTTCACAATAATGAAAATAGAAATATGTCACAAGAAATATAGGGGCAGGTTTTGACCACACAAAAGCATGGCAGACTTTAGAAAGATAAAACATGAAATCATCCAAAAGGTGTATGTATATTTCTCCAGTGGTTCTGATTTTCTAATCCGCAATCCCTAATCCCTTCCATGTCAGTCAACCCGAGATCCTGGGGCTCCACCTCCAGCAGGGATGGGGTCCTCCCTAGCTGCACTAGACATGCAGGCAGACATCACTAGGTATTTTGTAAGGCGGATGACTACAGGTGCACGTGTGTAGAAACTCACCTTGCCCAGGTTGGTGAGCACCTCCAGGCAGGCCTTGGACATGGTGAGCTGCATGGCATCAGTAGACTTGATGCTAACGCTCATCTTGGGCAGCGGCATCACCACGGCGTCTTCAGCATCCTCTGGAGGCAACGGGGGAAGGTCATCGTTCTGCACCACCTGGAACACACAAAACACATTCATGTGTACTCACGCCATGTAGCATGTATAATACCCGCACTATACAACATGTATGTCTACCCAAAAAAGTAGGCTATTGGGGACAACAACCATAGGCACCTGGGTCAACTGTACGTTATTGGGCAACAACTGTAGGCACCTGGGTCAACTGCACGTTATTGGGCAACAACTGTAGGCACCTGGGTCAACTGTACGTTATTGGGCAACAACTGTAGGCACCTGGGTCAACTGTAATGCGTTATTGGGCAACAACTGTAGGCACCGCAACTGTGCGTGGGCAGCAACTGTAGGCACCTGGGTCAACTGTAATGCGTTATTGGGCAACAACTGTAGGCACCTGGGTCAACTGTGTGTTGATTAATGGCAGCAACTGTAGGCACCTGCTATGGTCAACAACTGTAGGCACCTGGGTATTGCGGCAACAACTGTAGGCACCTGGGTCAACTGTAACAACTGTAGGCACCTGGGTCAACTGTATCGTTATTGGGCAACAACTGTAGGCACCTGGGTCAACTGTAATGCGTATTGGGCAACAACTGTAGGCACCTGGGTCAACTGTAATGCTGGGCAACAACTGTAGGCACCTGGGTCAACTGTACGTTATTGGGCAACAACTGTAGGCACCTGGGTCAACTGTACGTTATTGGGCAACAACTGTAGGCACCTGGGTCAACTGTACGTTATTGGGCAACAACTGTAGGCACCTGGGTCAACTGTACGTTATTGGGCAACAACTGTAGGCACCTGGGTCATTGTACATGCAATTGGGCAACAACTGTAGGCACCTGGGTCAACTATGCGTTATTGGGCAACAACTGTAGGCACCTGGGTCAACTGTACGTTATTGGGCAACAACTGTAGGCACCCGGGTCAACTGTACGTTATTGGGCAACAACTGTAGGCACCTGGGTCAACTATGCGTTATTGGGCAACAACTGTAGGCACCTGGGTCAACTATGCGTTATTGGGCAACAACTGTAGGCACCTGGGTCAGCTATGCGTTATTGGGCAACAACTGTAGGCACCTGGGTCAACTGCTAATGCGTTATTGGGCAACAACTGTAGGCACCTGGGTCAACTATGCGTTATTGGGCAACAACTGTAGGCACCTGGGTCAACTATGCGTTATTGGGCAACAACTGTAGGCACCTGGGTCAACTGCTATGCGTTATTGGGCAACAACTGTAGGCACCGGGTCAACTATGCGTTATTGGGCAACAACTGTAGGCACCTGGGTCAACTGTACGTTATTGGGCAACAACTGTAGGCACCTGGGTCAACTGTACGTTATTGGGCAACAACTGTAGGCACCTGGGTCAACTGTACGTTATTGGGCAACAACTGTAGGCACCTGGGTCAACTGTACATTATTGGGCAACAACTGTAGGCACCTGGGTCAACTGTACGTTATTGGGCAACAACTATTGGCAACTGGGGACAACAACTGTAGGCTATTAGGACAACAACTGAAGGATACTGGGCAACAACTGTAGGCTACTGGAACATATTCTTACCTGGAAACAGGTTCAGGAGAAATACTCTAATCTTGGATGTATAGCTTAAAACTTAACCTACAACAATGACAGTGTACATACCTCAAGTCCCAGCTCCCAGCGGCGAAGCTTCCCATCCTCCAGGAAGGGCTCTACCAACGGCTCCCACACAGCCAGCTTCTCATTGTAATATGCAACCTCAAGCTGCAGTGAGCTGTCCACCAACAGCTGAAATACACCAGGCTAAGTCTCAGACAGGCAGCAAAATCACATCAACAGTGCCACAGAAACATCAACCTCAAAATGTCAAAGCAACATCAGTTCCACCTCAACCCTGGTGTCAAAGAATCATCACTCTCACATCCGTGTCACACAGGCAGTAACATCAGTCTCACAACATGTGTGTCCCTAAACATCAGTCTCACAACATGTGTGTCCCTAAACATCAGTCTCACAACATGTGTGTCCCTAAACATCAGTCTCACAACATGTGTGTCCCTAAACATCAGTTTCACAACATGTGTGTCCCTAAACATCAGTCTCACAACATGTGTGTCCCTAAACATCAGTCTCACAACATGTGTGTCCCTAAACATCAGTCTCACAACATGTGTGTCCCTAAACATCAGTCTCACAACATGTGTGTCCCTAAACATCAGTCTCACAACATGTGTGTCCCTAAACATCAGTCTCACAACATGTGTGTCCCTAAACATCAGTCTCACAACATGTGTGTCCCTAAACATCAGTCTCACAACATGTGTGTCCCTAAACATCAGTCTCACGACATGTGTGTCCCTAAACATCAGTCTCACAACATGTGTGTCCCTAAACATCAGTCTCACGCGACATGTGTGTCCTAAACATCAGTCTCACAACATGTGTGTCCCTAAACATCAGTCTCACAACATGTGTCCCCTAAACATCAGTCTCACAACATGTGTGTCCCTAAACATCAGTCTCACAACATGTGTCCCTAAACATCAGTCTCACGCGACGTGTGTGTCCCTAAACATCAGTCTCACAACATGTGTGTCCCTAAACATCAGTCTCACAACATGTGTGTCCCTAAACATCAGTCTCACAACATGTGTGTCACTAAACATCAGTCTCACGACATGTGTCCCTAAACATCAGTCTCACGCTAACATGTGTGTCCTAAACATCAGTCTCACGACATGTGTGTCCCTAAACATCAGTCTCACAACATGTGTGTCCCTAAACATCAGTCTCACAACATGTGTCCCTAAACATCAGTCTCACAACATGTGTGTCCCTAAACATCAGTCTCACAACATGTGTGTCCCTAAACATCAGTCTCACAACATGTGTGTCCCTAAACATCAGTCTCACAACATCAGTCTCATGTGTGTCCCTAAACATCAGTCTCACAACATGTGTGTCCCTAAACATCAGTCTCATAACATGTGTGTCCCTAAACATCAGTCTCACGGCATGTGTGTCCCTAAACATCAGTCTCACAACATGTGTGTCCCTAAACATCAGTCTCACAACATGTGTGTCCCTAAACATCAGTCTCACATGTGTGTCCCTAAACATCAGTCTCACGACATGTGTGTCCCTAAACATCAGTCTCACAACATGTGTGTCCCTAAACATCAGTCTCACAACATGTGTGTCCCTAAACATCAGTCTCACAACATGTGTGTCCCTAAACATCAGTCTCACAACATGTGTGTCCCTAAACATCAGTCTCACGACATGTGTGTCATGTCTCACCGACATGTGTCCCTAAACATCAGTCTCACAACATGTCCCTAAAACATCAGTCTCACAACATCGTCCCTAAACATCAGTCATGTGTGTCCCTAAACATCAGTCTCACAACATGTGTGTCCCTAAACATCAGTCTCACGACATGTGTGTCCCTAAACATCAGTCTCACAACATGTGTCCCTAAACATCAGTCTCACGACATGTGTGTCCCTAAACATCAGTCTCACAACATGCGTGTCCCTAAACATCAGTCTCACAACATGTGTGTCCCTAAACATCAGTCTCACAACATGTGTGTCCCTAAACATCAGTCTCACAACATGTGTCCCTAAACATCAGTCTCACAACATGTGTGTCCCTAAACATCAGTCTCACAACATGTGTGTCCCTAAACATCAGTCTCACACGTCCCTAAACATCAGTCTCACGACATGTGTGTCCCTAAACATCAGTCTCAACTCAACATAGATAACACAGACAGAAACATCAGTCTGGCAAATACACTGGCATCTCCTCAACCACGGCCTCTCTGTGGCCATACATCACGCAGTAGTGGACAGGAACAGGATCTGGCACTTGAAAGCCCTACCTTTGAGCTCCAGTCACGGACTTCAGCCTGGAATGATGACTCAACAATCAGTAGCGGCACCGTCCTATGGCCGACACCCCCTTCAAGCTTGATCACAAGGGATGGCAAATTCAGGATCAACTGTACAAAACAAGCAGATCCAAAATGAAACATCACATAAACCTCATTTGGCTAATCCTTGGCGTTTTGAAACATTTAACAGAAAAATACCCACAATGTTTCAGATTTGAGGATGACCATCTAAGATTATAGTTAGCATAGGGACCAGTTTGTACATTTACTCTTTCATGTGCCATATACTCTGACACAAACGTGTATGGTTGACAGAGACATTACCTGTTCTCCACGTGGCATGCCGACCTCCTCGGCAACCTCTCCGTTTGTCAGGGCAGGTTCTGTCACTTCTGGTGCAAGACCTTCCTCAACTGTAACAGTGAAAACATCACAGAAGTTGCAGTGTCCACTACTGTGACAGACCAGGAAACATCCATTCACGCACACACTGGTTTCCAGGAACACTCAGTTAGCCTTAGTTTCAAAACCAAGAAAGAATTATGATAACTGAACTCTGCATATCAGTGTCTGACAGCAGTTGAAAGGAACTGCTGTACAAAAAGCATAGGATTTTAAGTGCTGAGCGGTGAGACCACGTACTGGACTTGAGGTACCAGAAGTTGCACTCTTCCACCTTCTTTACCGTCCACAGTGCAGCGGGTACCGGCTCTCTGGTTGGGCCTTCTTCCTCTGCCTACAAACAGAATTACTACTCGTAAACACAACTGTTTTAAGTGAATAAAATATATACCATTCAGGTCCAAGTAAAAATAAGTACAGATGTGTAAGAATAAGTGTGTCTTTCAAGGTTCTTGTGTGTTCGTGCATGTTCTTGACAGCCATCAAAATATGAATAAATGTGATTCAGGATGGAAACAGACTTACTGGTTTGGAGGCAAATCCTGCTGACATGGCAGCTTTCTTTGTGCATGTATACTCATGGAAAAATGTATTGCAACACCTATGATTTTAACTCCCAATTAGTCTATATTATTATCGTGTTTGTTTATTCTGACCCTTGAGGTGCACTATTCATTGACTTAAGATATATACATGCTTTGATCAAAGGCAAACATCACTTGCAATATGTATACCCATCATTAAACAAATATCAAATTTCAGTAAACTGTTCTTACAGCTTGATGACTCTGGGGGTCGGGGGAGGGAGGGAGGGAGGAGAAGAATGAATCACAAGTCTTCATCTGTTCATGTAAAGTGGTGTGTTAAAAGCCACATTGTCGTTTTTCCAACAGAATGGTCTGAAACTGCCTGAAATCATCTGGGTACAGTGCAAGACGACCAATCAGACGTCTGTTGTTCTCCCCAGAGCAGCACAAACCAGCTTAGTGTCAAGCTCATTGGAATATGACGTCATGGGGAAGGTCAATTGGTCAGACGAAAGTTGATTTCTTCTGTTCATGACTGATGGCCAAGCTCATGTTTGGTAACATACTGATAATATGGAAATATGGGGTATTGTAATACTATTGTAACTAATTGTGTTAGTTCCCCGGGTGCTGTTGTACAAAAGAACCTTAGCGCTAAGTCTGTGTTAAGTTATGGGAGATACGATCACCTTAAGCTAAGTCTGTGTTAAGTCTGTGTTAAGTTATGGGAGTTCACGATCACCTTAAGCGCTAAGTCTGTGTTAAGTTATGGGAGTTACGATCACCTTAGCTAAGTCTGTGTTAAGATTGATCACCTTAGCTCTAAGATTGCTTTGTACAACGGCACCCAGGTCGAGAGTGTGATGAAGGGATGAGCCATGTGTCGCCAGAGAATATGGATAAAACTGAATATGCCATGTCGGCATTGTGTGAATAAAGTAGTTTGTGCTTTACATTTTGTGTGATGGATTGGATTTTGTGTTGATATTCAGCGGATCTTGTTGGGTCAAGAGAAAGCTGATTTTACCAAGAAGTACGACTCACGGGTTTGGTGGCAAATCCTGCGGATATAGCAGCCATGGTTGAGATGATGGCTGGAGAGATGTTGAGAACTAAGTCAGTGATATTGATATCCATATGGTGATCCTTCCCATAGGGCGCACTGCTAATGAAGGAGATGTCACACGGCTGCAGCACCTGCACAACAGACAACTACATCGTCAACACATGTCACACGGCTGCAGCACCTGCACAACAGACAACTACATCGTCAACACATGTCACACGGCTGCAGCACCTGCACAACAGACAACTACATCGTCAACACATGTCACACGGCTGCAGCACCTGCACAACAGACAACTACATCGTCAACACATGTCACACGGCTGCAGCACCTGCACAACAGACAACTACATCGTCAACACATGTCACACGGCTGCAGCACCTGCACAACAGACAACTACATCGTCAACACATGTCACACGGCTGCAGCACCTGCTAAACAGACAACTCAGACTACATTGTCAATACATGTCACACGGCTGAAGCACCTGCACGACTGACATCAACACAGCATACAACTACATCGTCAATACATGCTCGATACTACTTCCGTCCCATAGGTGTCTTCTTTAACACAGTCAGTACATGACCAGTACTGTCACCCATCAACAGGAATGCTTCTCCCACCCAGCTATATGATCAACATGAGATCCATAGTACCTAGCCCCATAGATGTCTTTTGGCAAAAAGATACAGTCAATACATGGTCAATACTACCTTCCCCAATAGACATCTCTACATGCAGCTGCATGGGCAATATGTGGGCAATAATGCATGCCTAAGTAGTCATATTCCCTACACAGCTGCATATACAATATGTGGTCCATAATGCACACTTAAATAGTCATATTCCCTACACAGCTGCATGGACAATATGTGGTCAATAAAGCATACCTAAATAGTCATATTCCCTACACAGCTGCATGGACAATATGTGGTCTTATAATGCACGCCTAAATAGTGATATTCCCTACAAACAGCTGCATGGGAAATATGTGGTAAAAAATGCATACCTAAATAGTGATATTACCTACATACAGCTGCATGTGCAATATGTGGTCAATAATGCATACCTAAATAGTCATATTCCCTACATACAGCTGCATGGGAAATATGTAGTCTATAATGCATGCCTAAATAGTGATATTACCTACATACAGCTGGATGGACAATATGTGGTCAATAATGCATATTACCCATTATTATCTACCTCTACACAGCTGCAAGTTTCATATCTGTTTATTTTCAAGGCCATGGCCTAATGGAATAACAAAAGACATTTTTGCGTGGTGACAATGGTAAAGAAGACTGCCCTATAAAAACTTTCTAAAATCATGAAAAGGTCCAAATGACATTTGTATCATGCAAAACTGTTCAATACACAATTGTCTCTATTCAATCTATATTTACACACATAGAGAGCTGTCCTGCCTACCTCTGTCAGTGGCTTGTCTCTCTTGCTGAAAACACAGGAGATGATCTGGAGTCTCTTGATGTTGGCCTGCATAGACTGGACATCTGGGGTGTTGCGTAGCTTGAACATCAGGCCCAGCTACAACACCGACACAACGCTTGGCATACACTTACATATAGCGGTATTCATGTATGGCATATATGGAGTCAACAAGAGTCAACACTCATTCAACATCTTGGTAATAGCAGCAGGATTGATGCAAAACATGTCACAATAGTTATATTATTTCCTTGTAGAGTCAGGATTAAGGTAATATAGCCAGAATTGAGGTAATATAGAGTGAGGATTGAGGTCAAACAGAGTGAGGACTGAGGTAATACTGTAATGATTGAGGTAATACAGAGTCACAATTGAGGCAATATCAAGTCAAAATTGATGCAAGGCTGAAGCAGAAAATCATGGCTAAATCAAGGCGATATCATCAAGATTGAAGAACATAGACATCAGACTGAGCCAAGAAGGGAAGATCAAGTAAAGATTGAAGCATTATAGTCATGACTGAACCCAGATTGAGCATACAGCATCAGGGTTGAGGCAAAGACAAGATTAATGCAAAATCGAAGCAGTATCATCAAGAGTGATACAATATAGGGCCAATAGACAGGCAAAAGCAAGGCAGAGAAATAAAGCATGTGTAGTATACTCACTGATTGTGTGTCAAACTTTGTGATCAAGGAGTAGGAGACACAGGTAAACAAACAATTAGGAAGACAGGTAGGTAGACAGGGAGGTCGACAGAGAGATTATGTAGACAGGGAGGTCGACAGAGAGCTTATGTAGACAGGGAAGTCGACAAATAGGTTATGTAGACAGGGAGGTCGACAGAGAGATTATGTAGACAGGGAAGTCGACAAAAAGGTTATGTAGACAGGGACGTCAACAAAGAGGTTATATAGACAGGGAGGTCGACAAAGAGGTTATGTAGACAGGGAGGTCGACAAAGAGATTATGTAGACATGGAGGTCAACAAATAGATTATGTAGACAGGGAGGTGGACAAAAAGGTCATGTAGACAGGGAGGTAGACAAAAAGGTCATGTAGACAGGGAGGTCGACAAAGAGGTCATGTAGACATGGAGGTCAACAAAGAGGTCATGTAGACAGGGAGGTGGACAAAAAGGTTATGTAGACAGGGAGGACAACAAAGAGGTTATGAAGACAGGGAGGTCAACACAGAGGTTATGTAGATAGGGAGGTAGACAAAGAGGTTATGTAGACAGGGAGGTTGACAAAGAGGTCATGTAGACATGGAAGTCGACAAAGAGGTTATGTAGACAGGGAGGTCAACAAAGAGGTTATGTAGACAGGGAGGTCGACAAAGAGGTTATGTAGACAGGGAGGTCAACAAAGAGGTTATGTAGACAGGGAGGTCAACAAAGAGGTTATGTAGACAGGGAGGTCGACAAAGAGGTTATGTAGACAGGGAGGTCAACAAAGAGGTTATGTAGACATGGAGGTCAACAAAGAGGTTATGTAGAGAGGTTATGTAGACAGAGGTCAAAAAGAGGTTATGTAGACAGGAGGAGGTCGAACAAAGAGGTTATGTAGACAGGGAGGTCGACAAAGAGGTTATGTAGACAGGTAGGTCAGGTGTAGACAAAGAGGTTATGTAGACAGGGAGGTCGACAAAGAAGTTATGTAGACAGGGAGGTCAACAAAGATTATGTAGACAGGGAGGTCAATGAAGAGGTTATGCAGACATGGAGGTCTACAATGAGGTTATGTAGACAGGGAGGTCGACAAAGAGGTTATGTAGACAGGGAGGTCGACAAAGAGGTTATGTAGACATGGAGGTCAACAAAGAGATTATGTAGACAGGGAGGTCGACAAAGAGATTATGTAGACAGGGAGGTCGACAAAGAGATTATGTAGACAGGGAGGTCGACAAAGAGGTTATTTAGACAGGGAGGTCGACAAAGAGATTATGTAGACAGGGAGGTCAACAAAGAGGTTATATAGACAGGGAGGTCAACAAAGAGGTCATGTAGACAGGGAGGCCGACAAAGAGGTCATGTAGACAGGGAGGTCGACAAAGAGATTATGTAGACAGGGAGGTCGACAAAGTGGTTATGTAGACAGGTAGGTCGACAAAGAGGTTATGTAGACAGGGAGGTCGACAAAGTGGTTATGTAGACAGGTAGGTGCGACAAAGAGGTTATGTAGACATGGAGGTCGACAAAGAGGTTATGTAGACAGGGAAGTCAACAAAAAGGTCATGTAGACAGGGAGGTCAACAATGTAAATGCACACAACACATGGATCAACGATCACTCCACATAATGAGAAGAATTCTCCCACACGACTCCTATAGTTAGTGGCTCCTGAATCTATCTAGTCTGAAGGATGAAGCACAACTCACATTCAGCATCAGGGCGTTGCTGTTTGTGTTCTTCTGGTCTTCCACCAAGATAATGTCGGGTTTCTCTATCTCCAGTGTGATAGTCATTTCACTAGTTGGTGGCACCGGCTTGGCTGGAGCAGCTGGGGCTGTCGGAGCTGCAGCCGTTGTTGAAGGTGCTGCAAGTAGATTTGTAAACACAACTCACAAATTGTCAGGAACTGTTCAAAGTTTTTCCATTCTGTTCACAATTTACTGTTTTGAAGTTCTTGTTAATTCTTTTTGAAGCAAACTGTATTCAAATGCAACTTCATAAGTAAAATTCAGCCAGTCACCCGTAGTGGTTTCAAGTCTTTGAAGTCTTCCCTGGCATTTTCTGCTGCTGAAATTGTCCTGTCGACAGTTGTAACAATGTTTTAATAAAAATAAGGTACAAATAATAAAACACTTGTTTTTAACCTGAATACAGTCCCCATACTACGTCTTCTGTAGCAGAACTTGAATACATTTACCCCAAGGAAGACCTTTTCTAAAAAAAGAACACTAAACCTATTTAGAAACTATCATAAGGCATTGACAACGATTGCTCTTTCTTTCTCACGCACACTTACACATACACGCACGCCCTCACACACACACGTACAGGTAATGGAAGCATGTATTCCTGGGCATTCTCACCTTTCTGTATGTCTGTAGTGGTGGCCGACCCAGCAGGCGGGGCAGGCGGGGCAGGCATGCCCTTGGTGAAGAAGTCGCCCAGAGTCATGAGGAACTCCACACACACACACACATGGAGGCTGCTCATCTTCACATCAACTGCAACACACACAGAAGGATGTACTCCTGGTCTCCATACAATACAACTCAATAGAGTGAGTGAGTGAGTTTAGTTTTACGCTGCACTTAGAAATATTCCAGCTATATGACAGCACTCTGTAAATAATCGAGTCTGGACCAGACAGTCCAGTGATCAACAGCATGAGCATCGATCTGTGCAATTGGGAACCGATGACATATGTCAACCAAGTCAGCGAGCCTGACCACCCAATCCCGTTAGTCGCCTCTTACAACAAGCATAGTCACCTTTTGTGGCACAACTCAATAGAGCCTAGCTGAAACACTGTCAGAGCCTTAGTGAAACACTGCCCCGCCACTGTCATTTACTTCACTACCCAGTACAACTGTTACACAACATAAGGCATTGCTGTTGTCATTACAGAATCAGTGAATGTCATTTTATGCCAATGTCGGCAATGTTGCAGCCATATGATGACAGTCCGGTTGTTGATGAGCGGCTGATAAACATTCATGTTCAATGACACTGTACTGTACCCACCAGTCACTGTCAGTTCTTACAGCCATCACTACTTGGGACAGACATGGTGTACTTGGGACAGACATGGTGTACTTGGGACATACATGATGTACTTGGGACAGACATGGTGTACTTGGGACAGACATGATGTACTTGGGACAGACATGGTGTACTTGGGACAGACTTGGTGTACTTGGGACAGACATGATGTACTTGGGACAGACATGATGTATTTGGGACAGACATTATGTACTTGGGACATACATGATGTACTTGGGACAGACATGGTGTACTTGGGACCGACATAGTGTACTTGGGACAGACATGATGTTCTTGGGACAGACATGATGTATTTGGGACAGACATTATGTACTTGGGACAGACGCGGTGTACTTGACAGACATGGTGTACTTGGGACAGACATGATGTACTTGGGACAGATCTGATGTACTTGGGACAAACGTGGTGTACTTGGGACAGACATAGTGTACTTGGGACAGACATGGTGTACTTGGGACAGACATGGTGTACTTGGGACAGACATGGTGTACTTGGGACAGACATGATGTACTTGGGACAGATCTGATGTACTTGGGACAAACGTGGTGTACTTGGGACAGACATGGTGTACTTGGGACAGACATGATGTACTTGGGACAGACATGGTGTACTTGGGACAGACATACTGTACTTGGGACAGACATGGTGTACTTGGGACAGACATGGTATACTTGGGACAGACATAGTGTACTTGGGACAGACATACTGTACTTGGGACAGACATGGTGTACTTGGGACAGACATGGTGTACTTGGGACAGACATAGTGTACTTGGGACAGACATGGTGTACTTGGGACAGACATGATGTACTTGGGACAGACATTGGATACTTTGGACAGTTGTTTGTCATGGGATGCACCAGTTCTGTGAACTGAAACGTAACAGCAAACACAGTGACGATGTTTCCAGTGCACATGGCTGCAACACTAACTGTTCTTATCCTGAGTGGCGTTCTGTGTGAAGTTGACGTCAATCATGTTGGCGGTGTGTGATACCGTCTGGGACGTCGTACTTCTCTGTATCATCCTGCAATAGCAACAGGTAGGTCAGCGGATGTCAACATACTGTCTCCCTCCACCACACACAGAATAACATAACATTTCCCTTACAGCAAGATCACAACTTGTTTATGTGTACCGTTGAATGCATACTTGCACTTACAGAGTCTTCTCTAGAATTAGATGATGGGTACCACAGATGATGGGTACCTTATATTCACCTTGTAAAAAGATCATAAACACTGACATAGAGTGATCAATCTACACAGTAGCCTTTCTTTACATGTAGTATACAGTGATGAGTGGTGTAAGATATCTGTCCCCTCGGCAATCCGGACACGTCCATCTGCATGGGCACTTACATGCTACATAAACAATGCTGAATATATGGATAGACAGCAAATATACATTATATAATGGCGTATCAAGAACACAATGCATATTGAGAAACCGTGGACTGATTACAAAATATACTGATATATGATGATATGAAACAGATTACAGATGAATCGTTCTGTCCACAAACAGGCATCGCGAAAGAAGGGAACTAAACTTCCAGCACTACAAGGGACATATGTCTCTTAAAATGTTTAGAGAATGAAAATTTCAACGATGAGATTTACAAACCTCCACCACCAAGAAAAACATGAAATGTGACTAGTTATTGTTACAACTACAAGACAGACTGACACACAGGACACACTCCCTGACACACAGGTCTCACACTCCCTGACACACAGGTCTCACTCTCCCTGACACACAGGTCTCACACTCCCTGACAGTCAGGTCTCACACTCCCTGACACACAGGTCTCACGCTCCTGACACACACACAGGTCTCACATTTCACAGCTCCCCTGACAGCTCTCACGGTCTCCCCAGACACACAGGTCTCACGCTCCTGACACACAGGTCTCTCCACTCCCACCACACAGGTCTCACGCTCCTGACACACAGGTCTCACGGCTCCCTGACACAGGTCTCACACTCCCTGACACACAGGTCTCACGCTCCCTGACACACAGGTCTCACTGCTCCCTGACACACAGGTCTCACACTCCCTGACAGTCAGGTCTCACACTCCCTGACACACAGGTCTCACGGCTCCCTGACACACAGGTCTCATCCCTCCTGGACAGTCAGGGTCTCCCGACTCCCTGACTCACAGGTCTCACGGCTCCTCTGACACACAGGTCTCACGCCTCCCTGACACACAGGTCTCACGCTTCCTGACACACACAGGTCTCACGCTCCCTGACACACAGGTCTCACACTCCCTGACACACAGGTCTCACGCTCACACTCCCTGCCTGACACACAGGTCTCCACACACTGACACAGGACACACACAGAGTCTCAGCTCCCTGACAGTCAGGTCTCACCCTCCCTGACACACAGGTCTCACGCTCCCTGACACACAGGTCTCACGCTCCCTGACACACAGGTCTCACGCTCCCTGACAGTCAGGTCTCACACTCCCTGACACACAGGTCTCACGCTCCCTGACACACAGGTCTCACGCTCCCTGACAGTCAGGTCCCCCGGCCCCTGACACACAGGTCTCTCACGCTCCCTGACTCACAGGTCTCACGCTCCCTGACACACAGGTCTCACGCTCCCTGACACACAGGTCTCACGTTCCCTGACACACAGGTCTCACGCTCCCTGACACACAGGTCTCACGCTCCCTGACACACAGGTCTCACAAACTCACACAAGGTTCACACATAAACTCAGTCATGCTCCTGACACTCAGCTCACACTGCTCACAGCTCGCATGTAGGTCTCACTCCCTCACACACAGCTCACACAAGCTCACATATAAGTTTCACAAACTCAATCACAGGTTACAACCCCTGACACACAGCTCACTAACAAGACACACTACCTGACACACAGGTCTCACAAACTTACACATAGGTCTCACTCTGACATAGGTCACACATCACCACTCATGAGAAATGAGGCTACTGCAAATGACTGATATGAACTGTTTGAAGCAAGATGAATTTACCTATGCACTATTTGTGCTTTTGAGCAGCACAATTCAAAGGCATAAAGAATGTCTTGAACTGATTACCTGACTGACACCATGGTTTTGGAGCTGATTATGAACTATAGATACGTAGTCAGATGACTATGTACCTAATGATGAGGTCAGTTTTCTACCAGTATATCCTCTGTGTGAAGACTTAAGTTTGGAAATCCAACATGAATATTTTCAAATTTGTCATTGGTAGTCACTGTGAAGTAGGTTTGGGTGACTGTAGTCCTGTGACGTGATGTCACATCCTGCCAATGTTAGCAAAGTGCAAGTAAAATTGTTAGTTGGCTACATATATTAGCCAACTGATATTAGTTGTTTTTGTTTTGTTTAATGCCGCACTTAGCAATAGTCCAGCTATATGGCGGTAGTCTTTAAATAATCTAGTCTGGACCAGACAATCCAGTGATCAACAGCATGAGCATCGATCTGCGCAATTGGGATACTGACATGTGTCAACCAAGTCAGCGAGCCTGAGCACCTGATCCCGTTAGTTGCGTCTTACAACAAACATGGGTTACTGAGACCAATTGTAACCTGGATCTTCATGGGGATCCTACTGATATTAAATGTGTGAGGTAGATGTACTTTGAGATGGGGACCGGTGTGTAACATTGGAATCCCTTACAGTGTACAAGATGAATTTAGATAGAGCTAAAAAATTACTTCTTTCAAATTTGTCTGTGTGGATAACTACAATGTTGTTTGGATACAGGTTTACTGACTCCTCAGGCTCTGTAGCTCACCTATGCCAAACTCCAGTGTAAAACGAAATACAGATTCAGTTGTCAGGCATGTGCTGTGCTGTCATGAAACAGATCAGTCAGACTCCTTACAGAATCTTAATAAAAAATGAAAATAGAGATTGTAAGATGTCAGACATGATGTGGACCTGAGCCACATCCTCACCGTACTTAGATACTCATGTACCATGTTAAAAACATTACCAGCTGAGTGTTTAAAATAACTAAAACATGCACAAAAGTAGTCGCTGCAGATAGACCCAATTGCTGACATCAAAGCAACAAATTGATAAGTTTAAGTTCAAGTCTTCCTGGCACAATACCAAGGATTGGGCCGGAGACAACTTTTGGGACAATGTTATCTTCATTGAGTCAACTTTTGAAAGCACATTGTATTTCATCATTAAACAGAAAAAACAATCCTCAGGACATTATGAAGGACAATCGGTCAGGCACCTAGATGATGATGTCAGCAAGAAGGGCACCTGCAGGAAGAGCAGACTGGCTACTAGAGGGCTCTACAGAGGTATAACTGTTCCTTGGTGTACAAGACTTTGGTGGAACTGTAGGAACTAGATAAACACACCCTCGGACTGATGGGTGGCAACATGCTCACTTACCGCAAGAGCCTAGTGGGGCAAAGTGAATACTCATATTAATCAGGTGACACACTGAACATGATGCTGCCACATTCAATACTAACGTCCACTCACAAGAAAATGACGTCTGCTCATCGGGTGGTAAACCAGACAAATATACTGAGGGTAAAAAATAAGGGATCACATGAAAGCACAAGTGTTCCATTATTTTTTTCCAAGGTTTCTTCATGAGCTCTGTATCTCATAGCTTGTGAAGAAACCTGGAAAAAAATAAGGGAACACTTGTGCTTTCATGTGATCCCTTATTTTTTCCCCTCAGTATATATATTTATATATCTGCTTAACAATTGAAGAATCCAGTCATTAAACTTTGGTGACAACATGTCTAGTGACCTATTAGATACACAGGCATAAAGACAGAGAACTAGTAAATCTTACTTGCCAACAAACATGATTACCAATTTACTTAGGTGAAGGGTTTTGTAATCGGAAATGATCACATATATGTGTGTAGCTAGGCTGCCCCTCAACATCAGTACTGTGTCATCCAAGTGTTCCTTGAGATCTTTTTGATTAATCAATCTAACTATGGATGTCTTCGGACTCCGGGCTAAAGCAAAGTATCTGTTTCTGGATCTACTTATTTTTATTTTGTTTTGTTTGGTCTCAAAAGGTGATAACGAAAACTTGGCCACGACTAAAAGTTGACAATGTTCTGTGCTCTAGCCATGTTTCATGCTTACGCTACTAAAGTTTCTCATATCTGTGGGTATGTCAGACTGAATGTGGCAATATCTAACACAAAACAAGGTGAAATCTAGATGGTCCTGAAAAGTGCATCACTTAAACAAAATGTAAGACAATCATTCTTGTAACATGTAAACAACACAACTGTTGGGACTTAAAACTACGACTTTGAAATAAACTTTACAGCAAAAACATGCACGAGTGTTACGTGGGACACACAAACAGTTACTTGTCACATTGACTTCTTCACTTGAGTTACTCTAACCATATCAGTACAGTAGGACCATATCAACATTATCAATATCAGAGTAACAACCTACCTTGATATGCCCTTCTGACTCTGTGGTCGCAGGTCGTCCAATATGGTGTCTCGGAGGATCACCTTGGTAACCATGGAAGTGTCGGACATCATGCTGCCATCCAGGGCAAACATCATCAGTGCCACCTTGCCGAGGGCCTTGATGGCCTCGCGCTGACACACACCGGTGGTCTGGAGGAACAGATTCACCAGTACATGAAGCAGGCAGGTATTGTTATACGTATTACTTATATTGCTGACATCGATTCCGTTTCACAAAGTGAGTGTAACACTGCGACTGTCGTAACTCGTATAGTTGAACATAGACTGTCGTAGAGCTACGATCGCTTTGGGAAACGGGACCAAGGATTCCAGGTCACGGACAAACGTACTTTGACAGTAGGGAACGCCCCCGACACTCTGCCAGTTCTGACAGGTTCATCAATCTGCTTTCAGTTACTTCATCTATTCAGTGAGTGAGTATGGTTTTACGCTGCTTTTAGCAATATTACAGCAATATCTCGGCAAGGGACACCAGAAATGGGTTTCACACCTTGTACCCATGTGGGGAATCGATCCCAGGTCTTTGGCGTGACAAGCAAACACTTTAACCACTAGGCTAGCTAACCTTCAGCTGTCAGGGTACATTTGTCAGTTGTGTTTTATGCCAGATGTCATACCAATAGCTGGCAAACATATAGTCTCACACACAGGGTAATCACTACTTAAACTCCCTGAGACAAGGTGGGAAACAATTTTCTCATATCAGCATCAGTTATCTTTAGTTCTCACCCCTGTCTTACTTCCAGATATTCTGCGTTAAGAGCACTGCATTTGATAGCTGTTCAGTTTCAAGACAATATAATCACATCATTACATTCACATTGGTGAAATGTTTTTGACTTGCCAGCAGGTAACTGGGGAAAACATTCCATCCAGCAACCAATCAGAAACAAGTACCTAACTGCATGGAGAGATAAGGAGTTAGGGTCAATTCTTCTCAATCAAACTTCTTGGTCCTGAACATATCTTAGCAATAAAAATCCAACATATTTTCAAAAGAATGGAAAATGACAAACTACCAGCTTGGTATCTCCCAAGTATTCTGCTGAACTAACCAGGGTCACGATCCACAAAGCCTTTGTAATGTTATGAGCTATCGCTACTGTACAGTTTGTCATAGGCTTAGAATGACATAGAGCTACGAACGCTTTGTGGATTGTCCCCTGGTCAGACTGGCCCTCGGTCCTACTGGACTTACCAGCTTGGACTCTCCTGAGTACAAAGTGAGGGAGATAGACTTGATCTGGAAGTTGAACTTCATCTTGGTGTACACCAGCTGTGTAGGGGTCTCGGTGGTGGCCTGAGTCTGTGGGGCACTTCCTGGGGCAGCTGGCAATACAGGAGAAATATATGGTTACAATGGAAAATACTATACTGACGCGGTACTGCCTACCAGCAGTGGAAGATATGATGCTGGCCCTTACTGATTCAGCCTACCTGCTGTAGTGCTAGTCTGAGATACCTACCTGCTGTAGTGCTGGTTTGAGATACCTACCTGCTGTAGTGCTAGTCTGAGATACCTACCTGCTGTAGTGCTAGTCTGAGATACCTACCTGCTGTAGTGCTGGTCTGAGATACCTACCTGCTGTAGTGCTGGTCTGAGATACCTACCTGCTGTAGTGCTGGTCTGAGATACCTACCTGCTGTAGTGCTAGTCTGAGATACCTACCTGCTGTAGTGCTAGTCTGAGATACCTACCTGCTGTAGTGCTAGTCTGGGATGCCTACCTGCTGTAGTGCTGGTCTGAGATACCTACCTGCTGTAGTGCTGGTCTGAGATGCCTGAACGGCTGGCTCCACAGCAGGTACTTCAGTCTTGGATGCAGCCTGGCTCTGTCCCTCTGACAGGTTATCATTCAGTACGCTCATCGTCATGGTGAAGTCTCCTTGGCTCAGCTTCACCTGCACATCAACATAAACACCATGGAACACCACTTAAACAACAACATAAGCTATACGTTACTGACTGTAGTACAACCCAAGCAGCCTCTAGTTAGTGTGAAGTGACTGACTGTAGTACAACCCAAGCAGCCTCTAGTTAGTGTGAAGTGACTGACTGTAGTACAACCCAAGCAGCCTGTAGTTAGTGTGAAGTGACTGACTGTAGTACAACCCCAGCCTCTAGTTAGTGTGAAGTGACTGACTGTAGTACAACCCCAACCTCTAGTTAGTGTGAAGTGTCTGACTGTAGTACAACCCAAGCAGCCTCTAGTTAGTGTGAAGTGACTGACTGTAGTACAACCCCAGCCTCTAGTTAGTGTGAAGTGACTGACTGTAGTACAACCCAAGCAGCCTCTAGTTAGTGTGAAGTGACTGACTGTAGTACAACCCCAACCTCTAGTTAGTGTGAAGTGACTGACTGTAGTACAACCCAAGCAGCCTGTAGTTAGTGTGAAGTGACTGACTGTAGTACAACCCCAGCCTCTAGTTAGTGTGAAGTGTCTGACTGTAGTACAACCCCAGCCTCTAGTTAGTGTGAAGTGACTGACTGTAGTACAACCCAAGCATCCTCAAGGTAGTGTGAAGTTACTGACTGTAGTACAACCCCAGCAGCCTCTAGTTAGTGTGAAGTGACTGACTGTAGTACAACCCCAGCCTCTAGTTAGTGTGAAGTGACTGACTGTAGTACAACCCCAGCCTCTAGTTAGTGTGAAGTGACTGACTGTAGTACAACCCAAGCAGCCTCAAGGTAGTGTGAAGTGACTGACTGTAGTACAACCCAAGCCTCTAGTTAGTGTGAAGTGACTGACTGTAGTACAACCCAAGCAGCCTGTAGTTAGTGTGAAGTGACTGACTGTAGTACAACCCAAGCAGCCTCTAGTTAGTGTGAAGTGACTGACTGTAGTACAACCCAAGCAGCCTCTAGTTAGTGTGAAGTGACTGACTGTAGTACAACCCAAGCAGCCTCAAGGTAGTGTGAGTGACTGACTGTAGTACAACCCAAGCCTCTAGTTAGTGTGAAGTGACTGACTGTAGTACAACCCAAGCAGCCTGTAGTTAGTGTGAAGTGACTGACTGTAGTACAACCCAAGCAGCCTCTAGTTAGTGTGAAGTGACTGACTGTAGTACAACCCAAGCAGCCTCTAGTTAGTGTGAAGTGACTGACTGTAGTACAACCCAAGCAGCCTCTAGTTAGTGTGAAGTGACTGACTGTAGTACAACCCAAGCAGCCTCTAGTTAGTGTGAAGTTACTGACTGTAGTACAACCCAAGCAGCCTCTAGTTAGTGTGAAGTGTCTGACTGTAGTACAACCCCAGCCTCTAGTTAGTGTGAAGTTACTGACTGTAGTACAACCCAAGCAGCCTCTAGTTAGTGTGAAGTTACTGACTGTAGTACAACCCAAGCCTCTAGTTAGTGTGAAGTGACTGACTGTAGTACAACCCAAGCAGCCTGTAGTTAGTGTGAAGTGACTGACTGTAGTACAACCTCAGCCTCTAGTTAGTGTGAAGTTACTGACTGTAGTACAACCCAAGCAGCCTCAAGGTAGTGTGAAGTGACTGACTGTAGTACAACCCAAGCCTCTAGTTAGTGTGAAGTGACTGACTGTGGTACAACCCAAGCAGCCTCTAGTTAGTGTGAAGTGACTGACTGTGAGTACAACCCAAGCAGCCTCTAGTTGAGTGTGAAGTGACTGACTGTGAGTACAACCCAAGCAGCCTCTAGTTAGTGTGAAGTGACTGACTGTAGTACAACCCAAGCAGCCTCTAGTTAGTGTGAAGTTACTGACTGTAGTACAACCCAAGCAGCCTCTAGTTAGTGTGAAGTGTCTGACTGTAGTACAACCCCAGCCTCTAGTTAGTGTGAAGTGACTGACTGTAGTACAACCCAAGCCTCTAGTTAGTGTGAAGTGACTGACTGTAGTACAACCCCAGCCTCTAGTTAGTGTGAAGTGACTGACTGTAGTACAACCCCAGCCTCTAGTTAGTGTGAAGTGACTGACTGTAGTACAACCCAAGCAGCCTCTAGTTAGTGTGAAGTGACTGACTGTAGTACAACCCAAGTCTCTAGTTAGTGTGAAGTGTCTGACTGTAGTACAACCCAAGCAGCCTCTAGTTAGTGTGAAGTGACTGACTGTAGTACAACCCCAGCCTCTAGTTAGTGTGAAGTGACTGACTGTAGTACAACCCAAGCAGCCTCAAGGTAGTGTGAAGTGTCTGACTGTAGTACAACCCAAGCAGCCTGTAGTTAGTGTGAAGTGTCTGACTGTAGTACAACCCCAGCCTCTAGTTAGTGTGAAGTGACTGACTGTAGTACAACCCAAGCCTCTAGTTAGTGTGAAGTGACTGACTGTAGTACAACCCAAGCCTCTAGTTAGTGTGAAGTGTCTGACTGTGAGTACAACCCCAGCCTCTAGTTAGTGTGAAGTGACTGACTGTAGTACAACCCAAGCAGCCTGTAGTTAGTGTGAAGTGACTGACTGTAGTACAACCCAAGCAGCCTCTAGTTAGTGTGAAGTGACTGACTGTAGTACAACCCCAGCCTCTAGTTAGTGTGAAGTGACTGACTGTAGTACAACCCAAGCAGCCTCAAGGTAGTGTGAAGTGTCTGACTGTAGTACAACCCAAGCAGCCTGTAGTTAGTGTGAAGTGACTGACTGTAGTACAACCCCAGCCTCTAGTTAGTGTGAAGTGACTGACTGTAGTACAACCCAAGCCTCTAGTTAGTGTGAAGTGACTGACTGTAGTACAACCCCAGCCTCTAGTTAGTGTGAAGTGTCTGACTGTAGTACAAGCCAAGCCTCTAGTTAGTGTGAAGTGACTGACTGTAGTACAACCCCAGCCTCTAGTTAGTGTGAAGTGACTGACTGTAGTACAAACCCAAGCCTCTAGTTGAGTGTGAAGTGACTGACTGTAAGTACAACCCAAGCAGCCTGTAGTTAGTGTGAAGTGACTGACTGTAGTACAACCCAAGCAGCCTCTAGTTAGTGTGAAGTGACTGACTGTAGTACAACCCAAGCAGCCTGTAGTTAGTGTGAAGTGACTGACTGTAGTACAACCCAAGCAGCCTCAAGGTAGTGTGAAGTGTCTGACTGTAGTACAACCCAAGCAGCCTGTAGTTAGTGTGAAGTGTCTGACTGTAGTACAACCCCAGCCTCTAGTTAGTGTGAAGTGTCTGACTGTAGTACAACCCAAGCCTCTAGTTAGTGTGAAGTGACTGACTGTAGTACAACCCCAGCCTCTAGTTAGTGTGAAGTGACTGACTGTAGTACAACCCAAGCCTCTAGTTAGTGTGAAGTGACTGACTGTAGTACAACCCAAGCAGCCTGTAGTTAGTGTGAAGTGACTGACTGTAGTACAACCCAAGCAGCCTCTAGTTAGTGTGAAGTGACTGACTGTAGTACAACCCAAGCAGCCTGTAGTTAGTGTGAAGTGACTGACTGTAGTACAACCCAAGCAGCCTCAAGGTAGTGTGAAGTGTCTGACTGTAGTACAACCCAAGCAGCCTCTAGTTAGTGTGAAGTGACTGACTGTAGTACAACCCCAGCCTCTAGTTAGTGTGAAGTGACTGACTGTAGTACAACCCAAGCAGCCTCAAGGTAGTGTGAAGTGTCTGACTGTAGTACAACCCAAGCAGCCTGTAGTTAGTGTGAAGTGTCTGACTGTAGTACAACCCCAGCCTCTAGTTAGTGTGAAGTGACTGACTGTAGTACAACCCAAGCCTCTAGTTAGTGTGAAGTGACTGACTGTAGTACAACCCAAGCCTCTAGTTAGTGTGAAGTGTCTGACTGTAGTACAACCCCAGCCTCTAGTTAGTGTGAAGTGACTGACTGTAGTACAACCCAAGCAGCCTGTAGTTAGTGTGAAGTGACTGACTGTAGTACAACCCAAGCAGCCTCTAGTTAGTGTGAAGTGACTGACTGTAGTACAACCCCAGCCTCTAGTTAGTGTGAAGTGACTGACTGTAGTACAACCCAAGCAGCCTCAAGGTAGTGTGAAGTGTCTGACTGTAGTACAACCCAAGCAGCCTGTAGTTAGTGTGAAGTGACTGACTGTAGTACAACCCCAGCCTCTGGAGTTAGTGTGTGAAGTGACTGACTGTAGTACAACCCCAAGCCTCTAGTTAGTGTGAAGTGACTGACTGTAGTACAACCCCAGCCTCTAGTTAGTGTGAAGTGTCTGACTGTAGTACAAGCCAAGCCTCTAGTTAGTGTGTGAAGTGACTGACTGTAGTACAACCCCAGCCTCTAGTTAGTGTGAAGTGACTGACTGTAGTACAACCCAAGCCTCTAGTTAGTGTGAAGTGACTGACTGTAGTACAACCCAAGCAGCCTCTAGTTAGTGTGAAGTGACTGACTGTAGTACAACCCAAGCAGCCTCTAGTTAGTGTGAAGTGACTGACTGTAGTACAACCCAAGCAGCCTCTAGTTAGTGTGAAGTGACTGACTGTAGTACAACCCAAGCAGCCTCTAGTTAGTGTGAAGTGTCTGACTGTAGTACAACCCCAGCCTCTAGTTAGTGTGAAGTGTCTGACTGTAGTACAACCCCAGCCTCTAGTTAGTGTGAAGTGACTGACTGTAGTACAACCCAAGCCTCTAGTTAGTGTGAAGTGACTGACTGTAGTACAACCCCAGCCTCTAGTTAGTGTGAAGTGTCTGACTGTAGTACAAGCCAAGCCTCTAGTTAGTGTGAAGTGACTGACTGTAGTACAACCCCAGCCTCTAGTTAGTGTGAAGTGACTGACTGTAGTACAACCCAAGCCTCTAGTTAGTGTGAAGTGACTGACTGTAGTACAACCCAAGCCTCTAGTTAGTGTGAAGTTACTGACTGTGAGTGCCTCCAGCGTGCCACCCAGGTCTATGTCTGGCTTGTCGTGGTACCAGGCAGCAGAGAGGTTGCGGTTCACAAACACAGATATGGTGACAGGTTCCAACAGCAGCACTTCAGCCTGAACCTGCCCAGTTTTGGCAAGAACAGCCCTGTAAATAGCAACAGAAATATATTTGAATCAGTGATTAGTGATCCTGCAGTAATGAATATTGGTATGACAACAGAAAACCATGCAGGGCCTTCTGCAATATGTTCACTGTATATGTGCTAAAACACTTTGATTGTCCCCTTTTATTGATGCGTGAAGATTTCATTAGGAATTGACATCAGGGTCCTTCTGCCTGAACACTCACAGTTGTGAGACACAAGAAAGATTTAGGTTTGGGCTTGGCTGATAGGCAGGCCAGTATCAGAGTTACAGCTACTGTTTGACCGTAACTACCGCAGCGCTCCCAGCGGGCAAGGGGGCACAACTCCAGGAATGTTCCCCATTGACATCAGGGTGCTTCTGCCTGAACACTCACAGTTGTGAGACACAAGAATGATAAAGTTGGATGTACACAAAATGATATATCCTTCCTTGACATCTTAACGCACATTGCTTCAAAATTCTGCAAAAATGTCATGTTTCTTGAATTAGAACTAAAGACAAAGTAAATTATCAAGAAAAATATCATGCATAGTGGACAGTATCCATGATTTCTCGTAACCCACTTAAAACAAATGTTTTTCTTTTGCAATTCATATTTCTTTATCCTCTGTTATAGATAAAACTCTGCAGTGAGATGATACTGTACATGTAAAAGCAGCAAATACAAAGATGTACTGCATGACCAATCCCACTGTTTCTAAACGTGGCACTCCAGTCTGTTTTTGTGTGTGACCTCACCTTGACAGTTTGAGTGAGTTGAGCACAATGTTCATCTTGTCTAACACAGCTGGGACATTGTTGGGGGAGTTCTTCCCCTCAAGGTGGAAGGAGTTGGTGATCTCAAGATTCCCGAGATCCGCCATGAGGACGCTGTTGGATGTGGACTTCTGGGGGACAATGATGAGGGGGGCCTTCATGGCGATCTTCAGGCCGATGCGGGAAGCTGTCTCCTGTAAACTCTGCACTGCCTCCGCAGAATACTCCGCCATAGCTTCTCCTGCCTCCGCTATTTTAGCCTTGGCAGCTTGGAAGTTGTCCAGGAAAGCCTGGTGCAGACAAAACATTCTGTCATCACATTTAGTCAACATACACAGCCATGGTAAATCAGTATTACGTACTAGGGCAACACTGTATTCCCAGCGCAGTGCAGTATTACATGGTACAAGCTCAGTCATCATGTAAGAATGCTCATAATCTTGTATTGTATGGGTATAGAAGAAAGTGATGGTGAGGTGGGTTGTACTGTTGTACAGATTGGCATGATGTACCCACCAGCAGGTCTGTGACGTATCTGTTGAGGAAGGCCAGTCGGATGCAGCCCAAGGCAACATCTACCTTGGTGTCCATACATGACATGTCGCCATACTTGTCACCAGCAGTGCCGTTGTTATAGGCAACAACGTCCAGCTTCAGTACCTCAGACCCCTCAATACCAAGAATCTGAAACAAACATCACAGTTTCACACAACAATACCAGAGGTTTGGAAAAAACACACAATCATTAAAGTGTAACAAATTAGCCATCATGAACTGGTATTTTGGTGAACATCACAGCTTGAATTAGCAAAAACAATTAGGGTATGAAATGAACTGAATTAAAACCTGCATGGACAGCAAATTTGCTTTCCCACTGCTTCACTGAACGGCATTAGTTCAGGATCTGACATGTCTGGGTCTGCGACTCCTGCCTGCAGGATCTCCATGACAACCTGCAGACACTTCATTTTCACAGGTTCAGTGTTTTTATTTGGTGTTCATTAGGATGGTAAGAAACAGGTGTGTCGACCAGCAGACTAACCTTAGGGTACAGTGTATCAGGTGTAGGGTCATAGATCGTCATGACTAACCTTAGGGTACAGCGTGTCATGACTAACCTTAGGTGTAGGGTCATAGATCGTCATGACTAACCTTAGGGTACAGCGTGTCAGGTGTAGGGTCATAGATCGTCATGACTAACCTTAGGGTACAGCGTGTCAGGTGTAGGGTCATAGATCGTCATGACTAACCTTAGGGTACAGCGTGTCAGGTGTAGGGTCATAGATCGTCATGACTAACCTTAGGGTACAGCGTGTCAGGTGTAGGGTCATAGATCGTCATGACTAACCTTAGGGTACAGCGTGTCAGGTGTAGGGTCATAGATCGTCATGACTAACCTTAGGGTACAGCGTGTCAGGTGTAGGGTCATAGATCGTCATGACTAACCTTAGGGTACAGCGTGTCAGGTGTAGGGTCATAGATCGTCATGACTAACCTTAGGGTACAGCGTGTCAGGTGTAGGGTCATAGATCGTCATGACTAACCTTAGGGTACAGTGTATCAGGTGTAGGGTCATAGATCGTCATGACTAACCTTAGGGTACAGCGTGTCTGGTGTAGGGTCATAGATCGTCATGACTAACCTTAGGGTACAGCTAGGGTCATAGATCGTCATGACTAACCTTAGGGTACAGCGTGTCAGGTGTAGGGTCATAGATCGTCATGACTAACCTTAGGGTACAGCATGTCAGGTGTAGGGTCATAGATCGTCATGACTAACCTTAGGGTACAGCGTGTCAGGTGTAGGGTCATAGATCGTCATGACTAACCTTAGGGTACAGGGTCAGGTGTAGGGTCATAGTCTAACCTTAGTGTAGGGTCATGTAGATCGTCATGACTAACCTTAGGGTACAGCGTGTCAGGTGTAGGGTCATAGATCGTCATGACTAACCTTAGGGTACAGCGTGTCAGGTGTAGGGTCATAGATCGTCATGACTAACCTTAGGGTACAGCGTGTCAGGTGTAGGGTCATAGATCGTCATGACTAACCTTAGGGTACAGCGTGTCAGGTGTAGGGTCATAGATCGTCATGACTAACCTTAGGGTACAGCGTGTCAGGTGTAGGGTCATAGATCGTCATGACTAACCTTAGGGTACAGCGTGTCAGGTGTAGGGTCATAGATCGTCATGACTAACCTTAGGGTACAGCGTGTCAGGTGTAGGGTCATAGATCGTCATGACTAACCTTAGGGTACAGCGTGTCAGGTGTAGGGTCATAGATCGTCATGACTAACCTTAGGGTACAGCATGTCAGATAGTCATGACTAACCTTAGGGTACAGCGTGTCTGGTGTAGGGTCATAGATCGTCATGACTAACCTTAGGGTACAGCATGTCAGGGGTAGGGTCATAGATTGTCATGACTAACCTTAGGGTACAGCGTGTCAGGTGTAGGGTCATAGATCGTCATGTCCTTCAGCACTGCTGCCACAGTGGTTTGAGCTTTCTGTACTGCAACCTTGGCATCAATACCTGCAACAAAAGCACAACACATGAGTGAGGTGATGGTGAGATGGACAGTGTTGTACAGGTAGAGAGCAAGGTGATGTTGTCATCTCCACTTCTTACATTAATCATTCAGGGCAAAATCTCATTCAACATGCTCAACATACCTTTGATCTTGATGTCTGTTAGAAGCTTCTCATCTGATGAGATGGCAACAGCAAATGATTTCATCTCAGCATTGACCAGGATGTCAATCGTGTTTGGATCTTCTGGCTTGCCCTTCTCTGTAACAGAACACTGACATCAGCAGAAACAAACACAGCCTGGCTTGCCTTTTCTCTATAACAGAACACTGGCATCAGAAGAAACAAACACAGCCTGGCTTGCCCTTCTCTATAACAGAACACTGACATCAGCAGAAACAAACACTGTCTGGCTTGCCTTTCTCTGTAACAGAACACTGACATCAGCAGAAACAAACACTGCCTGGCTTGCCTTTCTCTATAACAGAACACTGACATCAGAAGAAACAAACACAGCCTGGCTTGCCCTTCTCTATAACAGAACACTGACATCAGAAGAAACAAACACTGCCTGGCTTGCCCTTCTCTGTAACAGAACACTGACATCAGCAGAAACAAACACAGCCTGGCTTGCCCTTCTCTGTAACAGAACACTGACATCAGAAGAAACAAACACAGCCTGGCTTGCCCTTCTCTATAACAGAACACTGACATCAGAAGAAACAAACACTGCCTGGATTGCCTTGCCTTTCTCTGTAACAGAACACTGACATCAGAAGAAACAAACACAGCCTGGCTTGCCTTTCTCTGTAACAGAACACTGACATCTGAAGAAACAAACACTGCCTGGCTTGCCCTTCTCTGTAACAGAACACTGACATCAGAAGAAACAAACACTGCCTGGCTTGCCTTTCTCTATAACAGAACACTGACATCAGCAGAAACAAACACAGCCTGACTTGCCTTTCTCTGTAACAGAACACTGACATCAGAAGAAACAAACACAGCCTGGCTTGCCCTTCTCTATAACAGAACACTGACATCAGCAGAAACAAACACAGCCTGGCTTGCCTTTCTCTGTAACAGAACACTGACATCAGAAGAAACAAACACAGCCTGGATTGCCTTTCTCTATAACAGAACACTGACATCAGAAGAAACAAACACTGTCTGGCTTGCCCTTCTCTGTAACAGAACACTGACATCAGCAGAAACAAACACTGCCTGGCTTGCCTTTCTCTATAACAGAACACTGACATCAGAAGAAACAAACACTGCCTGGCTTGCCTTTCTCTGTAACAGAACACTGACATCAGCAGAAACAAACACTGCCTGGCTTGCCTTTCTCTATAACAGAACACTGACATCAGAAGAAACAAACACAGCCTGGCTTGCCTTTCTCTATAACAGAACACTGACATCAGAAGAAACAAACACAGCCTGGCTTGCCCTTCTCTATAACAGAACACTGACATCAGAAGAAACAAACACAGCCTGGCTTGCCCTTCTCTGTAACAGAACACTGACATCAGAAGAAACAAACACTGCCTGGATTGCCTTGCCTTTCTCTGTAACAGAACACTGACATCAGAAGAAACAAACACAGCCTGGCTTGCCTTTCTCTATAACAGAACACTGACATCAGAAGAAACAAACACTGCCTGGCTTGCCCTTCTCTGTAAAAAAACACTGACATCAGAAGAAACAAACACAGCCTGGCTTGCCCTTCTCTGTAACAGAACACTGACATCAGAAGAAACAAACACTGCCTGGCTTGCCCTTCTCTATAACAGAACACTGACATCAGCAGAAACAAACACAGCCTGGCTTGCCTTTCTCTATAACAGAACACTGACATCAGAAGAAACAAACACAGCCTGGATTGCCTTTCTCTGTAACAGAACACTGACATCAGCAGAAACAAACACTGCCTGGATTGCCTTGCTTTTCTCTGTAACAGAACACTGACATCAGAAGAAACAAACACTGCCTGGCTTGCCCTTCTCTGTAACAGAACACTGACATCAGAAGAAACAAACACAGCCTGGCTTGCCTTTCTCTGTAACAGAACACTGACATCAGAAGAAACAAACACAGCCTGGCTTGCCTTTCTCTGTAACAGAACACTGACATCAGAAGAAACAAACACAGCCTGGATTGCCCTTCTCTGTAACAGAACACTGACATCAGAAGAAACAAACACTGCCTGGATTGCCTTGCCTTTCTCTGTAACAGAACACTGACATCAGAAGAAACAAACACAGCCTGGCTTGCCTTTCTCTATAACAGAACACTGACATCAGAAGAAACAAACACTGCCTGGCTTGCCCTTCTCTGTAAAAAAACACTGACATCAGAAGAAACAAACACAGCCTGGCTTGCCCTTCTCTGTAACAGAACACTGACATCAGAAGAAACAAACACTGCCTGGCTTGCCCTCCTCTATAACAGAACACTGACATCAGCAGAAACAAACACAGCCTGGCTTGCCTTTCTCTATAACAGAACACTGACATCAGAAGAAACAAACACAGCCTGGATTGCCCTTCTCTGTAACAGAACACTGACATCAGAAGAAACAAACACTGCCTGGATTGCCTTGCCTTTCTCTGTAACAGAACACTGACATCAGAAGAAACAAACACAGCCTGGCTTGCCCTTCTCTATAACAGAACACTGACATCAGAAGAAACAAACACTGCCTGGCTTGCCCTTCTCTGTAACAGAACACTGACATCAGCAGAAACAAACACTGCCTGGCTTGCCTTTCTCTAACAGAACACTGACATCAGAAGAAACAAACACTGCCTGGATTGCCTTTCTCTGTAACAGAACACTGACATCAGCAGAAACAAACACTGCCTGGCTTGCCCTTCTCTGTAACAGAACACTGACATCAGAAGAAACAAACACAGCCTGGCTTGCCTTTCTCTGTAACAGAACACTGACATCAGAAGAAACAAACACAGCCTGGCTTGCCCTTCTCTGTAACAGAACACTGACATCAGAAGAAACAAACACTGCCTGGCTTGCCCTTCTCTGTAACAGAACACTGACATCAGCAGAAACAAACACAGCCTGGCTTGCCTTTCTCTATAACAGAACACTGGCATCAGAAGAAACAAACACAGCCTGGCTTGCCCTTCTCTGTAACAGAACACTGACATCAGCAGAAACAAACACAGCCTGGCTTGCCCTGACAATCCAGGGATCAACAGCATTAGCATCAATCTACGCCTATGGGATACGATGACATGTGTCAACAAAGTCAGTGAGCAAAACATCCGATCCCGTTAGTGGCCTTTTACGAAGCATGGGTTACTGAAGATAGATTCTAACCCAGATCTTCACGGATCAATTGTAACAAGGCCATGGTAAACATTCCCTACTGACAGTTTGAGGAGCCCAGCTCATTTGCTGTGGGAATTTCTCCCTGCGCCCCCACCCTTGTACCCTCTTGTCCTGCCGATACATGAATGTACAAGATGCATATATCCGACACTGCAGCGGCCAGCTGGATCCTGGTCCTCGCTGGTCCCACATGTATCCTTGAGGCAGCAGCTGATGACAAACTGATAGTGCTCGCACTTACTTTTTCTTGGGGGCTTCTTTTCCTTGGTCTTCTCCTGTTCTTTCTTCTCCTGTTCCTTCTTCTCCTGTTCTTTCTTCTCCTGTTCCTTCTTCTCCTTCTCCTTCTGGCTTGGAGTGGAGGATGGTGGCTGGAGTTTTTGTGCGAACTCAAGGAGACTGATAATGGCTCCCTGATGCAGCAGCAGCTCAAGGCCGGAGAAGACAACTGTGATGGCCTGTTCTGTGTTCTTGTACGTTGTCAGGAACTCAGGTCCCTCCTTGTTGGCCTACATACACACAATAGATGCTTGTTGAAGTCTATGAACACATGTTACATGGTAACGTACACTGAACATCAACAACAGTGACTCAAACCTCACCTTGACGTACTGTACCATGAGCAGCTTTCCGATGCTGGGGTCGCTCGGTGTGTTGATGATGTTGATGAGTGAGCCATCGTTGACCGCTAGAACACAGACAAACATATAATACAAGTTGACATCTGATCTACATCACATCAAAGTCTCACTGTCAGCCACAAACAATGCATGGCCACCAGCCATAACCCTTGTCACTTGACCACTCAGTTCACAATGAATTGACAAACCAATCAAGTTATACCCATATTACCAAGGGACAACAGAGAAGGTCAAATGTTAGCAATGCAAAGTAGAAACATTAGTTCAGGAAATTTCAACTGCTCGAAACAAGAAGACAAAATCCACAGTAAAGATATAATGAAACCAGAAATCGTTTAAATGTGACACTTGGGTGTTATTTCAAACAGGTTGGCATTACGGAAAGAAGAGTCATTTAGTGGCTCACCTCGGACTTTAGCAAGTTGTTGGGCCATGGTGTCAGAGGCTGCAACATGTCAAGAATAATAGCCATCATTCATCATACCTGGGGGAATCTCTCAAAATAGGATCCATACAGTTGTACAAGATACCTGGGGGAATCTCTCAAAGTAGGATCCATATAGTTGTACAAGATACCTGGGGGAATCTCTCAAAGTAGGATCCATATAGTTGTACAAGATACCTGGGGAATCTCTCAAAGTAGGATCCACAAAGATACCTGGGAATCTCTCAAAGTAGGATCCATACAGTTGTACAAGATACCTGGGGGAATCTCTCAAAGTAGGATCCATATAGTTGTACAAGATACCTGGGGGAATCTCTCAAAGTAGGATCTATATAGTTGTACAAGATACCTGGGGGAATCTCTCAAAGTAGGATCCATATAGTTGTACAAGATACCTGGGGGAATCTCTCAAAGTAGGATCCATACAGTTGTACAGGATACCTGGGATAAAGTAGGATCTACAAGATACCTGGGAATCTCTCAAAGTAGGATCCATACAGTTGTACAAGATACCTGGGGAATCTCTCAAAGTAGAATCCATACAGTTGTACAAGATACCTGGGGAATCTCTCAAAGTAGGATCCATACAGTTGTACAAGATACCTGGGGAATCTCTCAAAGTAGGATCCATACAGTTGTACAAGATACCTGGGAATCTCTCAAAGTAGGATCCATACAGTTGTACAAGATACCTGGGGAATCTCTCAAAGTAGGATCCATACAGTTGTACAAGATACCTGGGGAATCTCTCAAAGTAGAGGATCCATACAGTTGTACAAGATACCTGGGGCAATCTCTCAAAGTAGGATCCATACAGTTGTACAAGATACCTGGGGAATCTCTCAAAGTAGGATCCATACAGTTGTACAAGATACCTGGGGAATCTCTCAAAGTAGGATCCATACAGTTGTACAAGATACCTGGGGAATCTCTCAAAGTAGGATCTATACAGTTGTACAAGATACCTGGGGAATCTCTCAAAGTAGGATCCATACAGTTGTACAAGATACCTGGGGAATCTCTCAAAGTAGGATCCATATAGTTGTACAAGATACCTGGGGGAATCTCTCAAAGTAGGATCCATACAGTTGTACAAGATACCTGGGGGAATCTCTCAAAGTAGGATCCATACAGTTGTACAAGATACCTGGGGGAATCTCTCAAAGTAGGATCCATACAGTTGTACAAGATACCTGGGGGAATCTCTCAAAGTAGGATCCATACAGTTGTACAAGATACCTGGGGGAATCTCTCAAAGTAGGATCCATACAGTTGTACAAGATACCTGGGGGAATCTCTCAAAGTAGGATCCATATAGTTGTACAAGATACCTGGGGGAATCTCTCAAAGTAGGATCCATACAGTTGTACAAGATACCTGGGGGAATCTCTCAAAGTAGGATCTATACAGTTGTACAAGATACCTGGGGGAATCTCTCAAAGTAGGATCCATACAGTTGTACAAGATACCTGGGAATCCCTCAAAGTAGAATCTCTTTGTACAAGTAGGGAATCTAAAGTAGGATCCATACAAGATACCTGGGGGAATCTCTCAAAGTAGGATCCATACAGTTGTACAAGATACCTGGGGGAATCTCTCAAAGTAGGATCCATACAGTTGTACAAGATACCTGGGGGAATCTCTCAAAGTAGGACCAACACAGTTGTACAAGATACCTGGGGGAATCTCTCAAAGTAGGACCAACACAGGGTACCATATCAGTTTACAGCAGATATCTAAAAGATTAGGATCATTGGGATCCCCATCTTCCACTGGATCAATACACCCAGTTGTAGTGTTCCACATACACATTCATCATGCAATAGATACTGAACACATGTGTTTCAAATGATGACACTGTTGTCATGGAAATGACTTAATAACAATTTTGAAAGGTTCATCACCATATTATTGGAAATCAGTGCTTTCAACATACCTGTTCCATTAAGAATGTTACTAACCTTGGAACTTGAGGTGTTGCAGGTAGAGGCAGCCCACATAGGCCTCCACTACCATGTCAAACGTCCTCATCTTCACCTGGGTGCCCACCGACTCAATCACCAGTTTCAGAAGTGGCACCTCAGTCGGCCCTTCCTTCTGTGACACGTTGATCACAATCTGCAACAGTGACATCACATGTCAAGACAGGATTTGTCCACACAGTCAAAACATAAATAGATTCATACCATTATTTCACTACAAAGCTGAAAACGAATACTGTCTGTGACATGACCCTGCTGCAGTCGCCTACCTCCTTGATTTCAAACTTGAGTTCCATGTCCGTCGCGTTGACGAATTCCTGGGAGGTTGTCCTCTGTAGCGCCTTCTCTGCAGGCTGCACACAAACAAAGGGACATTAGACAGGAGTCAGGGACAAGACAGAGTGAAAGCTTTTGTTGTTTGTTTGTTTGTTGTTTAATGCTGCACTCAGAAATATTCCAGCTTTATGGCATTGTGAGCATCAGGAGTGAGTGAGTGAGTTTAGCTTTACGCCGCACTCAACAATATTCCACCTATATGACGGCGGTCTACAAATAATCGAGTCTGCATCTGACAATCCAGTGATCAACAGCATGAGCATCGATCTACACAATTCCTGATGCGATGACATGTGTCAACCAACCAAGTCAGCGAGCCTGACCACCCAATCCCGTTAGTCGCCTCTTATGACAAGCATGGGTTGCTGAAGATCAATTCTAACCCGGATATTCACAGGTCTGTGAGAATCGGTAGGGAAGTGGGATAACATGCATCAACCAAGTCAATGAAGTTGACCACCCGACCCCAATAGTAATAGGTCAATACCATAAGCAAGGGTTGCTGAAGACTTTGACCCAGCAATTAAAATTCCCGCCTGCCCGACCGTCCGGAACGGTCTATTTTCATCTCGGACGGTCAAATTTCAAAAGTAGCCTGTCCGGTGCCTAACAGTAAATATTTCATAACATCAGACAGGTTCTCTTGTCGTCAGTTTGAGGTGTTTAAGGTATTATGATAATTATGTTAAACTATTAACGATCGGACAGTTCATTTTACAATAACCAATCACAACACGTACTTTCAGTTTACCTAAACTCAGTGCATTGCCTGTTAGTGCTATGTTGTTCATTGCGATGCTTACAAACAGTAAAGTATTCAGAAACCTGATTTGTTTTTCATTGTTGAAAACCGGACGGCAAGTTTGTATCCGGACTGGTAATTTTTTTAAGTTACCAGTCCGGTTGTCTGGCTTGGGATTTTGGGAGGTTTAAACACTGCTTTGACCTTCATGACAATGACAGGAGTACACAAGTTGCTCTCAACAGTATATATCAGTTGAATCTTCATTTTATGAGATGTAGATAGTTGAAATAATCTCACAAGTCCCACAAGCACAGGAACAGATATGACAAATCAAGGACCATAACGACTCCACTCACCTTGTCCCCTTGTTGCACCTGTATTTTGGAGACTTTGTTGAGTAGGGCTCCCTCGTCCCCTGCCACTGACACCATTGTGCTGGGACCCTGAAACACGACACCAACACTCTAACACACACACACACCAACACCCTAACACACACACACCAACACTAAAACAAAAGGAAGGAGAGAGTGATCAACTCCATGTATCTACATGAACTTAACTATAGTGCCTTGTTATTAACAGCCATGTAACAATAAAGAATCACTCCCACATATTTGGTTATAGATCATGAAGAAAGTGAGCATCTATGTACAGAGCTTACTTAAAGTAATTCAAGCTATATGACCTCACAGGTATATTTACTAATTTCAAAATCTAACAGATTCAATTATGACATTGACAACACTGAACAGGTCACCTTGAACGAGTGAAACCAAGTTTGATACTAACTCTTTCACGAGTTTCATAAAATGGTATTTCACGGAAGCGAGTTTAGCATTCTGTTTATTACTCTCCAATATAAATTGATAGAAACTTCCTACAGTGTGGTTACACTCAGCTTTCAGCAAGTCACACAAGGTCTAATACCATTGAGACAGAGGTATAAGCATTGTGACATCAAAACTGTAAACCATTATGATGTCATACGTCTAGCGGTATTACACTAGTGTAATATTGCCGTATAAATATTACACTGCAGTATCTTACACAGACGAGTAATAAAACAACATATTACATTTCAACAAGTGCATTTAGCTGTTCAACTTGAAAAAACTCATTACAAATTATGATTTCTGTCTCAGACTTGTTGAAACTTCACCTTGAACAGGTCTTCTACTTCATCTGGAGGTTCCTCTTCTCCTGCTCCTCCGCCTGGGGTGGGGATGCTCTCTGTGAGGGCCATAATCTCCTGCAGTCGGTAGTCGGAGATGCTCAAACCCAGCAGAGGTAACTCACCAGCCACCTTCATCCTGCAACACATAGCAGCATTACATGCACAAGCACTGCAGGTACGTGACAGTCAAGTACAGGTACCGGGGTAGACAAAGTTAACATACTTAGCCATCCTGAGGTAGACAAGACAAAGTTAACATATTTAGCCATCCCAGGGTAGACAAGGTTAACATACTTAGACATCCTGGGGTAGACAAAGTTAACATACTTAGCCATCCTGGTGTAGACAAGACAAAATTAACATACTTAGCCATCCTATGGTCCTTGTCGAACATACACTTCTGCAGGTTGATGTTGATGGATATGGGTCGGAGGATGTGCATGTCTGACTGTCCCACCCAGCGGGCCTTGTGCCAGTCCTCACCTGCCACGAAAACAACAAACACTCACCACCAACAACAAACACTCACCACCAACAACACAAACACATACTCATCAGAGACACCGACACTGTGTCACTGTGTCATGAGCATAAACAGTGTCAGATGAACCAACACCCCTCCCTAAGATAAAGTTTCTAACATGTACCTGGATGAATGAACAGCAGCTGTAGACGGGCAAGCTGAATGTTGAACTTGTCATATGCTCTGGCCATCACCTCCTCCAGACTGTCCATCTGACAACACAACAAATAACTGTTACCATGGTTACACTGGTCCAATGATGTCTGTCAGACAACACAACTGGGACTGTGGTTACAAATTTTGTCACTTGAATTCCTACAGCTCTGTCACCACACCCTACTGGTAGGTTTCCACACCCTGAAGGCAAATCAAGGCAATTATAGAATGTCATCACTCAACAGAACATTTACACTGCGAGAAGCCATGTACAACAGCAAAATACTTTCATTAAAAATAATTTCTCCTGGGCTAATAATACTGACTTTGCCCTTGTTGATACTGACCTTGCCCTTGATCTGCTGAGACTGGTTCTTCTCACTTGAAACCTTGAGGCTACCGAGGTCGAGAAGAAGCATTTTCACACCTCTGCAAATTGGAATAAAGATTACATCTTCAACAGGGTATGTACACATATTTCATCTACTGCTATAACAGGCCATACTTATATTACAGTGCTTACAGGATATACTTGGCAGTGCTATACCAGGATATACTTGGCAGTCTATACCAGGATATACTTGGCAGAGCTATACCAGGATATAATTGGCAGAGCTAAACCAGGATATACTTGGCAGTGCTACACCAGGATATACTGACACTACAGCTAAACCAGGATATACATGGCAGAGCTGTACCAGGATATACTTGGCAGAGCTATACCAGGATATACTTGGCAGTGCTATACCAGGATATACTTGGCAGAGCTACACCAGAATATACTTGGCAGTGCTATACCAGGATATACTTGACAGTGCTATAGCAGGATATACTTGGAAGTGCTATACTAGGATATACTTCGCAGTGCTATACCAGGATATACTTGGCAGTGCTATACCAGGATACACATGGCAGTGCTATACCAGGATAAACTGACACTACAGCTAGACCAGGATATACTTGGCAGTGCTATACCAGGATATACTGACACTAGAGCTAAACCAGGTAATACTTGGCAGGGCTATACCAGGATATACTTGTCAGTGCTATACCAGGATATACTGACACTAGAGCTAAACCAGGATATACTTGGCAGGGTTATACCAGGATATACTGACACCACAGCTAAACCAGGATATACTTGGCAGGACTATACCAGGATATACTTGGCAGGGTAATACCAGTATATACTGACATTACAGCTAAACCATGATATACTTGGCAGGGCTATACCAGGATATACTGACACTACAGCTAAACCAGGATATACTTGGCAGTGCTATACCAGGATATACTGACACTACAGCTAAACCAGGTTATACTTGGCAGGGCTAAACCAGGATATACTTGGCAGTGCTATACCAGGATATACTTGGCAGAGCTATACCAGGATATACTGACACTACAGCTAAACCAGGTTATACTTGGCAGGGCTAAACCAGGATATACTTGACAGTGCTATACTAGGATATACTTGGCAGGGCTATACCAGGATATACTGACACTACAGCTAAACCAGGATATACTTCGCAGTGCTATACCAGGATATACTGACACTACAGCTAAACCAGGATATACTTGGCAGTGCTATACCAGGATATACTGACACTACAGCTAAACCAGGATATACTTGTCAGTGCTATACCAGGATATACTGACACTACAGCTAAACCAGGATATACTTGGCAGTGCTATACCAGGATATACTGACACTACAGCTAAACCAGGTTATACTTGGCAGTGCTATACCAGGATATACTGACACTGTTGCTAAACCAGGACATACTTGGCAGTGCTATACCAGGATATACTGACACTGTTTCTAAACCAGGATATACTTGGCAGTGCTATACCAGGATATACTGACACTACAGCTAAACCAGGATACACTTGGCAGTGCTATACCAGGATATACTGACACTGTTGCTAAACCAGGATACACTTGGCAGTGCTATACCAGGATATACTTGTCAGTGCTATACCAGGATATACTGACAGTACAGCTAAACCAGGATACACTTGTCAGTGCTATACCAGGATACACTTGTCAGTGCTATACCAGGATATACTGACAGTACAGCTAAACCAGGATATACTTGTCAGTGCTATACCAGGATATACTGACACTGTTGCTAAACCAGGATATACTTGGCAGTGCTATACCAGGATATACTTGTCAGTGCTATACCAGGATATACTGACACTACAGCTAAACCAGGATATACTTGGCAGTGCTATACCAGGATATACTGACACTACAGCTAAACCAGGTTATACTTGGCAGTGCTATACCAGGATATACTGACACTGTTGCTAAACCAGGACATACTTGGCAGTGCTATACCAGGATATACTGACACTGTTTCTAAACCAGGATATACTTGGCAGTGCTATACCAGGATATACTGACACTACAGCTAAACCAGGATACACTTGGCAGTGCTATACCAGGATATACTGACACTGTTGCTAAACCAGGATACACTTGGCAGTGCTATACCAGGATATACTTGTCAGTGCTATACCAGGATATACTGACAGTACAGCTAAACCAGGATACACTTGTCAGTGCTATACCAGGATACACTTGTCAGTGCTATACCAGGATATACTGACAGTACAGCTAAACCAGGATATACTTGTCAGTGCTATACCAGGATATACTGACACTGTTGCTAAACCAGGATATACTTGTCAGTGCTATACCAGGATATACTGACACTACAGCTAAACCAGGATACACTTGGCAGTGCTATACCAGGATATACTGACAGTACAGCTAAACCAGGATACACTTGGCAGTGCTATACCAGGATATACTGACACTACAGCTAAACCAGGATACACTTGGCAGTGCTTTACCAGGATATACTGACACTACAGCTAAACCAGGTTATACTTGTCAGTGCTATACCAGGATATACTGACACTACAGCTAAACCAGGATACACTTGTCAGTGCTATACCAGGATATACTTGGCAGTGCTATACCAGGATATACTTGGCAGTGCTATACCAGGATATACTGACACTACAGCTAAACCAGGTTATACTTGGCAGGGCTATACCAGGATATACTGACACTACAGCTAAACCAGGATATACTTGGCAGTGCTATACCAGGATATACTGACACTACAGCTAAACCAGGATACACTTGTCAGTGCTATACCAGGATATACTGACACTACAGCTAAACCAGGATATACTTGGCAGTGCTATACCAGGATATACTGACACTGTTGCTAAACCAGGATATACTTGGCAGTGCTATACCAGGATATACTACACTACCAGGATATACTTGGCAGGGCTATACCAGGATATACTTGGCAGTGCTATACCAGGATATACTGACACTACAGCTAAACCAGGTTATACTTGGCAGGGCTATACCAGGATATACTGACACTACAGCTAAACCAGGATATACTTGTCAGTGCTATACCAGGATATACTGACACTACAGCTAAACCAGGATATACTTGTCAGTGCTATACCAGGATATACTGACACCACAGCTAAACCAGGTTATACTTGGCAGTGCTATACCAGGATATACCACTACTGCTATACCAGTATATACTGACACTGTTGCTAAACCAGGATATACTTGGCAGTGCTATACCAGGATATACTGACACTACAGCTAAACCAGGTTATACTTGGCAGTGCTATACCAGATATACTGACACTGTAGCTAAACCAGGTTATACTTACTTCTTCATGAGACCTCCCTCTGGCACCAGGACGTACGAGGACATGAGATCTACACTGATTTCAGTGTACTTGTGTTGTTCTATCGAGTGCTGTAGGCCTGTTGCCGACTGCTCTTTAACTTCATCAAACTTCGCCATAGCCGCTTGAGAGAGTCTGAAAAAATGCCATGTCATGAAAAGATTTGGGGCTGGTGCTTAATGTGTCATCCCGACAGCTGACAGATTAGTCCAGTATTCACTGCTCCACATTTCTCTTTAATAATCCTACACCTTGGACTCAGGCAATGTGCACATATGTAGCTATGCCTGCTGTGTGAGGCAGGTTAATGGACTAGCTTGCCAGGCTCACGGACTTAGTTGATACCCTGTTTGTTGCGTGAGGCAGGTCAATGGACTAGCTTGCCAATACCCTGTTTGTTGCGTGAGGCAGGTCAATGGACTAGCTTGCCAGGCTCACGGACTTAGTTGATACCCTGTTTGTTGCGTGAGGCAGGTTAATTGACTAGCTTGCCAGGCTCACGGACTTAGTTGATACCCTGTTTGTTTGGCCCATTTCTCTATCATTTCTTTTGCAGAGTATATTTCCAAGACCTAATACTACACTATGTTTGCTTTCTCTGTGAACTTTACCAATGTGAACTAAAACTAGAGATCTAGGAGAAGGGGACATGAACACTTACTGCTTCAACTGCACAGACTTGGGAGGCTTAAAAAAGTCGCCGAGCTGATTCACAGTAATCTGTAACCATCAATACATAGAGCATGTAGACATTGTGCAAAATAGTATCCAAATTTTGCTAGCCAGTCAGGCTAGTTATGCCTGAAAGTTACTAGCCCACAAAATAATTCACTAGCCCGAAATTTGAATGCAGAAACTAAGCAAAAGATTCCACAAAGGTAAGCTGCTAATATGATGAGCATTTCTATAAGATCATAATCTTGCATGATTTAAAAGTGTATTATAACTTAACAAGTCAGAGAGAGTGATATATTTACAAAATGACCCCATGAAAATTCACTAGCCAGTGGGGCCAGTGACTGTGGAGATATACTGGCCCGACTGGCTACATCACACACTGCATGTACACACACCACGAACAGTGGACACCCCTGTGGCAGCCATCAAACATACTTGTCAGCATCAAAATGGGACAAATGAACTTGTGTCTTATCATAACTGAAATCTGTTTCTCATCTATACAATAGTGATGAATAAATCTATCTACTGAAACTTGTGATAATGGGAAGGGACAAGTACTCACAGCATCGTATGCTATCTCTAGAGGTCTGGAAGACACTTTAACCCGGGTGTCAGCCAGACCGTCCAGAGGGTTGGTCTCCAGGTTGATGGAGAGGAGAGAGTACACTTGATCAGCATCCTGTACGAGAGATGTAACCATCTTAGGCGTGGCGTTGTTCTGGGGGGTTCCAAACACACTCAGTCGGTCTATCTTGGCTTCCACACTGAAACATCCCACAACACACCCTGTATCACAAGGCCAGCCTGGTGACACCACGGTCACAGAAGTCTACCTACAGTTGATGGAGGTTGCTTCCACACTGAAACATCCCACAACACACCCTGTATCACAAGGCCAGCCTCGTGACACCACGGTAACAGAAGTCTACCTACAGTTGATGGAGGTTGCTTCCTCATGTCAAAACCTTCTCCAGTGGACAGTACCACTACTAGCACTAATACTACAAGTAACAGGAATGTCCTACTCTGTGAACTGTTGATTCCAGCGATATATTTACCTTACAGCACTAGCTGCTGGTCGTTGCCCTACTGATGTGAACACATCCTTGAGCTGTAGCCGCAGCAACTGGGGGTCTCTGGAAGAACATTGTGTATATTAAACAGTAGACACCACACATTGGGAGGCTGTACATCGCACAGTAGGTACCATACACCACAAGTCCCTCTACACATCAGAATCTGTTCAACACACAGGGAGGCTCTGTACACCACACAGTAGGTACCACACACAGGGGGCTCTGTACAGAAGGTACCACATACAGGGAGGCTCTGTACACCACACAGTAGGTACCACACAGGGAGGCTAGGGAGGCTCTGTACACCACACAGTAGGTACCACACACAGGGAGGCTCTGTACACCACACAGTAGGTACCACACACAGGGAGGCTCTGTACACCACACAGTAGGTACCACACACAGGGAGGCTCTGTACACCACACAGTAGGTACCACACACAGGGAGGCTCTGTACACCACACAGTAGGTACCACACAGGGGAGGCTCTGTACACCACAGTAGGTACCACACACAGGGAGGCTCTGTACACCCACACAGTAGGCTCTGGTACCACACACAGGGGTAGGCTCTGTAGGGACCATGTACAGTAGGTACCACACACAGGAGGCTCTGTACACTTCACACAGTAGGTACCACACACAGGGAGGCTCTGTACACCACACAGTAGGTACCACACACAGGGAGGCTCTGTACACCACACAGTAGGTACCACACACAGGGAGGCTCTGTACACCACACAGTAGGTACCACACACAGGGAGGCTCTGTACACCACACAGTAGGTACCACACACAGGGAGGCTCTGTACACCACCACAGTAGGTACCACACACAGGGAGGCTCTGTACACCACACAGTAGGTACCACACACAGGGAGGCTCTGTACACCACACAGTAGGTACCACACACAGGGAGGCTCTGTACACCACACAGTAGGTACCACACACACTCTGTACACAGGGGTACCAGGCTCTGTACACCACCACAGTAGGTACCACACACAGGGAGGCTCTGTACACCACACAGTAGGTACCACACACAGGGAGGCTCTGTACACCACACACAGTAGGTACCACACACAGGGGCAGGCTCTGTACACCACACAGTAGTAGGTACCACACACAGGGAGGCTCTGTACAGTAGGTACCACACACAGGGAGGCTCTGTACACCACACAGTAGGTACCACACACAGGGAGGCTCTGTACACCACACAGTAGGTACCACACACAGGGAGGCTCTGTACACCACACAGTAGGTACCACACACACACAGGGAGGCTCTGTACACCCCACAGTAGGTACCACACACAGGGAGGCTCTGTACACCCCACAGTAGGTACCACACACAGGGAGGCTCTGTACACCACACAGTAGGTACCACATACAGGGAGGCTCTGTACACCCCCAGGCCTTCATTCCCCATACAGAGCTTTCACTGTCCACACAGGGAAACTCCTGGCCATTCCTTCCTTCCACAGGGCTCATTTCTACAGGGGCTCACACCTGAGGATCTATTCCATTCCATTCCTTCCATTCCACCCATTCCCTGTCCATTCCAGGCTTTCTTCATTCCAGGGCTCTTCATTCCATTCCCCACTGTCCATTCCACCTGGCTTCCTTCCTATTCATTCCACACAGGGCTCTCCATTCCATTTTCACAGGGGATCTGTGCTCTTCCATTCATTCTTCTGTCCATTCCATTCAGTATTCTGTCCATTCCATTCATTCCTGTGCAGGGGCTGTGTGCTCACTTCCTGATTTCTTCCTTGGCTCTGTGTGTTTCACTGGGCTCTGTGGGGTGTTCCACAGGCCTCTTGTGTGTCCGGTTGGCTCTGTGCAGGATCCTGTGGTGCTGTGGGGCTGTGGGTCCATACAGGGATCTATTTGTGGTCCTGTGTTATGTGGGGCTCTGTGGGGCTCTGTGTGGGGCTGTGGTCGGTCTCTGCTGTGTCTCCACAGGGCTATTCTGGGGCTCTGTGTTCCACAGGATCTTCCTGTGTGTGTGGGGTTGTGGGTCGGTTGTGGGGTTGTGTGGGGTTGGTGTCCGTTGGGGCTGTGGTGCTGTGGGGTCTGGGTCCATACCACACACAGTGGGGCTCTGTGTGGGGTGCCACACAGGGCTGTGGGGTCTGTGGGGTGGGTTCTGTGTTCACAGGAGGATCTGTGTGGTGTCCTGGTGGGGTTCCACACAGGGGCTGTGGGGTTGTGGGGCTCCACACACAGGGCTCTGTTCACACAGTGGGTTTTCCTGGGGCTGTGTGTGCCACACAGGGCTGTGTGGGGCTGGGGCTGTCCGTTGTGTCCATTCTCTGTGGGGTTGGTCCATGTGGGGTTTCCTTCACATTCCTTCCTGGGGCTCACGTGGGGCCTGTTCGTTACAGGGGCTCTGTACACAGTGGGGTCCATACAGGGATATTTTCCACCTTCTGTGTGTGTCCTTCCTGTGTTCCACACACAGGGCTCACTGTGTTCCATACAGGGCTTGTGGTCCTGGGCTTTCCTGGGGTTGTGGGGTTCCACTGTGTGTGGGGCTGTGTTCCATGTGTCCGTGTGTGTGTCCATTGTGTCTCCATGTGGCTTCTGTTGGGGTTGGTCCATGTCTATGTGTGGGGTGGGACTCCGGTCAGGGTCTTGGTCCATTCCTCCATGTGTGCCACTGTGTTCCTGGGGCTGTGCGTTCCTTCTGTGTGGGGTGTCTGATGGGTCCTGTGGTGTGATTCGGGTTCCGGCTCCTTCGGCCCTTTCCATTCCACAAGCTCACAATGGGTCCCAGGAGGATCTTCCTGTCCATTTTCCCCACTGAGGCTCCTTTCCACCACAGTATTTTAAAAGGGCTCACTTTTGTTGGGGTACCACAGGGCTCTGTGTTAATTTTCACACAGGGGGAGCTCTGTGCACCCACACACACACAGGAGGCTCTGTACACCCCACAGTAGGTACCCACATACAGGGAGGCTCTGTACACAGCACAGTAGGTACCACACACACACAGGGGAGGCTCTGTACACCCCACAGTAGGTACCACAGTAGGGTCCCATACACAGGCTGTACTGCACCACATACAGAGTGCACACCCCACAGTAGGCAAATTACACAGGGAGGCTCTGTACACCACACAGTAGGTACCACACACAGGGAGGCTCTGTACACCATACAGTGGGTACCACACACAGGGAGGCTCTGTACAGTAGGTACCACATACAGGGAGGCTCTGTACACCCCACAGTAGGTACCACACACACAGGGAGGCTCTGTACAGTAATAATAATGTGTCCATTTATATAGCGCCAAACTCCACACTAGGTATGCTCATAGCGCTAACCATCAAGGCCATTATTACCCCGGATAACCCAAGCTGCCTGTTAGTCATATGACTTTTTTCCACCGGGTACCCATTTTCCTGCTGGGTGAACAGAGACAATTTTGAACAAACTCACTTGCCTAAGGTGAGACCACATGTGTCACATGTGCTTCGTTGTTGGGCAGGACTCAAGTCCTAGAAACTCTCAGGAGTCAAGCTGCCAAACACGGTCACCCATCCAAGGACTCTCCGAGCTCGACGCTGCTTAACTTCACCGATTTGTGACCTGAGCTTTAAGCACAAGACCACGTGCCACCACGCGCAGTAGGTACCACACACAGGGAGGCTCTGTAAACCCCACAGTAGGTACCACACACAGGGAGGTTCTGTACACCCCACAGTTGGTACTACACACAGGGAGGTTCTGTACAAATTCTTCTTTGTTGTGAAGAAAGAATGAAATCTATACTTACTTTTTTCCTGGATCCCTGAGAGAAACGGAGACATTGTTCAGCTTAGTGACCAGTCGGACTGCAATGTACTGGAATGACAAGATAGACAGATTACTGAACACGTACACATGACTGCAATGTACTGGAATGACAAGATAGACAGATTACTGAACACGTACACATGACTGCAATGTAATGTACTGGAATGACAAGATAGACAGATTACTGAACACGTACACATGACTGCAATGTACTGGAATGACAAGATAGACAGATTACTGAACACGTACACATGACTGCAATGTACTGGAATGACAAGATAGACAGATTACTGAACACGTACACATGACTGCAATGTACTGGAATGACAAGATAGACAGATTACTGAACACGGTACTGCATACGTACACATGACTGCAATGTACTGGAATGACAAGATAGACAGATTACTGAACACGTACACATGACTGCAATGTACTGGAATGACAAGATAGACAGATTACTGAACACGTACACATGACTGCAATGTACTGGAATGACAAGATAGACAGATTACTGAACACATACACACCAACTGATCAGTGTTACACATGACTGCAATGTATACTGGAATGACAAGATAGACAGATTACTCAATCTCCTCATAGCCTATAGCTCCATACAGCTTGTTCTTCTCATCCAGAGTGAACTGCTCATAGAACTTCTCCTCTGCAATACACAAACATCACCATGATTTGTCAAAAACTCAAATTATATCTCTTCATTTTGCCTTCATCGTTTCTATAGTGACATTTTGTATCTAATACTACATCTTTGCATATTTACAAAGATCTTAAAACCTTGTTTCATAATATGATGTCTATGCAAAGAAACATCGGTAGGACCTAAGTTTAATCCGTGCGACTACCTTGTATACCTTACATGATCATGCTCTGTATTTGTCTACCCTCTATATTGCTACCCAAGAAGTTTGTACATCACTAACTATACATTATTATTCAATGTGTATATTCATTCATCCATACGTAATTACATACCTATGAATCTTAGCAACTGATTATATTAAATGTATCACCATAAGGTGATCACGCCACAAAACAGTGTATTGCCATGTCCTCCCGGTCTCATGGCCTCATAAACGAATAAAGTCTGTCTGTCTCTGTCTGAATATACCCCAACAATACATTTCAAGGGATTCTCAAGCAACAGGCAACATCAGCGCTGCCATGGTTACTTACGGATATCATTTCCAGACTTTTCAGTTGCTTTCTTCTTCTTTCCTCCAAACCAGCCACCAAACCAACCAGTTCCCTGTTCCTCCTTGCGTTTAGCACCCAGCTTGGCAGCCTGCACAGGAAGGAGAATTGATACAGTTAGGACGTCTGTACATCCAGGAAGTAGAGTTTATGTCCTGACTCTTCACCAGTTTCTCTCAATCCAAGAAAACTACAAGCAGAACTAAATACCTTTCAAAACAAACATGAAACTTATATCAACTTGTACCTCCATCTGCTGCCTACCCAGCCCAGAACCTCCCCAGACTCTGTGTATCATCTTGTACCTCCATCTGCTGCCTACCCAGCCCAGACTCTGTGTATCATCTTGTACTCCAGAACATCTGTGTGTATCATCTTGTACCTCCATCTGCTGCCTACCCAGCCCAGAACCTCCCCAGACTCTGTGTATCATCTTGTACCTCCATCTGCTGCCTAGCCAGCCCAGACTCTGTGTATCATCTTGTACCTCCATCTGCTGCCTACCCAGCCCAGAACCTTCCCAGACTCTGTGTATCATCTTGTACTCATCTTGCCCTACCCAGCCCTGAACCTCCCCAGACTCTATGTATCATCTTTGTACCTCCATCAGCCCAGAGACCTCCTCCCCAGACTCTGTGTATCATCTTGTACCTCCATCTGCTGCCTACCCAGCCCAGAACCTCCTCCCCAGACTCTGTGTATCATCTTGTACTCTCCATCTGCTGCCTACCCAGCCCAGAACCTCCCCAGACTCTGTGTATCATCTTGTACCTCCATCTGCTGCCTACCCAGCCCAGAACCTCCCCAGACTCTGTGTATCATCTTGTACCTCCATCTGCTGCCTACCCAGCCCAGAACCTCCCCAGACTCTGTGTATCATCTGTACCTCCATCTGCTGCCTACCCAGCCCAGAACCTCCCCAGACTCTGTGTATCATCTTGTACCTCCATCTCCTGCCTACCCTGCCTGCAGAACCTCCCCACTGTGTATCATCTTTGTACCCAGACTCTGTGTATCATCTTGTACCTCCATCTCCTGCCTACCCTGCCCAGAACCTCCCCAGACTCTGTGTATGGTCTTGCAGTGCTCACCTCTACTTCAGCCTGCTGCCTCATCAGGGTGATGCTGAACACATCCAATAACTTCTCACATTCCTGCAAACACACAATAGTCTCATAAGTATACATGCATCAAGTGAAGGCATATCACAGCAATATACCCATATGTAGGATATTCAAGTTTAGATTTTTTGTTTTCTTTTGTACATCTGAAATGAGGTGTTCTTTCAGCTACAACTCACATCAATTGTCTTCTGAACATCTCCAGATGCCTTCCCCTTGTCCAGCTTCTTCACGTATGCCTCTCTGTATCGCTTCATTGCCAGTCTGTGTCGACTGATATGAGACCAGGAGAACATCCGTCGGCGCCGTCGAACTGTCTCCTCCAGGACAGCATTGTAGGCATAGTGCCACCTGACACAACACACACACCTGTAGGCATAGTGCCACCTGAATAACACAACACACACCTGTAGGCATAGTGCCACCTGAATAACACAACACACATCTGTAGGCATAGTGCCACCTGAATAACACAACACACACCTGTAGGCATAGTGCCACCTGAATAACACAACACACACCTGTAGGAATAGTGCCACCTGAATAACACAACACACACCTGCAGGAATAGTGCCACCTGAATAACACAACACACACCTGCAGGCATAGTGCCACCTGAATAACACAACACACACCTGTAGGCATAGTGCCACCTGAATAACACAACACACACCTGCAGTAATAGTGCCACCTGAATAACACAACACACACCTGCAGGAATAGTGCCACCTGAATAACACAACACACATCTGTAGGCATAGTGCCACCTGAATAACACAACACACACCTGTAGGAATAGTGCCACCTGAATAACACAACACACATATGTAGGCATAGTGCCACCTGAATAACACAACTCACACCTGTAGGCATAGTGCCACCTGAATAACACAATGCACATCTGTAGGCATAGTGCCACCTGAATAACACAACACACATATGTAGGCATAGTGCCACCTGAATAACACAACTCACACCTGTAGGCATAGTGCCACCTGAATAACACAATGCACATCTGTAGGCCAAGTGCCACCTGAATAACACAACACACATATGTAGGCATAGTGCCACCTGAATTACACAACTCACACCTGTAGGCATAGTGCTACCGGAATTACACAACTCACACCTGTAGGCATAGTGCTACCGGAATTACACAACTCACACCTGTAGGCATAGTGCTACCTGAATAACACAACACACACCTGTAGGAATAGTGCCACCTGAATAACACAACTCACACCTGTAGGCATAGTGCTACACAAATAGAACACACATATGTAGGCATAGTGATACCTGAAATCACACGCAGATGTAGGCATAGTTCATTTTTCACATTCATTAACAACAAAACAAGATAGAAAACAAACAGAAGACTGTAATTCCCACTAGAACATGTCATTGGGAAATAATCGTTAACATTCGGAGAAAGGTCTCTTACAACACACAACTCACGAAATAGTGGTTGGTAAGTTACAAATGTAATGGCAATAGTTCAGCCATAGATGGGGGGAACATAACTAATCAGCTTACATGTCAGCAGGGTACATCTCAAATATGTATTTAAAAAAAAAAAAAAATTGATATTTTATACTTATCCTGACTGATGGTTATTATGCTTATCTCCTTCCTCTATGCAAATGGTAGTGGAACACTTGAATCCCTTGTAGTTCCCTGAAGAAGACGTAAAAGTTCACTCACCCACGAGTTACCTCCCTTTTCCCTCCAAAACAGTCATGTGACCTGCCATGCTTCTCACTTTCAGCTGAATAAGCCCATGTACCTGGGAGGTCAGGAGGGCTTGACACCATGAGTCAGGATAAGTATAAACTATCAATTATATTTAAAAAATTACATATTTTTCCTTATCCTGACTCATGGTTATTATGCTTCCAGAATCCAATGGCACCGGTAGTGGGTCAGGCCACTTCGTGGATTCATCAGCTATCCTTTAATGTGTCCTGTCAGACTTCCAAACGCAGCCCTCCATTATAGATAATATCGAGCAGCTTCCGTGCATAGCGAGTGTGGATGCCAGTGCTCTGACTTCGCGTGGGTTGGAAGCTCTTGGAGGTTGTAGTCCTGCTGCTTTGTCGGCTCTCATCCAAAATGATATTGTCGTCTTTGAGACTTCAACGGTCGTCTCTGCTGACAAAGGGGATGAATAGGCGCTTGAATTTTCTTCTCCTTGTTTTAGTCTTTTGAAGATATATCTTCAGAGCTCTGACAGGACACAAGGATAAGTCCTGGGTGTCCTCTGGTCCGAGGATCGTAGATAGCGCTGGGACATGGAACTGTCTGTCCGGTTGGCCAGGTAACTGATTCTTTGCAATGAAGTCCCATCTAAGCCCAAGATGTACTGCAGCATGGTTTCCCGTGTCAAATTTAGTTCGTCCAAAGTCCAGCGCATATATCTCTGACATCCGAGCTGCCGTGGCTAGGGCGAGGAGGAAGAGAGTTTCCTGTATGAGTAGCTCGAAGATAGTCTGCTATAGTGGTTCGTAGACATCACTCGTGAGATGTTGTAGAACCATGTTCAAGATCCCAGACTGGTGCTCTGAATTTCTTCTGCTGGACGTCCAGCTTGAAGGAACATAGTAGGGCAAGTAGTTCTGGCACTTTCGTCAGCTTGATGCTTGTCTTCATCGTGACGACTGTACTGATAGCTGCTAGGTATGTGGATAGTGTTGAACCTTTCAATCACCTCGTATATCTAAGGTGACATAGATATTCCACCACTTGAGGATGAGTCGCTTTCATTGCTGTGAAGCCTTTCCGCACTGCATACTGTTCAACTCTCTGCCACTTGTCGTTGTACAAGTTTTGAGTTGATCTGCGTAGAGCTAGGATTACTGCTTTCGCTGCTCTGGCGAAGTATCCTCTTTTCTTCAAACAAGTCATGACACGATCCAAACGTGTAGCTGGAACATTAGCAAGTTTCCCGTGAGCTTGCTTGGTGTGCGGATGTACTAGCAGGTTCGGCCACTCTGGTAGTTTCAGGGTTGGACTTCCAAGTTCTTGTAATAGATCTGGGAACCAGACACTCGCTGGCCATTAGAGTGCGACCAAAGTCAGTTGTAGCATTGGGGCTGCTTGATCTTCAATAGTACTTGAGGTAGTAGAACCGGAGGTGGGAACGCCAGCAATCGCTGCAGCGGACATAATTGTAGTCTTCCTCTGTGAGTCAAAACCTGTGCTGAGGTGAGTAGACCGAGGAGACACTGCCATGTTTGTAGTGGTGATGGAGAGATGACTGCTTCTGGAATCATGGCTTGAATCTTGACCCAACGATCTTCTGGGACCACAATACGATTCTGTGTTGTGATGAACCTTATTCCCGGAAACTGAAGATCTTGCTTTGGTTCCAACTCTGACTTCATCAAGTTTCCTAGTCATCCCAGTTGTGCGAGCAGTTTGATGGTGAAGTCTAGCTGCCGTCTGAGTTGATTGGCTTCTTGATGAATTTGAATCCCGTCGTCCAGGTAGAAGGCACTGCGTAGACCTCAACGATGTAAATAGGAGACGATGAACTTGGTCACTCGTGTAATAACCACAGGGCCGACGATATTCCAAAAGGCAGGATCATCCACTGGAAGTGTCAACCTCTGAACAGGAATCTCAGGTCTCTGCTGGCCAAGTAATCTGCTGGACAGACGCGTTGTCTGAGCTGAGGCAGGTGGATCATCTTCATGTTGTATATCAACCTGAACTTCTCTTTGGAGTTCTTCTTGGGTACCAGGAAAATTGGGGAGTAGAAACCGCGCGTCAGATGATGTTGATATAACAGTTCTAGGATGTTCTTGGCCAATGTGGTTGAGCTGCTTCTTCTGAAGCCTGGTCGCCTGCGTACTTGAAGACTAACAGGTCAAGGGTCAGCGATCCTTCAGCTGCACTATTCCCCACTTGTGAGAAGTAGTTCCCAATATTCCTCAATTTTAGTACGTAGACGCCCACCCACTGTTAACAGTTCCAAACCCATCTTCTGCTGTACCTCTGTGACATTTGGCCGGATGGCGCTAATAAGCGTGTCATTGGACTTGGACTTCTTCTCTGGAATCATGTGTGACTTCCTTGGCAACTACATCGATCTCCCCGCCGAAGATAATAGTAGAGGTTGGGTGAACCTGTCATTCCAGGAACATGTCGATAGTAGACCTTGTCTTGGTAGTAGGATGAGACCCGTGAAGGAGAGAGTGACAAGCATGGCAGGTCACATGACTGTTTTGGAGGGAAAAGGGAGGCAACTCCTGGGTGAGTGAACTTTACGTCCTCTTAAGGGAACTACAAGGGATTCAAGTGTTCCATTACCATTCGCATAGAGGAAGGAGATAAGCATAATAACCACGAGACAGGATAAGGAAAAATAATACAATTGGTGTCAGCCAATCAGAAACTGACATGCCTGTCTAAGGTAAGACAAAATATCCCATGTAATAATGAACAATATATGCCCAGTCCTCACCAGGCCTTGGCATTCTTGTGTAGTGGCACATCCGGTTTGTATTTGCGATACAGGCCCAACAACGCTGTCCTCTCAAACGCCTCCAACATCTCCAACAGGTCGTCATACTGAAACATTACCATAGCAACAGGTACTCACTGATTAGCAGGACCAAAGTCCTTAACATTATCACAAGATAAATTGAGGCTTGTGGTGGGCCTGTTTTGTTTGTATGTTATTTAACGCTGCACTCGGAAATATTCCAGCTATATGGCGGCGGTCTGTAAATAATCAAGACTAGACCAGACAATCCAGTGATCAACAGCATGTGTATCAATCTACAGTATATCAGATGAGCATGTCATCCCTTGAATATGAGTGAATGAGTGAGTTTAGTTTTACGCCTCACTCAGCAATATTCCAGCTATATGGTGGCGGTCTGTAAATAATCGAATCTGGACTAGAAACAGCATGAGCATCGATCTGCGAATTGGGAACCGATGACATGTGTCAACCAAGCGAGTCCCAATCTTTATAAACCCCTTCAAGTGGGCTGGCATGTCTGTACAGACATCATGATGTCACAGTGTGTTGCCATGTCAACTGCTTGTCACATGACTGTTGATTAAGGTGGACATATTGAGTAACCTGAGTGTCAAACAGCATTATAGTGCAGGTGTGAAAGGCACACATACATCTTGTTAACCCTGTGAGGCTTAAAGAATGTGTACACCCCCTGCCGAGTAAGAGAAAGAGCGATGCCCGTAGCTTGCAGTCTTAGTTTTCAGGACACAGAGGAGATGTTGTGTTTGGGATCTGAGAGTTCTAAGTGGTTTGTAAGGCTGCAGTAGCTCACACAGGTAATCAGGTGCGTCACTAGCAATGCATTTGTACGCAAGGCACAGGACTTTTTAGGAAATACGTTCTTTCACAGGAAGCCAGTGAAGACTTTGGAGAATGGGAGTTATATGGTCATATTTTCGCGTGAGAGTCACAATTCTTGCGGCAGTATTTTGTATTTTCTGGAGCTTATTTATTGTTGTCTGAGGAGCCCCCCAGAGTAGGAAATGGAAATGACTAATGACAGAACAAGAATGATTGTCGATTGTTTGTTGAGATACTTCCTTATATTTCGAATGTTTCTAAGCTGGAAGAAGCAGTTCCTGTTTAAGTTGTTGACGTGGTTGATACATGATGTACTAATACATTCACATCGTGGGTGATCTCATCAAAATGCACAAAACATTTGATGACTGGTTACCTCCCTAGAATCAGCAATACATAAGTGGAATATTTACTGTATAGTATATCCTGTGAGTGTGTATCATTACTACTGAGATAACGCTCACCTGTAGCTTGGAGAGAGCTACTGCAATGTTGTCAAACACTATTGTCATGAAGATCTTCGGAAGACTGAACTGGTTCTTTTCTGGCTTGGGATTGAGCTTGAGATGTGCTACAGACGATATGGGCTTGATCACTGCAGGGAAGAGAAACAAACATCACCATCACATCGTGTAGGTAGACAGAGATACTGACTCCAAGCCGACCAGACCTTGTTGTACCCATTAATGCCGAGCGCCAGGCAGTGACCAACGAGCACCATATTTTAACGTCTTTTGGTATGACGCGACCGGGGATCAAACCCGCAACCTTCCGCTCTCCGGGCAGACGCTCTAACCACTACACCACAGAGGCAAACTCAGCAAACTCAGCCCTAAACATCACATAAAAGGTATCCGCGATGCCTCAAACCCTCTCTCTCCCACACAAGTCACACTGCTGCAGTATCTCTCCCTGTGCAGATAACCTGCAAGCATCTACTTGGATTTTAGCATATTTATGTTAATGTTACAACATGTACTATCATTTCCTATGTTTGGGGCATGGTTTCGGCAAGCTGTCTAATGCGCCAGGCTAGTGATCCAGCCAGCTTGAGGTGCCGGGATCGTGCCCACCTGTGACTGGGTGTAAAAACCTTGGAGTCAACTTTGTGTGCACTCCCTTTCAGTGTTGTCTCAGCCCCTAGTGTACAGTACACAACCCTGTGCACTTAAACGAACCCACAAATCTATTGGTAAATGACCAGATGGTGGCAAAATGAATACGTGCAAACACCAGTTGCAGGTACAGCAACGTGCAGTAAACTTGGACAAAGTACTGTTGTGTCCCAGTCCACCCAGTTGTGAATGGGTACCCCGAAAGGATGAAAAATCAACGATAACTCTGTGCGCATTGTGGCTGCAAGAGTTGTATGATCCCCAGGGAGTTTAGATTGATAATACGATGTGCCGTTGAGACTAACATTCAATGAACGAGAGAAAAAATCCTAACGCCTTGAACATGTACTATTTGCATGGATATGTGCGCTATATAAATATCCTATAACAACAACCAAGCAGTACTTTACTAGATTCCCGCTGGACTTGTGGCTAAAGTGGCCGACTGAGCCCCAGGATACTTACAGTACTGGTAATCTGTGTGGGCATTCTGAGCAGCAATATTGGACTTCAGGGTATTCTGAAAACAACAACATAAAAATAGCATTATATTTCCAAATACGAATCAACTCCATGCCACTGGGTTGGGCTTAATGTCGCTTTGAAGAGTAGTGAAGTTACATCACAGTGTGGTAGAAAAGTTCAAAGTGATGGATGTTTACAAACTTTTACTAAACAGCAAACAGGCTTTTTGATGACTGGGCACCAATCAGTGATGAAGAGAGTGAAGCTGGTTCACCTACCATAATGTCCTCCTTCGGGAGGTCGGCGTACATCTTGGCACAGCTGTCCCAGTACACCCCCAGTGAGTCCAGGCGGATCAGCTGAAACACACACACAGATCACGAAACCTGTCTTTGATGGCTGCCATAATCATTCCAAGCTGTTTCAAAAAATATCTTACCTGCAGAAGTGACAAAAGTACCAATAAAAACAGTATCTCTCCCCTCCCTCCCCCCCCACCTCCAGTACTGACATGCATCCTCCCCCCTCCTTACAGTACCGACACACATGGTGTCCCAGTAGCATGCTGTTACACACATACACCCCCCACACCTCCAGTACTGACATGCATCGTCCCTCTCCTAACAGTACCGACACACATGGTGTCCCCTGTGGCATGCTGTTACACACATACACCCCCACACCTCCAGTACTGACATGCATCCTCCCCTCCTAACAGAACCGACACATGGTGTCCCCCTAACATGCTGTTACACACATACTCCCCACCCCACCCCAGTACTGACATGCATCCTCCCCCTCCTAACAGTACCGACACACATGGTGTCCCCGTTGCATGCCGTTTGCCGTTTAACACATACTTACCCCCCACTACTAACCCCACCACCAGTACTGGCATATATTCCCTGCCTCATACCTTGAAGATTTGCGTCACAGCATCTTTGATGACACATGGTTGCCAAGACTCATCTGTGGTCTGAAACAGAAAAACAACATGTCATAACTTACAATGTCATGATCTGTACATGTACAATTGTTCAAAGACACTAAAACAGAAAAGAAAGAAGGCTCAGTACAGACTGTTGAAACTTGGTATACAAGCCGGCTGTGACTCCATTGTATCGGTGTATGTGCTGTGTCTGATGGTACTAGATGAGGGCTGTTTGCACTGATCCTAATGGGACTAGCTCAGAGCAGTCAGCCATAATCCTGATGGAACCAGCTGAGACCAGTCGGTACTGATCCTGGTGGAACCAGCTGAGACCAGTCAGACCTGATCCCGGTAGAACCAGCTGAGACCAGTCAGCGCTGATCCTGGTTGAACTAGCTGAGACCAGTCACTACTGATCCTGGTGGAAACAGATGAGACCAGTCAGCCCTGATCCTGGTTGAACTAGCTGAGACCAGTCAGCCCTGATCCTGGTTGAACTAGCTGAGACCAGTCAGTACTGATCGTGCTGGAAACAGCTGAGACCAGTCAGTACTGATCGTGCTGGAAACAGCTGAGACCAGTCAGACCTGATCCTGGTTGAACTAGCTGAGACCAGTCAGACCTGATCGTGCTGGAAACAGCTGAGACCAGTCAGCCCTGATCCTGATGAAAGCAGTTGAGACCAGTCAGTACTGATCCTGGTGGAAGCAGCTGAGACCAGTCAGTACTGATCCTGGTGGAAACAGCTGAGACCAGTCAGCCCTGATCCCGGTAGAACCAGCTGAGACCAGTCAGCGCTGATCCTGGTTGAACTAGCTGAGACCAGTCAGCACGGATCCTGGTTGAACTAGCTGAGACCAGTCAGCACTGATCCTGGTTGAACTAGCTGAGACCAGTCAGTACTGATCCTGTTTGAACTAGCTGAGACCAGTCAGCACTGATCCTAGTGGAAACAGCTGAAACCAGTCAGCACTGATCCTGTTTGAACTAGCTGAGACCAGTCAGCACTGATCCTGTTTGAACTAGCTGAGACCAGTCAGCACTGATCCTGTTTGAACTAGCTGAGACCAGTCAGTACTGATCCTGTTTGAACTAGCTGAGACCAGTCAGTACTGATCCTGGTTGAACTAGCTGAGACCAGTCAGTACTGATCCTGTTTGAACTAGCTGAGACCAGTCAGCACTGATCCTGTTTGAACTAGCTGAGACCAGTCAGTACTGATCCTGTTTGAACTAGCTGAGACCAGTCAGTACTGATCCTGGTTGAACTAGCTGAGACCAGTCAGTACTGATCCTGTTTGAACTAGCTGAGACCAGTCAGTACTGATCCTGGTTGAACTAGCTGAGACCAGTCACTACTGATCCTAGTGGAAACAGCTGAGACCAGTCAGTACTGATCCTGGTGGAAGCAGCTGAGACTTCAGTCAGCCCTGATCCTGGTTGAACTAGCTGAGACCAGTCAGCACTGATCGTGCTGGAAACAGCTGAGACCAGTCAGACCTGATCGATGAAAGCTGCTTGAGACCAGTCAGTACTGATCCTGGTGGAAGCAGCTGAGACCAGTCAGTACTGATCCTGGTGGAAACAGCTGAGACCAGTCAGCCCTGATCCTGGTTGAACCAGCTGAGACCAGTCAGCGCTGATCCTGGTTGAACTAGCTGAGACCAGTCAGTACTGATCCTGGTGGAAACAGATGAGACCAGTCAGCACTGATCCTGTAGAACCAGCTGAGACCAGTCGAGGCGATGATCCTGGTTGAACCCAGCTGAGACCAGTCAGTACTGATCCTGTTTGAACTAGCTGAGACCAGTCATAACTGATCCTAGTGGAAACAGCTGAAACCAGTCAGCACTGATCCTGTTTGAACTAGCTGAGACCAGTCAGCACTGATCCTGTTTGAACTAGCTGAGACCAGTCAGCACTGATCCTGTTTGAACTAGCTGAGACCAGTCAGTACTGATCCTGTTTGAACTAGCTGAGACCAGTCAGTACTGATCCTGGTTGAACTAGCTGAGACCAGTCACTACTGATCCTAGTGGAAACAGTTGAGACCAGTCAGTACTGATCCTGGTGGAAGCAGCTGAGACCAGTCAGCCCTGATCCTGGTTGAACTAGCTGAGACCAGTCAGCACTGATCGTGCTGGAAACAGCTGAGACCAGTCAGCCCTGATCCCGATGAAAGCAGTTGAAACCAGTCAGTACTGATCCTGGTGGAAGCAGCTGAGACCAGTCGGTACTGATCCTGGTGGAAACAGCTGAGACCAGTCAGCCCTGATCCTGGTTGAACCAGCTGAGACCAGTCAGACCTGATCCTGGTTGAACTAGCTGAGACCAGTCAGTACTGATCCTGGTGGAAACAGATGAGACCAGTCAGCACTGATCCCGGTAGAACCAGCTGAGACCAGTCAGCGCTGATCCTGGTTGAACTAGCTGAGACCAGTCAGCCCTGATCCTGGTTGAACTAGCTGAGACCAGTCAGTACTGATCGTGCTGGAAACAGCTGAGACCAGTCAGTACTGATCGTGCTGGAAACAGCTGAGACCAGTCAGACCTGATCCTGGTTGAACTAGCTGAGACCAGTCAGACCTGATCGTGCTGGAAACAGCTGAGACCAGTCAGCCCTGATCCCGATGAAAGCAGTTGAGACCAGTCAGTACTGATCCTGGTGGAAGCAGCTGAGACCAGTCAGTACTGATCCTGGTGGAAACAGCTGAGACCAGTCAGCCCTGATCCCGGTAGAACCAGCTGAGACCAGTCAGCGCTGATCCTGGTTGAACTAGCTGAGACCAGTCAGCACTGATCCTGGTTGAACTAGCTGAGACCAGTCAGCACTGATCCTAGTGGAAACAGCTGAAACCAGTCAGCACTGATCCTGTTTGAACTAGCTGAGACCAGTCAGCACTGATCCTGTTTGAACTAGCTGAGACCAGTCAGCACTGATCCTGTTTGAACTAGCTGAGACCAGTCAGTACTGATCCTGTTTGAACTAGCTGAGACCAGTCAGTACTGATCCTGGTTGAACTAGCTGAGACCAGTCAGTACTGATCCTGTTTGAACTAGCTGAGACCAGTCAGTACTGATCCTGGTTGAACTAGCTGAGACCAGTCAGTACTGATCCTAGTGGAAACAGCTGAGACCAGTCAGTACTGATCCTGGTGGAAGCAGCTGAGACCAGTCAGCCCTGATCCTGGTTGAACTAGCTGAGACCAGTCAGCACTGATCGTGCTGGAAACAGCTGAGACCAGTCAGACCTGATCCCGATGAAAGCAGTTGAGACCAGTCAGTACTGATCCTGGTGGAAGCAGCTGAGACCAGTCAGTACTGATCCTGGTGGAAACAGCTGAGACCAGTCAGCCCTGATCCTGGTTGAACCAGCTGAGACCAGTCAGCGCTGATCCTGGTTGAACTAGCTGAGACCAGTCAGTACTGATCCTGGTGGAAACAGATGAGACCAGTCAGCACTGATCCCGGTAGAACCAGCTGAGACCAGTCAACGCTGATCCTGGTTGAACTAGCTGAGACCAGTCAGTACTGATCCTGTTTGAACTAGCTGAGACCAGTCATAACTGATCCTAGTGGAAACAGCTGAAACCAGTCAGCACTGATCCTGGTTGAACTAGCTGAGACCAGTCAGCACTGATCCTGTTTGAACTAGCTGAGACCAGTCAGTACTGATCCTGTTTGAACTAGCTGAGACCAGTCATTACTGATCCTGGTTGAACTAGCTGAGACCAGTCAGTACTGATCCTGTTTGAACTAGCTGAGACCAGTCAGTACTGATCCTGTTTGAACTAGCTGAGACCAGTCATTACTGTTCCTAGTGGAAACAGCTGAGACCAGTCAGCACTGATCCTGGTTGAACTAGCTGAGACCAGTCAGCACTGATCCTGTTTGAACTAGCTGAGACCAGTCAGCACTGATCCTGTTTGAACTAGCTGAGACCAGTCAGTACTGATCCTGTTTGAACTAGCTGAGACCAGTCATTACTGATCCTAGTGGAAACAGCTGAGACCAGTCAGCACTGATCCTGTTTGAACTAGCTGAGACCAGTCAGCACTGATCCTTGTTGAACCAGATGAGGGCATTCTACATGGTCTTTGACACAACTATGACTCGCATTTACTAGGACTTGTATGACTCACCTGCAAAATATTTATGCATTTACATATTTTGATTTCATTGTGAACAGTGTTTTCAGTTATCACAGGTAGACATGCAAAATGGAATATATTCCAGGCATGCAGTAGCATAACTTGTGTCAGTTTGGCCAGACAGTACTGTCAACCAAAACACTAGGCAGCATTGTCATGACGTAGTTTGTTGTTATAGTGAATAATACAGCAGCGTCTGACTTGTTATTGTATTTGTGAGCAATACTTGTGTTATTACCCTACATACATGATACGTATGGGATTTGCCTCCCAGTGCATTCAGTGCAGCCCAGGTATTCATCAGTCCAGTCTGACACATCTGTTTCAGCACACACTGCACCATATACAACGCGACCAGAACTGATATTCCATGTTTCCACCAGACATTCTCAATGCATACAATTTGCCTGAAAATGACTACTCTGGGTGGATATACAGAACTACAACTGCCAATGTGCACAAAGAACGCTATCATATATAGTTACCTGGAACAGCAGTTCCTGGAGAGTGACACCGACAGCAAATGGACGCTTGGGGTTTGTAAAGCGGTCCTCATACCTCACATGGATGTTGTTCACCTTTATCTGCAGGTTTTTGATCACCTGAGTTGCCATTTTCTCCACAAAGGTGTCTGGCTTTTCTTCCTTTGGTTTGTCTGAAACAATATGTCTTTTTGTTATAACAAACAGGCCTGCTCTATTTGGAGGCTTTTTAAACCTGGCCAGTACTAAAATGTGATTTTGTAACATTATCACCACTGGAACTGCCTGAAGCATGGGTCCTTAAGTCACAAAATTAACATATAATTAACTGGGTCCAGGCACAAATCTGATTCTAATTCCGAGATTACTGTTAAGTTATTTAGTTAACAGCTGCCGATTTCCATACAACATATTCGGTGGTTGTAACAAATATACCTCTCACACAATTCGATCTGCCAATATGAGTCGAACTCTTAATATCTTGTGGTATTTGTTTCCATGGTATCAAAATGTCTGAAGCAGACTTAGCAGCAGTTAGCTGCTGCGCGATACTATGTGCAGAAGATGGCAATGCCAAAGCGAAGAAAACGAAGTTGTTAGACGAAAGATTGGATTCTCTGTCACAACATGCCTGGAGCATACAAACATCCAAGTTAATGAGCAACGAAACGCTACGTTTCCTACAGTGAAAATTCGAGGCGTGGTTTCTTTGAAGGAGACAAAGCCATGTTTCACGCTTGTATGTAAACATTTACCATGAGACATCAAAACACAATTTGATTGGCCGAGTCAAATCCAACCTGTCAAATAACTAGAACAGGCTCTACACATTCACGACACATTCAACACGGGTTCGAGCAGCCAATTTGTACCGGTTTGTTGAATTTGATTAATCACTCAGATGATTCAACTTGGTCGAATTCTGCTTATCCATTCGACAGGCAGACCCGTGTGAGTCTGTCTTTACAAGACAAGAAGCCATCAGGCTGTGTTGATAAGGAGCTGACTCACCCTTCTCAGCCTCGGCCTTCTTCCTCTCATCTATCTGCTTCAGCTTCTTCTGTTTCGCCTCCTGCTTCGCCTTCTCCTCTTTCTCCTCATTGTACTTGATGCCTACAACACAACATTAGTAGCACTACATGACTGTATGGTGTAACTTTATCTGAGTGGGGCTTGATGCCTACAACACAACATTAGTAGCACTACATGACTGTATGGTGTAACTTTATCTGTGTGGGGCTTGATGCCTACAACACAACATTAGTAGCACTACATGACTGTATGGTGTAACTTTATCTGAGTGGGGCTTGATGCCTACAACACAACAATAGTAGCACTACATGACTGTATGGTGTAACTTTATCTGTGTGGGGCTTGATGCCTACAACACAACAATAGTAGCACTACATGACTGTATGGTGTAACTTTATCTGAGTGGGGCTTGATGCCTACAACATGACAATAGTAGCACTACATGACTGTATGGTGTAACTTTATCTGTGTGATGCTTGATGCCTACAACACGACAATAGTAGCACTACATGACTGTATGGTGTAACTTTATCTGAGTGGGGCTTGATGCCTACAACACAACATTAGTAGCACTACATGACTGTATGGTGTAACTTTATCTGTGTGATGCTTGATGCCTACAACACAACATTAGTAGCACTACATGACTGTATGGTGTAACTTTATCTGAGTGATGCTTGATGCCTACAACACAACAATAGTAGCACTACATGACTGTATGGTGTAACTTTATCTGTGTGCTGCTTGATGCCTACAACACAACATTAGTAGCACTACATGACTGTATGGTGTAACTTTATCTGAGTGGGGCTTGATGCCTACAACACAACAATAGTAGCACTACATGACTGTATGGTGTAACTTTATCTGTGTGATGCTTGATGCCTACAACATGACAATAGTAGCACTACATGACTGTATGGTGTAACTTTATCTGAGTGGGGCTTGATGCCTACAACATGACAATAGTAGCACTACATGACTGTATGGTGTAACTTTATCTGTGTGATGCTTGATGCCTACAACATGACAATAGTAGCACTACATGACTGTATGGTGTAACTTTATCTGTGTGATGCTTGATGCCTACAACATGACAATAGTAGCACTACATGACTGTATGGTGTAACTTTATCTGTGTGATGCTTTGATGCCTACAACATGACCTACAACACAACATTAGTAGCACTACATGACTGTATGGTGTAACTTTATCTGTGTGATGCTTGATGCCTACAACACGACATTAGTAGCACTACATGACTGTATGGTGTAACTTTATCTGTGTGATGCTTGATGCCTACAACACGACAATAGTAGCACTACATGACTGTATGGTGTAACTTTATCTGTGTGATGTTTGATGCCTACAACACGACAATAGTAGCACTACATGACTGTATGGTGGAACTTTATCTGTGTGATGTTTGATGCCTACAACACGACAATTGTAGCACTACTGACTGTATGGTGTAACTTTATCTGTGTGATACTTGATGGCTATAATTAATAGCGGTGCACCGATCGATCAAATAATCGGTTTATTGATCGTTTGACAATCAAATTTCGATTATCGATTTTTAAAAATTCCAATCGATAACACTGTATACTATCTTCAAGAATAACATAAACGATTGGTGTGTACGTGCAAGATTTGTAAATACCTCCTGATAGGCTCGCCCTCTCAGCCGTAATACAGAAAGTCATGTCTATTTATAGCTTGCCAGGGGAGCAGTCATTTTCTTCTTGTGCAGGTAATAGCTTGCAGTGTAATAAAAGTTTAGCGTGGATGCATATATTATTTAGACCCATATTAGATTACGTTTGAATACTAGTATGCAAGCATTGATGAAGGTTTCGTAAATGTAGTATGTTATGAAAACGTGGCTTTAAAAACAACAAATACTCCTGAGAAATATAACACGTGATCGAAACAAGCGTTTAGATTGGCTGGGTAAACTGTCAACAAAATGCCTGCTTTCTCGCACGTGTTCGCCTCGAGAAAACATTTTGTATTTGCAAAAGGCTCAGTTCTCGTCGAATTCACGAACAAGGTTGGAAATGGATAGCTTTATTGATACTTGTCACATCTACTCTTAGATCTATAGATGTTCTATTCTGATTTCTGCATCGAAGTCGACATGTACATCTTGAGTTCAAATTTTCACACACAAATAACTGACGTACGTATCGTTTAACTGTAAATAGTGTGATCTAAATTCATATTTGTTGTCAAATACTCCAAGATTTTCAATATCCTTTCGTTAGTGTTTACTCCATTTCTAAGAAGAATGGGTTACGATCTCGTGTCATATGACAGATCTTAATTACAAGCGATCATGTAGCAGTTGTTTCATCCAGCTGATCTTGTGTTCATAAATCCATACTTGTAGTCGATCATTTATCGATAATTGGTTGACAGAAGACATCGATAATCGATTATAGTTTTAGAGGTCGATTCCCACACTAATAATAGTAGTACAACATAACAGTCCATGTACTACGTTGTACTCTCACCTTGGGTGCTGTGAATACATACATCTACCTTAGGAACAGTCACACTCACCTGCATTGGGAACAGCCAATGCATAGATTCCATCCAGCTGAGCTATCACCGGCTCTGTGTACAAATTCTTCCAGGGAATTTTTAGTGTCAGCTTTCCTGGAATGTGAAAATAAAAATTAGATGCAAACAAGACAGCCCAATTCATTGTCATCTTTACCAGAAATTTGTCCAAAAGGCATCACTTGATACATAGACTGATATTTGTGCAAAGTTTGATTGAGAAATATCAAACAGAAATTAGACTGGAAACCCTGCATGGAGAGATGGATACTTTCCTATATTGCCATCCTACTTTACGGCAGGGGAGAATAATCTGTTCTCAGCTCACATCCTGGAAATATCTATTACATAAAACCTAATTAAATCTTTACCAATTAGAAACCTTAGTCAAGACCACTTTTCCATGATGAATTCATGAAGTCATTTCAAAGAGATAGCTAACCATGTGCTACAGCAAGATTCATGGGCTACTGTATTTGTCAAGAGACAAAGCCAAACCTTCAGACCAAATGTTATATATGCCATGGAAAGATCACATATCTCAAAGCATATAATATATTTGTTTTTAGCATTAATAAAACACGGTCATGATGGCTGAGTTATCGACAAAATTGTGGAACCAGCCCCATGTGGACCTGCATACATTCTGCTACTGGTTACACACCTTCGAAGTAAACAGCTTAACAGCAGAACACAACAAAAGGGATTGCTTGCCCATAAATATGATATCATGATTACCTAAAACGTAGGGATTATGATTTCTTATTTATCATCCAAAATTGTTTGTGTGAGATCATGCGATATCTGCTAGGAGATCTCGTTTTGACAGTAGATATTGTACAATGCCCTGACAATGCTATGACGTCATGAACTTGATAACGTTACAATGCTATGACATCGCTACACTTCAAGTCTAATGGTAGTACAGTGTTCAGAGATGTACATTTTTTTTGAAAATTAAAGAAGAGTGATTTTTTATGATAAATAGAATCTCACCCTCGTGTCTACTGATATCAATTATATCAACACTCGTTGATAAAGGTAAAAATATCCTCGGCAAACCTTTATAAACTCGTGTTGATATATTTGATATCAGTAGACACTTGGGTGAGATTCTCTATGTACCATATTGTTACTTTTCTGTGTCATACTCTTACCATGTTAGATCTAAGTCATCTGCACTGTTTGGATTTTATACACAATATTGGATGCTATGACATAAAATTTGCAAAATATTGACGGCCATTGAGCCATGTGACTACTATGATGATGTGATGAAAAGGCCTTTAGATGTGAGAACCAACAACAACACAAATAACCTCAACATTCACCAGTGAAGGTCAGAATCTGTAAAGTCTGAACATGGCTCTGAGAGAACAGCCTGGCATGCATGAATGATAAATCTGCTGCTGCCTCAACACCTCACAAGCCATGACATCAGGGAGCATGTCTGGCCAAGCACTGAGGTGTCACCAGGCACCAAGTGTAATGCATATGTCCAGCACCAGATACAGCATCTCAACTAAATCAATACCGACTTCCTTCAGATATCTACCTCCATGAATATTCCATATCTTCTCCATAGAATCCTATTAAGTCAATGAAGTTGTGAATGTACAGGCCTAAATAATGTCTGTTTTCAAGAGAATGCATATTGGCTGAAGACAGCAGTGTATTTCAATGGCCCAGAATGCCATGTTGAATTTTATTGTGAAATATATCTTCATATACCATAGGGCAAGTTTCAGTGATCTGCTGTTAATATCTCTAAATAAACTGCTGTAACACAACAAAGATCATCATGCTGCTGCAATGTTGAGTCTTACCTTACCCATATCAGCGTTAAACACAGCTCAGTCATTCAAATTCTTGATGTAAATTTTGAAAGTATTTGAAAATGATTAAATTGCTGGTGCTACTTTTAGCATGGAAAATGCGATAAATTTTATCAACTGAAATGATTCAAAACGTCTTTTTGCATACCATTGTAATGCTTATGGGTGACATTCTCAATATCAAACCCTATCAGATGTAGAAAAATACTTAAATTGTAATATTCTAAAATTGTAAATCAAACTGTATTAATGTTGTTGAAGATGAGTGGCATATTTTGTATATCTGTGAATGTGTTTCTGATGTTCGAGATCAATATATTGTGAAACATTCACCCTCCTTCGATAAACAACGTTATAAATATTATGCAAACTGCCTATGTTGATGTGATTAAGAATGTTAGTTTATGTTTATAATATGTACAATTTAAAACTAAAGCAGGACATATTTATAAATCCACGTGTACCTCTCATGTGATGTGTGACTATGCATTTGACCCTACTATGGCCAGTGGCCTTTTACTGAATAAAACTGTCTGTCTGTCTGTCTGTCAATATTACAGCCTAACATGTGCGTGGCCATTTTAAATGTCAGTGTACATAAGAGGAAGTCCTGTTTCGGATGATATAGTTTGTGGGTTAGTTTATGGGTCCAGGACAACTGACGTTGAACTATTCTTGCAGTCTTCATAATGTTTAGGAAAATGTGGCAGGTGTATTTTAGTGTAAATATATTATTTTAATCATGTTATTATTCTCTCCCTTTAGCTATATTATTTCTAGGCAGTTTAAGGGTTAAGCTTTAGAGCTTGGCCTGTCTCACTAATTGCCCAAGCCATGACGCTTCTCGGCTGATTGGTCTCACTAACTCCATGCACAATTTCACTCATTCTGCACTGACTCTTTGCCATGTAAAGACAGCTTGGACAGACACACAGTGTGACATTAAGGTTAGTATTCATTTGATAAAGTAATATTGCATTTAATCCTTGCAGTATATATATAGTAAAAGCATATCTATTTACTATCATTTAAATAGGTATTATATTGTATAGCATGTAAGTGTGCTATATGTATTTATGCTAGCTTTCCAATCCTAAGCTATAAACATCAATAAGTATCACTAATATATTCTTATCTTTACTATCCCTTTCACTGAATGTGTGAGATGAGAGAATGTGTTTTAATATAAGTTGCTATGTTTTAACTATGATAACTATAAGTGTAATTATCAATGTGTGGAAGTAATTTTATGTTCATGAATGTAGCAGCCCTAAATCTACTCCACATTACATTGTATATTATTTATCATCTAATATTATTTACAGCAGATAAGTCCCCGTCCATAAGACTGGTGCTGTGCCCGATTGCTGTTCACCCTTGTACCACCCACAGGGTATGTGTATATGTCTTTTTATATCCATGTATTTGTATATAGTACCATCACATAATGCGTGGTGACGAATCATGTGTACTTTATCATTACGACTAATGCGTAATGGTGTATTACCTATCTTGTGTGTATTACATTGTAGGGGCGGTGGGGTAGCCTAATGGTTAAAGCGTTGGCTCGTCACGCCGAAGACCCAGGTTCGAATCCCCACATGGGCACAATGTGTGAAGCCCATTTCTGGTGTCCCCCGCTGTGATGTTGCTGGAATATTGCTAAAAGCGGCGTAAAACCAAACTCAGTCAGTCAGTCAGTCAGTATTACATTGTATGCATGTATTATCATTACGTTATTCGTAATGATGTAATATCATAATTCCAATATTTCATATGTGTAGTAAGTAATGGTATTCATGCTTTGAGTAACTACAGTATTACTATTATTGGTAATTGTCCATATGTAGTAACCCATGTATGGAATTATATGTATGTTGTATGAATTGTGTGAGATGTATATTATATTATTATATTTATTGTTACAGGGTATCGTTTATCATTCAGCAATCTTTCATCCTACCAAATAAACGACCTCACAAACCAGCAGAGTGTTGCTAATCTTTGCTTCACGTTGACCCTGCTATAAAATACTACAGGTTTACATGATGTTTACTGATTTATTGAACAGAAAATCAAATGATGTAATTGCTGTGATGCTTAAGTTCAGTTGGATCACCAAAGGTATGGGCACACTTTTCTCACACAGGCACACCTACATTGTCTGTCTGGTACTCAATGGCTCCCTTAAAATATTCATGGGCAGCACCTGCTCCCTCCCACCAGCCCGGATAAGCCTGGGGACCTCTGAGATGGACAGTAATCAAATGAAAAGCACCTGCTCCCTCCAGACTACTCCACCATGAGATGGGACTGGCAGCACCCTGTAATGGGCAGCAGCACCCATTGTAATAACTTGGTTATGATAATAATTATGAGTCTGTTTAAAGTTTTGAGTGTTGGTTGGGCAGTAGCTCCCTTGACCTGCTCCAGCACCTGCTCCCTCCACCCTGATAGGGTCACATTTCGAGGACACTGGGACTCATGTACCATGTAGTGGCAACAATATTTGGGACTGGGCAGCAATGATAGCTCAGAGTTACCTCCCTTGACTGGGTTATAAGTGAAGAGGTGATTATCTGATGTTTATGTGTTGACATCGTCATGTGAAAGACTTCTGAGATATTCACATTATAGATAGCCTTACTACTCACCAGGGCAGTGACCAGCCTACTACAGATGTGTGTATATGTGGACCCACATGTGACCAGCCTACTACAGATGTGTGTATATGTGAGACTACTCACCCACGTGACCAGCCTACTACAGATGTGTGTATATGTGAGACCACTCACCCACGTGACCAGCCTACTACAGATGTGTGTATATGTGAGACTACTCACCCACATGTCCAGCCTACTACAGATGTGTGTATATGTGAGACCACTCACCCACGTGACCAGCCTACTACAGATGTGTGTATATGTGAGACTACTCACCCACGTGACCAGCCTACTACAGATGTGTGTATATGTGAGACTACTCACCCACGTGACCAGCCTACTACAGATGTGTGTATATGTGAGACTACTCACCCACGTGACCAGCCTACTACAGATGTGTGTATATGTGAGACTACTCACCCACGTGACCAGCCTACTACAGATGTGTGTATATGTGAGACTACTCACCCCTACTACAGATATTATTGGTCTAATACCGTGACCAGCCTACTACAGATGTGTGTATATGTGAGACTACTCACCCACGTGACCAGCTTTGATCTTGACAGGCAGGTCCAGGTCATCCTGCAAATACACACATCAGTCTACAGTCCTCTAGCGGCAGCAGGACAACTCACACACAACTACTGAGTTTAAGTCATACCCAAATATATAGAGTTTAACTCACACACAACTATTGAGTTTAACTCACACACAACTATAGAGTTTAACTCACACACAACTATAGAGTTTAACTCACACAACTATAGAGTTTAACTCACACACAACTATAGAGTTTAACTCACACACAACTATAGAGTTTAACTCACACACAACTATAGAGTTTAACTCACACAACTATAGAGTTTAACTCACACAACTATAGAGTTTAACTCACACACAACTATAGAGTTTAACTCACACACAACTATAGAGTTTAACTCACACACAACTATAGAGTTTAACTCACACAACTATAGAGTTTAACTCACACACAACTATAGAGTTTAACTCACACACAACTACTGAGTTTTACTCATACCCAAATATAGAGTTTAACTCACACAACCATAGAGCTTAACTCACACAACTATAGAGTTTAACTCACACAACTACAGAGTTTAACTCACACACAACTACAGAGTTTAACTCACACACCACTATAGTTTAACTCACACACAACTACAGAGTTTAACTCACACACCACTATAGAGTTTAACTCACACACAACTATAGAGTTGAACTCACACAACTATAGTTTAACTCACACACAACTATAGAGTTGAACTCACACACAACTATAGAGTTTAACTCACAACTATAGAGTTGAACTCACACACAACTATAGAGTTTAACTCACACACAACTATGGAGTTTAACTCACACACAACTATAGAGTTTAACTCACAACTATAGAGTTTAACTCACACACAACTATAGAGTTTAACTCACAACTATAGAGTTTAACTCACACACAACTATAGAGTTTAACTCACAACTATAAAGTAAACTCACACACAACTATAGAGTTTAACTCACACACAACTATTGAGTTTAACTCATACCCAAATATAGAGTTTAATTAACATGTCCATAGTTTGCAGAATCTGCATTTCAAGCCTTGACTTAAAGTTAAGGTGAGTTGACAGTTGACTGAAGTGTTGCCATCTACCTTATGGTATTGGTGACAGTCTGTAAGGAAAGGTCACTTGGACCCACAGACTTATGATAATTGAAAGTGTTACAGTACACTACAGTGAGGTACATACCAGGGCACTCTGCTTGAGGTCCAGGTTCTGCAACACAGCATCTCCTGCAATAGAAGGAGTTACAACTTCAGAGCAAAATATAACATGTTCTAGACGCATTAAATATTTGCTGAAAGGCATGAATATTTCATAAATAAATCTCTTTGAAATTAAAAGAAAATTGTGTTAACCAGACTGAGCTCAGAAACAAATTACCATGAAATATACTAGTCAAAAGTTAAGGACTGCCCGCAGAGTTCAAAATACCCCATATACTAGTGTGCCATGGCACGGTAATGTGAAATGGCACGGTTACAAAATGTTCCTGTGCCGTTTTGACACGCCTAATTTTTTAGAGTCATAACTCACACTTAGTCATTTAATCCCCTATACAATTATTTTTTTCCAAATTGAATAATACCATACATATTTGAATGCTCATAAACCCATTTCTTTATTTAACAATAAATTTCAAATGATCATCCATTTCATTTATTCTAACAATAATTCTTTTCAAATGATTCTTTCATGTTACCAAAGTCAATCTGCCCCACCATTCACTAGTGATATCAAAGGATCCTTAACCTTTAATGAGCTGTATATACTTAATAGTGTTGTTTAGTTATCTGTTGGGTCCCAGATAATCAAGAAGACAAAACGCTGTTGACTGTTCAACACGACGTGTATTCCGTGGTAGCCGCCATAATGATACAGGAAGTCAGGGAAGAGCACTCTCAATTATGTCAGACGTTATCGTTACCGTAGTGCTCTCAATAACCAACTATCGTAACAAGTGTTTGGAATCGGAAACCAAATCCACTATCGATTATCGAAGGACTTGTGGTGAACGATTATAGATAATAATCAAAATATACATTTTTAATGTAATCACCAATTTTAAGAATTCTTCCCAGGTTTTTTCTAATTAATGTTTTTTTTATACTAATACTGTCATGTAATGAAATGCACGCATGCAAGAAAGACACTGGAATTGTAACTAAACAATAAAAGTTGTTAAAATTAAAATATTTATCAGTACCAGTATATCTCATTACGTTCACAATAGATGAATTCATAGACAGGTTACAGTAATATTTACTGTAGTCAGTGTATGAAATAAGCCAAAAACTCAGCCAGACATCAGGGCTGGTAGCTTCAAAATGTTACCAGCCCAAAACGAATTTAACCAGACCAAATATGGTGAATTTACAAGGAAACAAAAGTTGTATATTGAGTTCAGTGACCAGGAGTACGCAGCAGTGAACTAGCTCAAACTGTTTCCAATTGAAACCTAGACACCAACTTGCCACCCATCATGACTGACTGACTGACTGACTGACTGACTGAGTTTGGTTTTACGGCGCTTTTAGCAATATTCTAGAAACATCACTGCTGGGACCCAGAAATGGGCTTCACACATTGTACCCGTGTGGGGATTCAAACCCAGGTCTTCAACGTGACGAGCCAACCCTTTAACCACTAGGCTACCCCACCACCCCTCACCATCATGAAGGGGCCAGATGTGTAAATGTATATATCATATATAACAGGCATGGCCACAACCATTGAATAAGTTTCAGCTTCAGAACTGGACAGTCTAGTCACTGCAAACAACTGTACACTGACATTTCTTAAAAAATATAGTGTCACAGTATTCTAAGTAACTCTCACATAATACAATCCAGAGCTGAGAATCATATTAAGATTAACTTTGACTCTCCTGCATACAAGCAGCTGTAGCACGCATGAAACACTTCTGAACCCAACAGAACGACAACACAGCTAAATGACCTGCTCAGCCTTTCATCTCATACACCAGTGTTTTACTACTCATTTATACTGAACACATGAAGTCTGCTTCAGTTAATGCATAGAAGCAGCCATGTATCTCACAAATTGACACTTCGACATCTAACGATTTGTTGTGTATGTTTGTTAGGTGTTTAACGCAGGTGTTTAACGTGGTTAACGTGGGTGTTGAACGCCACACTCTTGCAACATTCTGGCTATGTGATGGGATTCAGTGAACCAGACAATCTTATGATTTTATCAGATGCATCAGTCAGCCTGACTATGATGCAAGTCAGCTGATCTGACCACCTGATCCCGTTAGTTTCCTCTTACAAGAAGCATGGACTGCTGAAGACCAATTCCGCCACAGATATTTACAGGTCTGTTGAGTTGCAAAGCAGGCAGATGCAAATGTTCCAAAACAGCTTTTTGCATACCGAACACCACAGAGTCTTAAATCTGTGCTGTAGACATACATTTGCTTAAGTAATCATAGCTTAAGGCACTACTACATCACACCACACTTCTCTAAAAATAAATAATGTTTCTCTCAGTAATACTAACTATAATTTATTCCCCCCTAATTATGTATTTTGATTACAATATTAAATTAAAAAGTTTGAATGAATTAATGCAACGTTGCATTAAATTGATCCACGCACCCTTTATCGTCCGAACATTATTTCAAGCGAACCCCATAGAGTTATGTCCCTTGGAGCACTCTTTACAAATATCATGCGCACAACTTATCATTGAAACTAGTTCGACAAACACCGACAACACTGCCTGCGACAGTTTTCGATGTACGGAGCAATTGTTTACATTCCATATATGGCAACTGCTTTCTGTTTGGAATTCCATACATGGGTACAATGTGTGAATCCAATTACTGGTGTCCCCCACGTGACATTACTGGAATAATGTTAAAAGCGGTGTAAAACCATACTCACTCACTCTGTTTGGAAGCTGTTTGCCTCAAAGTTTCAATTATTGATTTCAGGCAAGTGCTAAGGGATAATAAGTCTTTTATTGCATCAACAGGAAGCTAAGTTGAGTGCATATGCCCCATATATATATATAACATAGGCCAAATATTGTGAAAAATGTGTGAAATTGTGCCTTTAAAAGGGCAACTCACTGGACTAAATTTATCTAATAGACTCGACTGAAGAATAGAAATACACCGAATAGCAGGAAATATTGAAAATATGTAATGAAAACTATTACAAGAGTCAATATTTAACAAATCCATGGGGATCTTTCTGAGAGGAAGTGTTAGAACAATCTATTATACTTTTTATTGTATCACCAATGACAGAAAGTTATTCATGTCTGGCATATTTCTGAATATTCTATGCATTTCAAAACGTTCTCATTGTCCAAAAGGAATTTAATGGATTCCCAAGTGTACGCATTGTGTGTAACTGCACCCACCATATTTGGTCTAAGTTGTTACCAATACCCACTATAAACCAGCAAACTGTTATCAGTGTAAAGAACGACACAGAGTCCTGCTGAGCACATTCCCAGTCAACCATGGTCACTGATGCATGGCCACTGGAGGAGGCAGTATGTAACTACTGCCTGATGCTTAGTGGTAATGCCTGACCCAACATCAAAGCCAGAGTGAAGTGTGAGCCTGCTGTCGGGAGTGCTGCCCATCTGTTCGCTCCAGTTTTCATGGCCAGACCTAGTACCTCACATTTGTCTCCAGAGACAACTAAAGTAAGGTGGTCAGTTCCTGACAGCACCATGATTGCATGGATCGTCACTTGTGTTTGCCCTGAGCACCAACTGAATTAGGTATCAGGGAATCAGGCTCTGACCTGCTTGATTGCCTGTCATCCTAGCTTGATTAGGTCATTGATGTGCCTGGGCCTAGATTTTCGAAGCTCTTTTAGCTATTAGATAGTCGTAAGTACCATACCTTAACATTAACTTACGACTATCTTAGCGCTAAGAGAGCGAAGAGAGCTTCGAAACTCTAGGTCCTGGTCTGTATTATGTACAGACTGTTAGTGTTACTATGGTTACTATATACCTTACCTAGTCCAGGCTTTCCTGAGCTTTCTAACTGCTCATGGTATCCATAATCAACTATTGTATCTATAACCAGACAGACATATGACCTGGAATGTAAAACCACAGACAGAGGACATTAAGCTGGCTTTAATAATAATAATAACATTTGTAATCTGCTGAATTCCGCACCACGGAGGGACACGCTCAAAGCACTAACATACAATCTTTAATATTGCAGCTTCTGTGTCACTTTTATCCATTTGATTTTGCATGCAGGGATTAACCTCAGGTGTGAACTATCACGTTTACAGTCGACATAACATCCTGACTTTGGTAAATCACTGATGATGATTTGTTAGAATTGGTCCTCCACGACCTGTAGCAGCAGACACACAACAGGTAGAGATTGACCCACCTGATGAAGGGTGTTAGCACCAGCCTATATCATGTGAGTTTGGATAGTCATTACAGACATACACGACCCACACTAGGTCACATGACTAGCAGGAACCTGGCCCACTGTGCCAACCATTGTGAGGCAGGCGACCATGTGATTCAGTTAGGCGTGTACCAAGTACCGACAGCGGCCAGCCTGGGACAGTGGAATGTGAGTAATGCTGGGAAGTGTTGTGAGACTTAATGGAGGATGTTGTACTGACATGTCAAGTCAACGGCATGCAAGCATCCACACTGTGGTGCAGAATGTACCTACAAATGTCACCTCTGACTCCAGCAGAAAATAGTTTGCATCACAATGACATGTGGAATTTTATCTTGAATATTTGAGTTCAATTAAAACACAATGCAATCAGTTAGCAGTGTTCTGGAGACAAGGAGACAGCTGTATCGCTGTATACTCAGCACCGATGTGGTGTAAGCCACTGTCGGTACACACGCTAAACATCTTTCTAAACTGTATCTCTACTGCCATAAAAAAATCAACAGAAGAGAACTGGCCATACAACATTTATACAAATGAAACACTTTTATTAGATAGATGAACAGCTTAAGCCATCTGGTATTCTGCAATGTTCCCCTCCCAAACTGTCAGTAAGCTATTCCAAGCGCTCTGTGATGAGAAACTTATACTATTGCAAGCGGCATATCAGGATATTTGGTGAGCTGTAGGCCAACATATCAGCCTTTGAGCTGACAATGCACGGAAATAACACTTGGTGGAATCGGCCTGTTAATGAGTGTTATAAATAGCATGTGAACCTGCTGATCATCACACATGCTGAAGCAACAGCAT